TTATATTTACTTTCCTTAAATGTTAGTATGTGCATATTTTTATATAATTTTAAAAAAAATTATTCACTCTTTAAATATATCTATTTTTTCTACTAATTATTTATCATATTTTTTTTAAATAAATACTTCATAATAGTTATTTTTTTAATTATAATACTTTTTTTCTCTGATAATATAAAAACTGTTATAAAATCAATTTTTTATGTATAATTATAAAAATATAGATACTAATATTTGATAACGAAATTCAAACAAAACAAACGGGCTCCTCGTTTTGCAAATAGAAGAAAGTTGGGCCCAATTTATGTTTATTTTTCAATTTGGTGTAATTTGTTTTATTTATTTTTGAAAGAGGTAAATTATTAAAATTTTTTAGCTATAAGTAAGTCGTATTTTGAAATATGATTTTACACTGAGTAGTCGTACTCAAACATATGACGTTTTTATATCATCAACTTTTGTTGTTGTACTCTAATACTATTTTAATAAAAGAAAATTTTAAAGTTGTCTTTAAAATTATTAAAAGTTTTATTTTAATATTTATAAGATTAATAAAATAATTAATTAATGGTGGACATAATGATGTTAAAGAATTTTATAATATATTAAATTATTAAAAAGAAAACATTAATTTAGTGATGAGAAAAATATAAAAATATATTATATAAGAAAAATAAAATTTATATTTTTATTATCAATATGGACAATTACACTCGTTACGAGAAAATAACACATTTATACTTAGAACAAGTTTATTTATCTCATTATGAATATTATTTATTGTTGACATTTTCTATTGTTTTTGGTGCAAACTTGGATTAGGAACAAATTTTGGACCTAAATAAGAAAACAAATAATTATTGTTTTGAATTAGATGAAAACTCCACCTGATAGGCCTTGTACAGTATGTTATAGTTTGTACATTAGATCACTATATGTGTCAATTTGTAAATTACAATATGAATATACAACAATAATACGAGACCAAAAAAGTCAGAGAGATTGAAACTCTCCACAATCACAACACTAATAATTTAATAATTTAATTTGACTATATAATTTACAAGGCACTCACAGCGTTGAGGATTTAGTACCTGTTAGACATCAAACTCACTATTTTTTGTATTGTAGTTTTGAACTATACACATCCTTATACATAGTTCATTTTTTTGAGCAAGTTTGCAATCTTTTATAGATATTTATGTCTTGCTCTAACATGCATTTTGCTTTGGTGTATTTTTTTTTTATAAGCAAATAAAATCAATTAAACTGAGTATAAGGGATACTCAAAACGCAAAAACAGAGTACAATTCAAGCAGAGAAACACCATTAAAAAACACGAAATACATAAGAAGCACATTAAACAAAATAGATCCAAGGATTATTATGTCAGTCTACAAAGCTAAAAGACATTCTCATACCAGCCAAAGAGATCCACTTCCAAGAATGTAGACGAATAGAGTTAAGCAACTCCAACCGATCCACAACGTCTTGATTAAATACCACACAATTTCAATGCAACTAAATGGTCTAGATGACCGCAACCCAAATAATAACAAAGTATTGGGATCGCTTATTACTCCTCCCTTGGCCACACCAAACAAGAAAAAAAGATACCAAAGAAGAAGACATAACAAAATTAACACCAAGCTAGCATAAAACATTCATCCACGTACTATATGTCATTGGACAAAAAACAAAAAGATGCACCGGATCTTCTACAAATAAACCGCACATAGGACACAAAGCATAATCCATCTGCACACCACATCCCTGCAGAAGCAACCTGCAGGGAACAAAATTCAAGAAAAGCTACCAAGAAAACACCAAACATTTGATAGATATTTTACCTTTTCAAAGTCTGTACAACACCTTCTGAAGAGTAACATCAAGAGATGGAATATTAACCAAAAAAGTCAACAACCAATAATAAGCAAACTTAATACTAAAGCATCAACCAACCAATACCAGTAATCTTCCAGGTGAGGACGCAACACAAATCCATCCAAAATTTCCATCAAACTCACTACTAATGGCAACTCTTATGAAAAGGGACAACGGCGCCAAGGAATGATCCAAACCTAATTATCTCCAGACCAACGACCATTCTGCACAGCAACCGAAGAGGGATCAAAAGCAAAGGAATATAATCTAGGAAAACCCTCTTTTAGCTTAAAGTCACTCAACCACCTATCCTTCCAAAATCTCGTCGAAGTACCATCCCCCACAGCCCGTAATATCTTCTCATCAATCCATTGTCCTCCTAACTATAAAGTAGACACAATATCCCATCACCAACTAGAATCACGTCGATCCACCAAACACACACTCAACAACGACGGGGTCAGGCCATATCGCGCTTGAAGAACCTGCGCCAAAAAGCTCCCGGATATGATAAGCAACGCCAGATCCATTTGCCAAGAAACCATACTAGACCATACCGCTTTGATGTCTCTTTCAAGAAACCATAATTTAGTTCTTTCAAATGTGAATTTGACGAGAGCACATATTGGTAAAGTACATACTCCCTTAAAATCAAATTCATGCACTCAACAAGATTTGTTGTCATATGCAGTGACAAAATCATAAAATTAGTTTTAAAAGGACTGGTCCAAAAAAATAATGTTTTAGGTGGTCATAATATATTTTTTTAATAAAATTAAAAAAAAATATCTTTTTTGGGGACCGTGGCCCCCATTAGTCCCCCCTCCCTCCGCCTCTAGTTATGTGTCCATACCTCTTGGCTCTATCATACGCTTGAGTCCACTTCTTCAAAAGAATTTCATCTAACTAAGAAACGAAGTAACACAACTCAGTTCTCAACATTCAATTTAACTATTAGTTCAATATGTTTCATCTTGTATGTTATGCAATAATAAGAATTTATATAAATTACTAAATGAAATTAAAAGTGAAAATATATATAGTACTTACACGATAGTATATTACTCATGTTAATAATTTGTTTTACTCCGCATTTTTACATTTTTTTTTGTTGAAGTTAGAGGTAATATGTCGAATGTAGTACACTGATTGAAGGCATTTGTATCTCAACCAACACTTTTAGAGTGTAAGACCGACAATAGTATTGTTTTGTTGTTTGTTATCAAAGTTCATCTGAGATGTGACATGTTATCTCAAAAATTAAAAAAATCATCAAAGTGTCTTTTGTCTTTTTTTCACCTATTGTAAATACTAGAGGAAAGATGTTTTGATTCTTGTCTTATGTAGTTACCGTTAGCAAAATTACACGATATTTACATGTTAGAAATATGTTATCAACTTGAACAATCAATTTGGAATAGTTAAAACCGTCAATACATAGTTTAAAATATCAAAAAATACATTCCAATATATGATTTAATTCATCTTGGACACCGTTAATATTATAAAGGTTAGTTATGTATTGAACAATTATAGTAGAAACATTTTGTTAAACAATTGTACTACTCATTTGTTTTGCAACCATTTAATATAATCAAGTTGATTGAGTTATGAGAAACTTTGGCTTTCATAAACACATTCCTCAGAATATAATGAACCTAGATCAAGTGCATAAAGAAAATATGAGAAGAAAAACTGATAAATATTGGCTAGATTATCATTATAATTGGATCGCAATGCAAAACAACCATTATAATCACTTAATTTAAGGAATTGAAGTTCAAAAAATCGTCATTTACGTGAAAATACACAATATATATAATAATATATCAACTTGTGTATATGATGTATTTCTTCCGAACCGATCAAATGATATAAATAATGAAGTAAATATAACATGTTAAATATATAAAATTATTTTTATTAATACTAATTTTACATTATTTTTTTGGTACTATGTTCCATAAAAGCATCAAACACAATATCATGAGTGACAAACTTTTCAACAAAACACATCATAATTCACTTATTTACATGTGTGTTGATCTATTTTTTAACCAACTCCACTTAATAGATATATGAACCAACTCTAAAATATAAGTCCTTATGTGTCTGAATTTTCTTCAAATATGTTTGTCACCGTTTAAATAATATTACCATCAACATATTATCAAACAACTTGTTAAGTTCCTAATTTTACTCCATACAAACATAAGATGAAAAAAAGAGAGAAAATAATAATAATAAATAATAGATAAATAATATATTATCATTAGAAGAAGTACCCATCTAATAAAAAAGACAAAGACCTAATATTAGAATATCACATTATAGAATAAATTCTTATTATTAATTTTTTCAATATATTTTTTTACTTTTATAATTTTTTAACATATATTGTAATTTTTTTAATGTATATTTAATTTCTCTTTACTTAATATATTAATATTTTTAAATATTATTAACGTTTGAATATCTATTAATTATTTATTTCATTAATTTTATAAATATTAAATATATTTTTTAATAAAAAAATAAAAGTTAATCTAATTTTTTTATATATTAAACTAAATTCATCCCTTAACTGACGAATTTAATATAAAAAAATTTACATTAAACTAAAATAGCCAACCTAAAAGAAATGCTACTAAAAATTGTGGATTAGAGAAAAAAAATATACTAAAATTATATAGATTAAAGCACGATTTTACAAAAAATATTAAAAAAAAAATATAAAGAAAACATATGTACGTCCAATGACTTCTTTGCGAACACGATTTTTTATTATGAAATCTTATATCAATGAAATCTTATGTAGAGCACTACGTATCGGAAATTTTTAAAAACTGACCGAAAAAATTGTAATCCTGACACCCTTCTCCAGTCTACGTCGTCGTTTCGCCACAACCCTAAGTCCCAAACCCTTTCCGGACCACCGCTTACTACGGCGACCTCGCCGCCGCCTGAAGCTCCGCGGTAACCGTGTACTCCGTGACGTTCTCAACAAGCGTGTCCAAGACGGCTTCTTCAACACCAAACGCACCTTCAGCTTCATCACTCACTCCAACTTCTCTCCCTCCCTCATCCATGAGCTTGTTGAACCCTCTCCCATCTGAATGAAGGTGTCACGCGCTTTGAAATTGCTTGTCACGCACCTCTGCAAGCTCCGACAGGCAAAGGAGGCACTGCGTTTGTTCGAGTCATTGGCGCGTGGCGGAGTTTGCGCCCCCACCGTGTACACTTTCTACCCCGTCCTCAGCCTCCTCACAAGGGAAAACTCCCTCGAAGACGCCCGAGGCGTGGTGGATTTAATGGCCGAGCTCAGAATTGGGCTTGACTTGATGGCCCACAACATTTTTCTCACGGCTTACTGCTTCACCGGAGACTTTGACGCGGCGGCCGGAGTTCTGAGGAGAACGGAGAAGGAGGGTTTGGCTGCGGACGCGCGTCGTTCGACGCGCTTGTTCTGGGCGCGTGTAGAGCGGGGAAGGTGGAGGGGTACTGCTGAGGAGGATGGTGGATGGTGGATGATGGATGATGGATGATGGAGTGCCCATGATGTACTCGACACACATGCGTGTTATTGGGACCCTTTTGAAGATGAAGTGTTATGAACATGCTATGAAGTATGTGAGGAGTTTCGTTGGGAAGATTCTGAGCTTCTTGGGTGTTTGGCTAGCAAGTCTGTGAATTTGAAGAAGGGTAAAGAAGCAATGTCAATTTTGGAGGAAATGAAGCAAAGGGGTGTGCCAATGGGTTATAAACTGAAAGAGTTTTATGAAATGAATGTTGAAAGGGAGAATGGTGCAAGGGTTGATGGTGCAGATGTAGAAGGAAGAAATGGAGTGTAGTGTGATGTGATGTGTGGGAAATGAAGATTCAGGATTATATTTCTCGACAAGGTTAGTTCTAACTTAGCCTGAAATTTGTAGGAACTACAAGTGAATTTGTGGGTAAACAGCTTAACATGAAGTGTACTTGTCAGCCAAGAAATCAGTGGCGTTTTTGTCAGCTAAACATTAACTATATTCTTTGTTCTTTCCTTACTATTGTTTTATATTTTTCAATGTTGCTATGCTCTGTAATCAGGAGCTTGCTCCTTGAGTTATTTCCATAATATCCTAGTGAAATGCCATATTCTTGGCCTTGGAAGGAATATACTTGTGCATTTGAATGTGTATCAGTAATTCATCGAATATGCTTGGGCCTTTTGAAGGAATAAGTTCTTCAAAATCCTGTTTTGATAAACTTTTCCAAAAGCACTTGTAGGAGATGAAAATAAGAAAAAAAAAATGAACGAGTTGTTTTGTATATGATACCATCTCTAGATAGTTTCCTGTATGCAACCTCTGTTTTACGTCGAATGTATGCTGAGGCTTAAATCATATCTTTTGCTTCTGTATTGTGTGGCTCCAATTGTAATGTATAAGGAATTTGAGTTTAGACCACCTTCGTGTAGGATGGTATAATTAATTTGGCCTTGTTGTTTAATGGCAGTGTAACTTTAGGACGACCAGTGAAGGATTAAATTGATTCTGCTGTGAGGCATGTTCTCCCAAGACAGGTTTGCTTCCATTCTTTATAGATGCCTGATAGAATAAATTTTCAAATTATGGTTTTCATGCATTCGGCTCAATTTCTCATTCTATTTCACCATGGAATGTTGGTACTAAATTTTTTTTCTTATTGTCTTATAGGGTGTTCTTGGTATCAAGGTTAAAATCATGGTTGATTGGGATCCTAAAGGGAAACAGGGTCCTAAAACTCCCCTCCCTGATCTTATCACAATCCACTCTCCGAAGGAGGAGTGCTGTTGTTTTGGCAACGACTGACACTGAAGTGTCCCTGTTGCTTGAAAATGTTTAAAATAAAAATAGTCATTTTGTTTTCTATTTCTGTAAGTCTATGATTTGTTGCCTTTTCCTTAATTCTTCTTTAATCATGATAATAATAATAATAATATGAAATAAACTATAATAAAGATAAAATATTATGAATAATAATATTAATAAATAAATGATTAAATATTAATAATAAAAAATAATACTAATATTATTTTTAAATAAAATAATCTGAAAATTTTAACTTCCAGACTAATTTTCTCAATTAAATATTTTACATAATTTTTTTAATATAAAGTTTGAGAATATTTCTGCCTTTTCTTCATATGTTTTATCTAAGTACTTTCTAATAAAATAAATAGTTTGTAGTTTATTTTCATAAGTAAATCTTGTTTCTTAATAAGTTATGTAAAAAATGTACATCAAAAATACTTATTTTAAGTTTGAATAAACTAATCCAATTACTAAAATCAATTAAAATAATAGATTATATATATATATATATATATATATATATATATCAAATTATTAATTATTTTTTATTTATTTTATTTAGGTAACCATAAAATTGATATAGATTGAAGTGGTATCGTCAAGATTCCTACCTAGAAGCGTATTATTAACCGCTGTTACAATTAGTGTGTTGGTGGCTGATTTTAGTTTTCAAAACATTATTTCAGCTTTTTAAATATTTTTAATGAAAAATGATACCATTATATTAAATATAATATTTTTGTGATTACTTGTCATAGTTGTTAAATATGATTACAAATTAGTTACTATCAAATATCGTATAATTCTTCTTCTGATCAATTCATATCATAAGATAAATTTTAAATTTCTTAGAAAAAATTCTTTCTCAATCTTACAAAAAATATATAGATGATTTTGAGAATCATTAATACCCATCAATAGGTCGTGAACATTTTTGTGCATACATTCACAAATTATCATGAAATTGGAAAGTCAATGTTTTTTGAAAAAAATAAAAAAGTACCTACAAACTTATGTTTTAATCATTTCATTACTTTGCTTCCATTAATCTAAATATTAAATAAACTTTACAAAAATTAGAAACAACAAATGCTTTTTTAAAGAATAAATTATGCTATTGTTCTGTTTTTATTTATCACATTAATTCTACTAATTATTAAAAAAATTGTAATAAACTAAAAACATTACAATAATACTTCTTCGGTTTAATAAATTATAGTTATCTCTTAAACTATTTTTATTTTATTATACTAATAAATCCCTATAAGGAAAAACACTTTTAAGCATTAAAAATACATTTTACAATGAAAACTATATTTGTATAATTAAAATATTTTTCACTGGATAAGATTCAAGACAAATCATCCATTATTCACGATTCAAAAATTATCCTCACTAATTCTAGCTTCCAATCCCGATTGACAACTCTAAAATCAATTAAAAAAAATATTACTTTAATTTAATTTTTAAAACATTCATGTACGAATTTAAAAATAACTAACAGCAAAACCACATTCAAACTCCCCACACTGCTCGGCAAATGATGATTAAATCATAAAAGTATAAATTGATGATGCTTAAATACTTGGTACTGTTTTCATACTGGGATAAGAAACTATCAAAACTTGGAACTAGTCTTGCCCAACAAAGTCCAACAAACACTGCATAGGAACACAAGTCTAATCAAAACATGTTTAAGCAACAGGAACCTCAATATCATTGGCCAAAACAGGAGGAGGTGCAGGAGCTGTAGCAGGCCGGTTGTATTCTTCCTCTTCCTTTGGAGTGTGGATAGTGACAAGATCTGGAAGGGGAGTTTTAGGACCCTGCTTTCCTTTAGGATCCCAATCAAGCATGATCTTTACCTTGATACCAAGAACACCCTGTAATGAAAGAAAGTAAACCAAGTTTAAGTCCTAGTGCAAAAAGAAATTCTATCAGGTAACTATAAAGAATAGAAGCAATACCTGTCTGAGGAGCACATGTCTCACAGCAGAGTCAATGTAATCCTTGACTGGTTGTCCAGAAGAAATCATGTACCCGTCCTTGAACTTCATGGATTTGGCTCTCTGAGCTCTCAATTTTCCACTAACAATGACCTGTTTAATCCAAACAGTAATTACAACCAAATCATTGCATTATAAGCAATAAAAAAAAGTTCAAAGCTGCTTCTGTAGACCAACCTCGCATCCCTTGGCACCACTTTCCATCACAAATCTTAAAACACCATAGCAAGCTCTGCAAAAATGAGTTCAAGATATATAGAGTTTCCACCAAAAATAGGAGAATTGTATTCACACAAATAAAAAAAAGAAATAAAATTTTTTTAAAAACACCTAGTTCTTCGACTGACATTGCTAATGCATAACATGGAAATACGTTGTTATAGAAACACAAAAAAATATATAAGCTACAACACACATATCACCTCAAGGTACAATGCCATTACACATCCAGGGCTGGTTAAAGAAAAAACTTCAAGAAATCCTCAGCACATTTCAATAGGTCAACAATAAAGTTGGAAGCAAGAGAATTCAATTTCAGTCTCACGGAATCACATCATGCTCACAGGAATCACACCATGCAGCAAAATATACACATAAAACAGAGGTTACAAAAAGAGAGCTAACAAAACGTGATAGATAAATAAATATAAAATTCTCTCTGTTGTCACCGACAAAGTATTTGACACTGCTTTAGGGGAAAATTAGGCTAAAGTGGAGACAAAGGGTCATTAGTGCGTCAATCAATCCTTAGTTCAAGCAGTCCCCAAGGAACTTAATACTAATTCAACGTCCCAAAACTAGGTATGCACCCAAGAACAACATTGGACCTACACATGTAAATAAAATAAACGGACTATCCAGATTTTAAGAGTGGATTTCCTAGTGAGAACTAAATAAAAAAAATGATTTTGCCACCAGTTAAAATTGACTCTAATAAATACGCAGACGGTTGAAAATCGATTTTTCTTCTAAACCATTGTTTCATTAGAAGTGGAAATAAAACGCTTTTTGAATTGGGTTGACAAATTTACAATGAACTTGTAGCGAAGCTGCTTTTAGGATAGAAGAAACCATTCATAAATCAGTTCAATTGAAAATTAATTTTAACCAAAATCAATTATACAGAATCAATTTCCATCTTTCTTTCAAAAACAATTTTGCAAACGCTTTTCGTAACACACTAAATCAATCTCACACAGTCAAAACATAAACATTAAGCAAGTAGTGTACAGATTCATAATAACAAAGCTAAAACTCCTGCTAATTGATAACTCTTAAATTCAGATATATTATAAAAATGAAAAAATTTGACAAATATAATACATACCTGCGAACAGCAAGCCCACCGAGGAGCTTGTAGCGAAGAGACTCAGCCTGGGCAATGGCACAGAGCCCTCTGTTGTTGACCTTTTCAGCATAAAGCTCAACACTGTTCTCCGGAAACTTGAACCTCTTCTGTACCACTGAGGTCAGTTCTCTAATTCTCCTTCCCTTCTCACCTACACATCAAAACACAGTCAATCAACCAACATGCGATTCACCCAAAGTAACAGACGGTTCTAGAATCTCACGCACCGAGAACGGCTTGGGTTCTGGTGGCTCTGATGATGATTTCAGTGCGCATAGGCGTAACCCTAACCTCCACGCCGGAGTAACCATCCTCTGCCAACTCACGTGTCAGAACCTCGTTCAGTTCGGCGAAGAACACTCCGTCCGCTACAAACTGTACATTAACACCGTCCAAATTTTGAATTCAAATCCACAAAAACAAACACTGAAACAGAAAATGATGGTTTCCGATTAATACGCTACTGACCTTTCTTTTTTTACTCATCTGCGTGGCCATGTTTGGAAATGATAACAAATGAATGGAACGCGATCTGATTCTGATCTCAACATACAAAATGAGAAACAGAGGTTGTGACGGCAAACCCTAATATTAGAGGAACATGCTTATAGGGTTTTGGGTTGGGCCTCATCAAATCTTTTTAGTTATTTAAAACTTTATTTTAGCTAAATATTGTTTTTTATTTTTGAATCCTCAAATAATTTGTTTAAGTAAAACAAATATTATGGGCTTATATATTGATACATTTTTTAAAATAAAGAAATTAATTGATCATATGTTTTTAATTTTTAAAAAAGCATTTGTTGTTTCTAATTTTTGTAAAGTTTATTTAATATTTAGATTAATGGAAGCAAAGTAATGAAACGATTAAAACAAATATTATTGGCTTATGTATTAATACATTTTTTTAAATAAAGAAATTAATTGATCATATGTTTTTAATTTTTAAAAAAGCATTTGTTGATTCTAATTTTTGTAAAGTTCATTTAAATCAAAGTAATGAAATATTAAATAAACTTTACAAAAATTAGAAACAACAAATGCCAGATATAATATATTGGTAAGATCAAATTCAAGAAAATTTTTTTAAAAAAATAATTCTTTTTATAATTCCAATTTTTTTTTATAATAGAATTGGTCCCTTTATTTGACATTGGATCTGTACCCCTTCTTGGTGTGTTTACGTTTTATTAGTTTTTTTATTTTAAATTTGTAGGTGTACTGAGATAAAAACGCCTACAAAAAGTAGCCTCTAAATTGAGTCAACAATTTTCTCTATTTAAAACCACAAGCCCATTTATAATGTTTAAATTTTACTATATAAATTTATTGCATTACATTTCTTTTTATCTTATAATTAGTACAGAAAAATAGTAGTCATTATTAATTTTTTTAAATAGGAAGAGTTAGTGTTCGAAGGTTGAATTAAATCCGATTAAATTTAATAAAATAATATTTTTATAATATAATAATACATAATAAAGTCAATAATAATAATAATTAAAAAAAATTATAATGATAAAGATTATTATTATTATTATTATTATTATTATTATTATTATTATAATTATCATAAATTATAATAAATATAATACATAATAAAAAATTGATAAAAATAAATAAAATAATAATTATTTAAAATTTATATGACATAAAAAATAGTGTATCTTTTCTACAAAATTCTTTTAAAAAAATATATTATTTTTTTTATCAAAATTAATTCAACTATTAAACTAATCGATTTCTCAATTTAATTAATTTCTTATCGATTTTTTTATTTTATACCAATTTAATTTGTTTAAAATAACATCATATTTTAGACCAGTTAAATAGAACACTCTAATATGATTTTAGAAGCAATAATATATATATATATATATATATATATATATATATATATATATATATTCTACTTATCAAATTGTTAAATTATAATTTGATATAACCGTAGTTATTCATTTTAGTTTTCTTTTTAAACAAAAGAGAAATAATATGGTGATAAAATAATCATATTTTAAACTAAACATGATTCTACGTTTATCACATTTTTAATATATATATATATATATATATATATATATATATATATATATAGTTTATATTAAAAAACTTTTAATCTATTAATTAGTTTTAAAAAATAAAATATATTAAATAATAGTAATTTTTTTTATATAACTTATTTTCTTATTTAAGAAAGATAAACTCTACTAACATAACACAGAATTATACTGCTAAATTTAAATACTTGAAAATTTTCAGGGAAATTTTAAATCTTTATCATTTATGAAAATTAGCATATAAAATTATGATTAAGTAAATTTAGCATATAAATATTTTCTGCATCTTCATTTCAACAACATAGTGTATATATCTCTTACTTTATGGAGCCTTAGACCATTTCTCAGATCTTACTAAACAAAAGCTATCTATGATCAACAACTTCAGAGTCCCCATACTTGGTGACCCTATTGCTTTGGTCATGTAAACATGCAATAATAAAAATTAATCGCAACAAAATCAAACACGGCTAACATTCATGTAATAATAAAAAATAATCTTACAATACAGTCCACGACAGAGGAGGATTTATACAATATAAGCATTCAGCATTGATCAAAGACTACGACTGCATATTCTAACAAGTTTCTTCCCTTGTTTTTCCTCATCAGAACTTCTTCATTGATCACTAATAACTTCATACTCAAAATTAAGAAGAAAGTAAAAGAATACAGTTGAAACAACAACTACACATATATCCTAGGTAATGGTACAAGATGAATTCTCATTTTAGAGAGTACTATCAGAATTTTTATAATTACAAGGATTATTTCCAGTTCCTTGAACAACAATCATCTATCTAGGCTAACAACACAACAGCTTGTCAGTAGAAAACAAAACTTATTAATATCTTCAATCAGTAAGACTTGTGTGTCCATATATTATCCTGCTTCATATTCTGTTTGATCAGTGCCTCGTCAACTACAAGAATTATGCACATGCAATGAAAGAATAATGCTGCAATTTTCAGTTTTTCAATTCCTTTCACCTGCACCTGAACAACACAGGTATTAAGTAAATCAATATATTCAAAACTAAATAACATACTTTTGACCATGACCAACATTTATTCAAAACTAATCAATAAACAATGATACATACTGCTAATTTTGAATTTAGTGTCGAAACATCATTCATCAGAAAGCAAAAGCTCATAATTTATATGCCATGACACTTAGAATCAAACACATTCAACAAGGTGCTAGTCCGGTGCCCTCATCAACATATTGTAAAAGCAGACCAGCTAAAATATTTCACCATTTCCAAAAATCAAATTAAAGTTGTACCAATTTAGAGAGATACCTATTAAAATACAATATTTCACAATATACAGATAGATAAATCATGCAAAAGAAATATTCAGTAGTCATACCAAACAGTTGCATCATTATCTCACAAGTTCCCAGTCCTCTTTTGACATGTCATAAATTTCAACACAACCATCTTCAAACATGATCTGCAAAAGCAAAAATTAATACATATTGATATTTAATAAGAATTTTCATCTAAAATGTCAAAATTCAGCCAAAGAAACCTCTTACTGAATGTTTTCGAGAATATTTATCAAACCGTTTAATGACTCCAAACCTGTAGCATTATAAAAATGAAAATTATTAAGAATATAATGTAGTTATCGCTTTATCATGTAAGTACACTTAAGAAAATATAAATACATAAACTTCATAAGGCACAGTACTACAAGTAAGAATATAATGTAGTTATGACTTTATCAAGTTGGTTAACTTCAGAAAGTATAAATACATAAACTTCACACAACACAGTAACACAGTTAAAAAACGGATAATTTTAACCTACCTCTCAGTTTCAAGGTGCTTTATCCTAATAACTTCACCAATGCAATTGTGTAAGCATTTTCGGTGGTCAACACGAGAACTTCCTGAAAACCCCCAAGTACAACAGAAAAAAAGGGTATTTTATATATAGAGGATAAATTAAAAGAGGAAGTAACCACAAATTTTACGCATTTTTACTTTCAGAAAAAAAATATTATATAACTAACAAAATTAAGAAGAAAACATACCAATTTGCAAACCTCCATTCTGATAAACCTGTCCAGACAAAAGTACACAACTAGTCAGCAAAACAGATATTTATAACTTAATATACATGTAGAACATACCAAATTCAATAAAAGTGATCATGCTAATGAAGTAGTATGGAATATACTCAGTGGAATATTTAAGTGTTTTTTTCTGCCTTCATAGCTAGCTTTTATGGTGTAGTTCTCTCAAGGCTCTAATTAATTGGTATTAGAATCAGTGGTTAAGTAGTTAGTAGTTTAGGGCCTGTCTGGACAAGCTTCTCCATAAGCTCTTCTAAGGGAAACAGAGTAAAAAAATAAATTTGACTTCTCCATTAAGTTAAAATTAACTTATGAACAAATTAAAAAAATTAAAAGTTATATGAGAGAGCTTTTACAATTAGCTCATGCATATGCTAATTTTAGCTTAAGGAGAAACTAATTTCAATTTTTCTTCTTACTATTCTCTCCGAAAATGAGCTTATGGAAATGCTCGTCCAAACAGGCCTTTAGCTTGTGCAGCAGATATAACATTAGATGCTAGACACATAGTCCGTTGTAACTGAATTCAACTATTAGTGATCTGTACCCTCCAATAAATGGAGACCCTCTCCTATGATTATGTATTCATCAATAATTTTTCTCTATTTGTTTTGTTATAAGATCATTTATCATATTTGTCATACTTCTTATTCCCATGGTGAAAGTATCTACCATTTTCATGGAAAAGAAGTTACTTTCAACATAACTAACTCCTTATCCCCCAATCCATTGTCTACACTTTTTTTAAAAATTAATTTTTTAAATGCTAGCTACCAATTTTTTAAATGCATTTTTCTGTAGCAGTTGTGACAGATCAGATAGTGGGCTGAATAGCGGTGGTAGCAGTCATAATAGCAGCTCTGCGTGTTGGTTCCAAGAAAAATCTCTGAATGTAGACATAGAACATTACACCTACTTCATGGGGTTACTTTTGGAATTGCAATTTCCAAAATGATTTTCAGCTGTTATAAAGTGATATGAGGGGTGATCTTTTGACAACCCATACATCCAAAATATAACCCAAGAAATTAATAAAATATTAGATAATATTATTATATTAGTAGAATAGGTTGTTGATGAATGTTTGGGTTGTCAACCAAACATTTCTCAAATGATAAAGACATTTTGACTTCGAGAGGAGATTCACCTCAGGGTGCTGTCATATAACTTGGTGACATGGAGAAGAAAAAGCAAAACATAGTGGAAGAGCCAATCAATGAGAGGAGATGTTTACCTCACGGTGCTGTATGCTCTTTTAGGCATATAATTTGTTGACATGGAGAAGAAAAAAAGGCAAAATGTAAATTCCCCTCAGTGTACTGTATGCTTTAGGTGACATGGAGTAGAAAAAAGTAAAATGTTGTGACAACATTCACACAACCCAGTTCAATGTTATAAAAATATTCCTTGTGTTTCCGACATATTTTTGGCATTCACCAACTTAAGAGAGGGTAAAATTTATCTAAAAATGTGTCCCAATTGCTTCCTTTTATTTCACTAATTTATGTACGGATTTTTTTCCAAGAAAAATACTGTGATAATCAGCCCAGCCTAAATATTGTAATTTCCAGTTGTACTATAAATTCAGAAATAATATTAAAAACTCTAACTCTGCCTCTTCTCAAGAATAATTGGTTAACCATTAAATGAGATGTGAACACCAGTATAAAAAATTTCATATTTGTAACTTTTTATATCCAACTCACTGTCAAGTGTCAACTACTTTTAAAAAGTTTCACTTTAATTCCCTATTGGTTTAAATATACTAATAAAAGTGTTTTTTTTCCCTGTTCCATCAGGTCATTCAATGTTAGAGATACTACTCACATCAAAAAGTCCACATGCCAATATTGAAGGAGTCAATAAAGAAGCAGGTGTAAATATGTTAATTATCTGGTAAACATAATAAAAACATTCAGAATTTGTATTTGTAAAGCAATTGAATTATCATTTTCATTTCAGCAACTCCCCGAACTCGAACTGGAAGGTCTTGGCTCAAGCCTATCTTCTAAAGCTAAAATATACTTCGTAATTCAGAGTCACAGAAAAATAGGGGAACATGGAGGGGAATGGATTACTGTGGCATCAATGAAGTAAGACTCTCTCGGGAACAGAAGAGAAAAGAACTGAAATAGTGAAGTTAAGAGTTTGTTTTGTAGTTGGAGTTCCTGAGCCTATGGATGGCAAAAAAATCCACGCCCACAGATATCCGCTGGTAAAATCTGCCATGGATACCAAATGAAAGTTTGAAATGGATACCCCTAGGTAATGGGTATTTTAATTATCCACTTGTTGACCGAGTAAATACGGGTATCATGGTATCCATACTGGCTAATATTGTTTAGAATTTGAATTTATAGATTTGTGTTTTTTATCTAAATTTATGAAATTAAAGTTATTTTTAAAAAGATTAATATTATTTAAATTTATTCTACTACAACTTATTTTATTTATACCAATATTTTATGATGTAATTTTAATCAACTTATATTTTAAAAGAAAAATTTTATTAAATTATATATTTAAACAATAATTTTTAAATAAGCTTATTCAAAATAAAGATGAGATAGAATAAAAAACATCCACGCTTATCTATGGATATCCCACAGTTTTTCTTCAAATGGATACCGGTAACAAGGGTAGCAGGCAGACATTTTTCTTTTTGGCCATCCCTTTGTCATCCCTACCTAAGCCTATAAGTGAGCAATCAAACATTATAGTGTTCCATTGAAAATTAGAGTAAGAAGATGGGAAAAAATGAAAAATAGACCAAGATACTGTCAAAACCATCTATTAATCCCACCAATAAAGTCATGTCCTAACAACAATTCATTTTGTCTCACCTATGGGACTTGTGTAGTGGTCAAACTCAGCATTATTTAACCCTCCTGTTACCCTTTTACCCCCAATTTTTATTTTATAAAATAATGTAGCTCATTCTTTATGAACATTTTAACGTAAAATGCAACATTGAAATGGAATATAACTCATGGACCTACAGCAGAAAATTGTTATATCGTTGCTTCTTGAAATTATGATTTCAAAATTGTGATGCAGGACTAACCACCCGCCACAAATCAAATGCCAGTTAGTACATCAGGTTATTAGGATTAACAAGTAACTCATATAACTTGTCTAGTACTTAGTTTTTATTCAAGAGTCATGAAGATTAGAGAGAAACATATATAGGATGGCTATTTTTTACGAGAAGATGAAGCCACCTGGTATGCGACTAATTTTAATGCAGCATCTGAAGAGATCTTAGGCTTGGTGGGTCGGACACCCAGCTTACGCCTACACTCAGCAGCACCACAGTGACAATCTTGATCTGCACCAAATTGAACAAACCTGCAACGTAGTTAGAAACATACCAGCAAGACAGATTCATGCTAGCATAATACTAGAGAAATCAAAATACACCAAAACTTAAGGGTGTAAAACAGAGAAACAGGAAAGTGCTCATACTGGTAATCATAAGTCAGATGCTCGCCCTTTTCTATGTCGCGAGTTGCAAATATGCCAATTCTTGTTTCACCATCAATTATCCTTAAAAATGGGGAAAAAAAAGTACTTGTTACAGGAAATGTCTAACTCCCACTGCAACATCATCATACAAATAAAACAATTAGTAAGCAACCATTTCTGCATCTCAGTATTGGGGCAGCAACTATGATTGATGTATCTCGATTTGTTTCCTTTATATGTTGCATCTATCACCATATCTCGATTGATTTCACATAAGTAGAAGTTAGTTTCCCCACGATGTTTCATGTTCCAAAGCCTTTCCTCACATGTTTTGTCATCAATGACTGTAGAGAAGGCAACACTCATCAGTAGCTTTTAAAATAATTAAATAAAAACTCATTTTATAAATATCAATAGGAAAACAATCACCTTCTCCAACATATTCTATGACAAACTCCCCAAGCATGATATCTTCGTCAGCAACAATTCCAGAACCACATTTCTCAGTCTACAGAAATATTAAATCTCAGTATGTTAATTGAAGATATTAGAAGAGAAATGCAAGTGATTGTACAAATTCAAATAATCTAACTAGAATATGAGCACACACATGTATCTATGAGAACAAAAGTAAAAGTATTGCGATGATAGAAAAGTGGTGGAGATAGTGGGGTTGGGGGGGGAGATGGATGGGGGCATTAATTAAAGATTAGTTTTCAAAATTTCTAAGTTACTATTATGACTGTAAAGATTTTATTAGTTTCTGTAGCAAATTGAATAGAATAAAGACTAGAGAACTTTTAAGACAAAAAAATGTAAATGCACACAGCAATAATACAGTACACATGCAAACATTACCTAAACAAGGTTGCAATGAAAAGAAAAATACATGAATAACTTAAGAGAATTATATAATAACAAACCCAGAAAAAACAATCCCGAGCCAGAAATTTATACCTTAACCAATTTCATCTTTTTTACGGGGCGATTCTGAAATGGTTTGTTAAGACAAGAGCTCCCACATTTACAGCCTGATGAACAGCTAGACAGAAGCATCCTACAGAATTATGACTCAAAATTATGTTGATATACTTGCATCTGTAATGTTATATTATATAATAAGCAAGCAGAGCTTTTATGTGCTAAATAATAAAACAAAGTACTAGGTACACCAGCAAAATCCATAAACAATAATTATTCATTTTAAACATCACAACACTTCACAAGGCTAGCAACAGGCATGATTAGTCAAAGGTAATAACCTTTCTAGCCATGGAACAAGTTTGCATGTTATTTTCTTAAACTTATGGAATCAAAATCTACACAATCCCATTCTTTACGGGTTTTGTGGGGTTTGAGGAATGTAACATGCTTTTCATGACATGCTAGCTTAAGAAGCAATCATTATTAGAGCTCAAATAAGGCAACAATGAGAATATACAGCAATATCAATAGTGACAATAATGATGAACTGAACCTAAAGCAGGATCTTATAGAACCACACTATATAGCTCGTTGAAACACAAATACTCAAATAGATGCCTAAAAAAAAAATTCTGAAAAAATAAATCATGATTTTGGATGGTTGACTGGCTGCTGACAATAAACAATAAATAAGTAATGGAAATTAAGGTAGATTCAGGAACATTACTTAAGATGGAGTCACAACATACTAAAAATGAGAATAAACACATGAAAATTGCCCTAAAGCACATACAAATGGAATACTTACCCACAGTGGCAATCTCTACCACATACACTAGTAGATCCAGGGGAAGGAGTACAGGAACAAAATATGCCATCATCATCAAATCTGGATCTCTTGACCTTCTTAGTGAGATATATATCTTAAATTTATAAGAACAAACAAATATAGAAGATTATTTAAAACTCTAGCCATCTGAACAGACAAAATAAGTAAAACAGGATTACATAATTGAGAAGCAATGAGGAAATTAAAACCAATTTAGCATATGAGCAGGGTAAAAAAAATGTACAAATTCACTTCTAAACTATACTGCTCTACATGAGAGATATACAGTTATTGTAAACATTTCGGAACAAGTGTGAAGGATACTGCGCTTTATATAGGTGTACTGCATTGGCTTTGATTTATTAAACCAATCTGGAAGTTCAAAGTCAACAGGTTCTCCAAGCTCCTTCACCAACTTGTTGAATACAGATCCAATGCGAGTCTGCTCAGAATTCTGTTAAACAGGAAAAAGAAAGGAATTCAATCAACAGAGCAAACGCAATTCATTCAAAGGAAAAAATTCTTATTGACTTGACTAACACAATAGCAAGGTACTATCAACAACATATTCTATAAAAAATTAATTTTGATAAGAAAAGTCTTTCAAAACCAAAATAAATTGTTTGATTAAAAAGAGCATCTTAACTTAAATGAACCAACTAAAGATATATAAACAGCAAGAAAGAGGCAAATAAAAGCTTTATAAAACTTCAGTTAAAAATAGTTTTCACAACAGAACAATGCTGCAATTCTCAAAAGAAAAGTTTAAACTGGATTACTTATTCAATTTCAAAGGATTTTTTTGTTTTTTGTTTTTACCAATAGTTGACTGAGAGAGAGTGAGAGAGAGATTGAGAGACAAATATGGCACAATTAATAGTAAATTCTAGTTACTAATTTCTACACACTGGGGCAATCCGCCCAGAATCATTATCACGTTGCAATATTTTAAAGAACTGAAGAGAAGGACTAGCCAAAGGTATTACTACAACATCAAACAACCTTTTTCATGGCAGGCATGAAATCTGACAGAGTACTGGATATTCCTATGTGATCAGCCGCTATCTCAATTTCTCAATAGAAGCTCAAACCATAAAGCGGATATTGAAAATCAATACCACAAAATCCACATACAAGACTTACTTATTTCCTTCAAAGGCATCCTTTGCCTACAAAATGAAAAAAAATAAATGTATCAGCTTTAAGCAAAGTTAGACCTCAAAATTTATCCGTGATAAAGTTCCAAAATCAATAAATAAAAATTAGCAACTCAGAGATTTTACATATATATACACACACATGCCCGCACCCATACATAAAAATAGATTTTTCGTTAGCTCAAAGGTAAACAGAAACTAGACAGTAAAGTAGCAGAAGAAAGCAGATTCCTAACAACAATCCTCCACCAGGTTTTTTTAAATTGAGATTCATTATTACTTCTACGCTGTCTTAATCGGTAAAGGGAACTCCTCTTGGTGTTACAATAAATAATTCAAAATGAACAGCAAACCTCAAAGTTTTTATTTTTAAACACTGATAATCTGCACTTTATTTGTTAATCAATAACACAATTTTGAAATTTGAATGCAGAAATAAGTGCCAGTATAGGAGAGATTCAAAGAAATTTAAATTAATATTAAATTGAAAATTAAAATAATTTGCTCCAATAACCACCATTTTTCCCACTAATGATATAAATAAAAATAAACAAGTATCTGTCTCCCTTTATAGCCCTACTCACTACTTTTCCAGGCAAAGAAAAAAAGAAGAGGAAACAACGTTCAGAAATTTTACAATGGATTAACAAATATGAAATCCTAGGTTCACAAGTCACAATTATCCTATCCCCCTTTCCTATTATAATTTTCCCTTCACCCAAACAAAAGAAAAATCCTCAACGAAAAAAAAAATTACATTAATGAAAAATTCAAACTTTTTCCCCCCCATTGTTCTCACAAATCACAATTTTTTTCTCCCCTTATTTTCACAAATCACAATTGAAATCCTACATTCCCAAATCACGATTCTCCTCTCCTCCAACCCTCTTCCACCGCTTCGCCCTTCATCCAAGATCCTCAAAGAAAAACATAATTGACTACACAACTGAAAAATTCAAACTTTTCCCCAGAATTAAACACAACAGAGTGAGAAAAACAGCAAAGGAACAAGAATTATAAACTAAATAGAAAAACAAAACAAAAGAGCAAGAAACACAAACATCCTTAGCAAGGAAAAATTGCGGCGAATGGTAGTGAGTACAGTGCAGAAAGTTAAGTGGTACAAAAGGGTTGGAAAGGAACCAGCGAGAATCCAAAAGGGAATCGTAGAAGCAGAACAAGTACAGTGAGAAAGAGGGCAAAATGGGACATATGTTCACAATCCAAGAAGAAGAAGAAGAAGAAGAAGAAGAAGAAGAAGAAGAAGCAGAAGCAGAAGCAGAAGCAGATAGAACCTGAGATTGGGTTGGTGAAGAACTAAGTGAGATTGGAATCGAAACAGAATTGACGGTGTGGTCGTATAAATGTATATATTTATATTACAAACTCAAAAAACTGTCAAAGCGCTCGTTGGTTGATCTCAGTTGAAAGCTTTCAAACTTCAAAAATCTACATCTCATTCAGAACTTCGCCACCACAATAGGGTTCTTTTTTCAATTATATGAAAATAGTTTAAATAATAATAATAATAATAATAATAATAATAATAATAATAATAATAATAATAATTGTTATTAAATAATTATAATGCAGCTCAATAAGTGAATATTGAATGGCTAAGCTAACTTACAATTTAGTTCATCTTAAATTTTAATTAATTGAGTACAGGTAATAATCATATGAATATATGACATTAAAAAAATAATTATAACTTGTGAGAACATACATAAATTCGAATATTATATGTAGAAGATGTTAATTTTTAAAAGTGAGTTTTTGAGTCACGTTGACATTTTTTTTGAAATAATTAATTACAAATAATCCTAAACTTATATTAATCTGAAATTACTATTGAGAAGCTTTTTTGAGTAACCTCAAAAAAAAAAAGTGTTTGAAAAGAATACTTTTGAGTAACTTCCAAAAATAATGCCTTCTTTTTTAAAATCACTTTTTATACGTTTTTAATATGATTATTTGAAAACCATAAGTAAATAGGCCTATTAATCAGAATAATTTAATCCATAAAAAGATAGAATTTGTGGACCCTTGTTCTCACAATAATTCATTAAAAAGTAAAAATTATCACAATATATTTAAACATGCATTCATCCTATGTGTCTACATGTGTGTGTGTTTTTTTAGTTATTTATGACACAAATTCATTATGAAAAATTAAGGTGGTATTTTTCATATTTCAGAATATATGTTCTCACACTATTTTGATTATTTAATTTATATTATTTAATGTTACCTTAATTCATCATCATAGTAAAGAATGAAATCTTTTGAAAATAATAATAATAATAATAAATTACATTGACGCTTTTTAGTATTTTCTTAAATCAAACATATGCTTTGTTTTTTTTATTTGTTCATTACAATATCTTTTTTAAGAGAATATATGTATAATATGAATGAAATTTAAGGAAATATAAGCATATTTAAAAAAAATAAAAATAAAAAGTACACGTGTAATGTAGAAGGGAGAAGAATTTAATGTTTTAAAAAATAATTTACCAACGTTAAAATATCACTTTGGGTTTAAACTTAGCTTAATATCATTTGTGTTACATTAATATCAAAATTAGAATGAGGTTATTAAAACATGAGTTTAATAAGTAATATGCTTTAAACTAAGTAATTATTTTTTCCAGAAAAAAATGAACCAAACTTACCCCAATAGTATTTCCAATGGATGAAAAAGAAAGGAATTGAGGGAGCAATGGGGTGCAAGTAGTTTTTTTTTGTTTTTTCTTTCTTTCTATTCCATCAAACAAAAATCTACAAACAATAGAATCATAACTTTTACTCTATTCCATCTAAATTCATCTCATTCCACACAACATTAGATATCTGAACATAGCCTAAATATGTTAGTGTAAGACCCAAGAAGGAGAGAAAACAACACAGAAATGAGGTCACAGTTGAACTTTAGATGTGATGGGGATGGAATGAAGTATTCAACTTCAAAACCTAAACAGATTTTTGTGAACTTTGGGTACCAATCGACAAGTCAATGAAACTCTATTGGATGTTCTTGATATATTCTTATACTCTTCCTTTCCTATTGTTTCCAATGCATTCTCTAAGCTAAACAAGTCTTCATCTGATTCCTTGTGTTTCAAAGCTTGAGTTTCATTTACGGCCTAAAAAGGACAGATTTTGAAGCATGAGAAACACAGATTTACAATGGATTATTTTGGGCAGAAACAGATGTTACTCTGTAGCCTTACCCATTCGTAGCAATGTACCGCACAATCTTTTATACCATGTAAGTAATCTGTGATAAGACACAAAATGTGAGCAAATTTTAGGAAGAACAGAAGAGGTTAACGCTCAGTAACTTGTTCTAAATATAGCATTACACAAGGGTTTACTAGAGCAGCACCTGAGTATGCTTTGTCCTTGAATATAAGTAAACTGCGTGGCATCAATAAAACAGAGAAAGGATGGTGATCATCAAGCCACTTATCTTTCCCAATCTCAAAATCAGAGTTTTGGTCAATATCATTTTGGGAATCCAGTTTGAATCTTGCATGGGGAGTGAAGTCCATGACAACAGGAGATCCAAGTGATAGAATAGCTACTACTGGAAAATAGGCAGGTCCATCCTGATGTGGCTGTAGAATAAAATATTTCATTAGGTAATAGTAAAATACACACAAATGCAAAGTAGAGCTCACTTGTGTTTCAAAGCATAAATATACAAATTTGAAAACAAAAACACCAAATCAACAATGAAAACTTTATCTAAAAGGAAAAGCAAATAAATGAGCACAAGCAGGGTTGAGGTTCAGGACAAACCATTATGCCTTGATTAGGTAGGTATTCATTGATAAGAACATGGTTCATTGATGATGGGAATAGCCCACAGTCGTCATATATTTTTTGTGTGAGATTTGTTAGCCATGGAGGCACTGTATGAGAGAGAGACAATTGATAAGTTAACAGCATACTGAAAAACAAAACAAAAAACAGAAGTTCCTTGCGGAAGACCAACCTTGTTAACACATTGCTCTCATCACATAAAAAAGTAATTGAGTGAAAAATGAAGATCAATGATAACAATGTTTTAATCATCTTCAATTCATATTCAAAGTCAAAGCATTTTGCCAATAAAGGAGAGAAGTTACAGAAATAGCCCTGTTGAGTATTTATTAGATTATTTGTACCTAACTATTGACCTAGTTCCTAGAATATATCTGTTTATCTTCTCTAGGTTTAATCATTTCCCCATATTTATTGTATCTCATAATCTGTATCTTTATCTCCTATAAATAAGAGAACAAGAGAAAATAATATGCTTTCAAAAACATCTTTTTAATTTCCTATTATCTATTTCAAGTTGGTATTACTGCCTGTCTCTCCTTTTTCTCCATCGTCCACCACCGGCGCTGTTGTCACCCGGCGCCGTTTCACTCACCGTACTTGGGTTTGGATCGCCTCGAGGAGCACGACCCAACCTCGGTGGTCGTTTCAGCCATCTCTGTTAGATGCACCGCCACACGCTGCCTTTGTCTGCTGCTTCCTTCGCACGTGTGGTTCACGCGCCGCCTTCCTGGTCGCCGTTTTGCTCCAGACCACCGTCATATGGCTCGCCTCGTTGTCTTGAAGCCGAATCTACCCTTTGTTTTATGTTCCAAAAGTTTGGTAACCCCTTTCGTATACATTGTCACAGAACGCTAGTTGTTTTGTGTTCAAGCAAAACGACACTGTTTCTTGGTACTCTCTCATTGCTCTCGGTCTTCTCTCTCCAAACATCCTGTTGGATATTTTTTTTCTTAAGAGTCCTCTCTTGTTTCTTGAATAAAAATGTCAGGACCTGCAACATTTGTATCTTTTTCTAAGACTCCTACTATAACAACAGAAAAATTAAATGAAAAAAATTATTTGTCTTGGACCTCCTCTGTTGAACTCTGGTTTCTAGGACAAGGGGTTCATGATCATCTAGAAGACGACGGAAGTACAAAACCAATAGATCAAAGAAACTTGATTAATAACTCTGTGCTCTATTATGGCAAATATTTTGAGCACTCTCCGATCCTTCAAGACATGTAATTCCTTCTGGAAAAAAGCTCAAAATATCTTTGTTAATAATATTCAATGGCTTTATGATTCTGCTAATAGACTAGCCTCCCTTAAACAAGAGGATTATAATATGATGTCCTTTGTTGCTGAAGCTCAATTAGCAGTTAAAGAATTAAAAATGTTCCTTGAGGTAGATTCATTAAAGGAGAAAAAGACGAAGCTGGATAAATTCTATATGGTTATGATTCTTAGGGCTATGAATCCAGAATTTAATCATGTTATAGATCAAATTTTAACTGGACAAGAAGTTCCTTCTATGAAGAGTTTGATCATAAGACTACTTTGTGTTCCATCTATCAAAGGTAAAAATAGTCAATAACTTGTTGAATCTTCCGCCATGATTTCTGCTCGTGGAAGAGGTAATCATGACAATAGAGGACGTAGTGGTAGAAGACGTCCTCAGTGCACTCATTACAAAAGAATGGGTCATACTAAGGAAAATTGCTTTGCTTTGCATAGCTATCTTGATAAGACCGCCAATACTTCAAAATCTGAAGTTGTTTAGCCCAAATTCTCTCATGAAGAGTATCAAGAATATTTAAAGATGAAATCAACCAGTCTGGCTTAAGCATCTACAACTCCAAATTCGTCAACCATTTGCATTTCGTAATCTGTGGAAAGTCAAAATCCGTGAATTATTGACTCAGGTGCTTCTGACCACATGTCTGGTAATATCTCTTTATTCTCCTCTCTATAATTTCCTAAAACCTCCCATCTCATATTTTTAGCCAATGGATCTAAAGTAGCCTCTAAAGGGATTGGCCAAGTATCCATCTCTCCTTTTTTAAACTTACATATTCTTTGTGTTCCTTCTTTTCCATTCAGTCTTGTTTTCGTAAGCCAATTAATCAAATCATTGAATTGCTCAATAACATTTAATATCAATTATTTTGTTATACAGGAACGTGGTACGGGACGATTGATTGGAGAAGGACATGAATCGGGAGGCTTATACTACTTTGGGACTAATTCATCTGTATCTTGTGTTGTATCCTTATCCCTAAAACTATTACATGAGCGATTAGGGCATCCTCATTTGGCAAAACTGAAAAAAATGGTTCCTGAACTTCAGAACCTTCAAACTTTTGAATGTGAATCATGTCAACTAGGAAAACATACCAGGTCATCTTTTCCAAATCATTCTGAATCTAGATGTGATTTTGCTTTTAGTATTGTTCATTCAAATATCTAGAGACTTAGTCGTGTTTCATCTTTTGCCAATAAAGGAGAGAAGTTACAGAAATAGCCCAAAAGCATATACAAAGGTGACAACCAAAAATATCAGTCCATATACTGATGAACTAAGATGATGACAAAAGCACCGAACAACTGGAAGTGAATCAACAAATATACCAGAACTAGCCGGCTATTTCTGGTGTGCAAATTCTTTTCATCTTGCAGAAGGTAAGTAAAAAGGGTAAAGCAAAAGTAACTAAGACTATAACAGTACAGTTCAGCGGTCACTGTTTGAAACTAACAAAATGCAGGAGACAAGAGTAACACCTAGAGCATATAGGTTTCTCACATTCAATAGAAAACATCAAGGTATTTGTGTAGATAGCGTATCTAGATTATGAAAGAATCGCATAGTTCATCACTTACAAACTTGAGGTAGAAGGCCCTTCTCGTGGACAACACCACCTGCAGTCAACAATCACCAGACAAACAAATTGACATCAATGAGGAAATTTTCACTTCAAATTTGCTAATCTGAATAATTTGATTCATTGTATTAGGGGTACAATATAAATAATTTTGACTAGTGCATGCTTAAATTATTTAGAGTGTGTTTCGTATGCGGTTTCCTCTTCCTGAGGCATGTTTCACACTGACCTGACTCTCACTGGTCATGAACATTCCACGTGTCTTAGTATATATTCAAAGTTTGAAATAACTATGTAAAACCCTGATTCAAACATATAAAGATTTCCCTTGAATGAATACAGGGAACTGTTCTAGTATAGGTACAAATATGAATACCTTTGTACAACAAAATTTATAAAACTAAAGTACAGAGGATATATCATGTAGAAAAATAAAAACATAAGCATCGAAGTATTAAAATAAAAAAAAAAAATACCATTCTCATAGTATTCTAAGTCAAGTAAGCAAAAATGTTTAAGAACTTGGTGTTTGTCTATTATGCATTATCAGATACATAGCCATGTATGTATACCTAATAAATACCGGTACCAAGTACAAAGCTGGTACAGGTACCCCAATGAAATGGCATAATATTCTATCATAAATCATATAATCAACTCCCCCAGAACAGCAAATAGGAATCTGCTGGGTATCACAATACTTGTAAGGCAAAGGGCAGTTCACTAATTTACTTGTTTTTCCATGATTCACTTCTCTCTCAACTCCAACCTTCCAAAATTTTGAGTATTTGCTAATTGTTCACATTCCAAAGAACCATTTACCTGTATATCTGCATATTCTACAAAAACAAGGGCAAAAAAATAGACAAAAGAAATTTCAAAGTGATGAATCATACCCCAATTCTGTAGCCTTCTATTCTTCAACATCTTCCACTTTGATGCAGGGGCTTCATAAATCTAACATCAAGCAGAAACCCCATTATTAAAAAAAAGAAAGAATATATATATTTAGGGAACATTAAATAAAACAATGAGAAGTAGAATGAGCGTGAGTACTACATTATTGAGAAGAAGGCTTTGGTCACTGTCCGTGATGAAGTCAGGAATGTAAAATAAAGTTGGCAAAGACCCAACTTTGTAATGACCCAAAGACTCTTTTCCCTCCATCACTCTGCCAAATCAAGGTTTTGTAATGTCTTCAAAATGGAAATAAAAAGAAAAACTTTACAACAACAGTGTGTTAGTAATAAGCATTCTAGATATTGAATTATTGATACACGACAAGGGATTAATCGGTTATGTAATTTGTGAGAGAGAGAGAAAGTGAAAACCTGTTTGGGCTGCCGGAGGTGGGTGGCAGCGGCGGAGAGGAGATGGTGATTTTGGACGGTGGGTGAATTGAAGAATGCAAAAAATATGATAAATTCTTTCTTCAAAACTCAGTATAATTAATAAGTGAAAATGGAAAACGTAAATAAAAATATTTTTTTTATTATTTCTATAATATTTAAACTATCGTTTTAAATGTTTAATTGATATTAATTAACCCTCTTACTTAAGTTAATTTTATTTATATTTTATATGAAGAAATAAAGTATTCATGTGAATTGAACTGTGTTTTTTTAATTAAAAGTGAATATAAAATTAAATAGGAAACATTTGTCCAAAGAAATTGGCTTTAAGGAAAATCTTATAAATACATTTTGAAATTGATTTTTATTTTAAATATTCTACAAAATAAATATTTTTTACATAGTTAATATTTATAATAAAAAAATTAACATAATAATATCATGACAATGTTCCTCCCACCAAACTGTTGTCGAAATTACAACTACAGAGCACGCAATTGGTTGGAGCGATGTTAAGAGTGTAACAATGGCACACAAAACCCTCTTCAGACCAACTTTCATGCTCACTTTCTCGCTCCACAAAACGCCCATTTCACTCACACATCATCCATTTCGCCCCTCACAACAACCACCCTTTCCCTTCCTCAACAGTCAACTAAGCCCTCTTCCTCCAACAAAAAGAACAACCAACCACACTCACACCCTCTTATGGTGCTCTAGTTTCAGCACCACCACCACAGCTGAGGGTTCGAAAAAATGTTACCTTGACCTCACGGACGAGGATCTTATGCGGCAGTGCGAGATGGACACCTTCAAGGCCTCAGGACCAGGTGGTCAGCACCGTAACAAGCGTGAGTCCGCAGTGCGCCTCAAACACCTCCCCACAGGAATCATTGCTCAGGTTTCGCCCCTTTCCTCTCTCAAAACCTCATCTTGCTTCATTTCTCATCATGGGTTGTTGTTGCTTCATTTGTTGCTGCTGTTTAGGCTTCAGAAGACCGCTCCCAGCACAAGAACCGCGCTTCTGCGCTGAATCGCCTTCGCTCTCTTATAGCTCTCAAAGGTATCTCTTTCACTGTTCGTTTTTCTATCCAGAGGATGTGAAGGATATATAGATCATAGGCATCAGCTAAATATAGAGTATACGCAGAAGGTAACATGTTGAATTCATAAAAAGATGCAGAAAATGTGCATGGTGCTCTTATTTACATGTTAAATTGTATTGTGCACTAGCAAGTAAGTAACCAGTCACACCAAACTCACTAAAAGTAACTAACTCTACTAGAATTTACTCTTCTACTAGTTTGTTTTCTTTCTGTTCCAAGTTTGATTCATTCATTGTTTCTTGTGTCACATGGCAATTTGAATGTAATGAATCAGCTTATTGACATATTTTTGCATAAGACTGCTGTGCTCAAATTGAGGGCACTAGTTAAGTATGATTGAACCCTTTCTTTAGCTTGTTTATTTTAGTTTTACCAAAGGACAAGCTTTTGGTGTTCTTCTTCTTATTATGTGAGTCAGTGAGGTAAACTTTTAATTTTAATTAAAAAATGAGAAATGTTTGTAGAAGACTTTTTATTATTAGCTAAATTTGATTGGAGTCCATCAGATTTTGTAGGTCTCCCTTCTTTTTTAATGAGATTCACTGGTGATTTTGCAGTTTCTAATTAGTTTTAAGCAATAATGAAGGGTTAGACATTGTATTGATAGTACTTCTCTTGGATAATAGCATAAAAAACATGTAAGTAATTGCAATTAATTACTATTGTCCTTGACCAAAACCTCACCTTCGTCCCTAACTGTGGAAATCACATGCTTTCCATACATGCAATTTCAAGGACTATAGTGAGAGTTTTCACAGTATTTTTTTTATTTATAAACATGGCAATTAGTGACATGTCAATACTTTATTGGTGCTTGGGTGCACTAGGTTTATGCAAGAATTTATACTGGTCTGAAATAAATATGTTTTACTGATAATTAGCTACTGAAAGAAGCGAATGGCTACCTCTACTTGTTCTCATATTGAACTGGATACCAGAATTAGTGTTTTAAAAGTTGAATCAGAGATCAGTCTGGCTGTGGCTCAGGGTCACAATTTGATTGACTCAACTAGTTAAATTGGTGCTTGTTGAACTGGAATAATTTGAACTAAATATATAAACTGGTTCACAGTCTGACTGATTGAACTGACCACTTTGGTCTGTGGCTCCGAACATTGACTTTCAAGTGGTATGGGAAGGGTTTTATTTCCCCTTTGCATATTTAGGATATATTTTTGCAATGAGATAAATACTTTTTTTTGCGTATAGTAAGCTTTAAGCAATGCTTTTTCTGATAGATATCATGTTAATTTCTTGAGCTAGTCAGGAAAACAGTGGATCTCGATCCTTATTCACCGCCTCGAGAGCTTCTTCAGATACTTCCTCCCAAATCATCCATTAGAGGATCAGACTGTGGTCCACAAATTGGACCTAATAACCCAAAATTTGCAACCGTATGTTGTTAGAGGCAATTGTCCCTTTGTCCCATGCTTTTTATATATTTCTTCTGTATTTACTCATATTATCACTGTATCTGTACTTCTGAAAATTTGAAATTTTCTTGCAACTGAACTTTGTCTACTTATGGTCCTTCTAACAGGGAATGCAAGCTCTATTGGATTTAATTTTTGCAGTTGAGGGGTCTGTCTCGGAAGCTGCAAAATATCTTGGGTATTTGATATATGCTTTATGTATGAAATTTTTTTGGTCTGTTTTCAAGCATGTGAACCTCATTGGTTACTATGATGGCATTCGAGATTTTTAATATTTTTTTTTAGGGTCACTTTGGCTTTGACCTGCATCTATGTGAATGGTTGTTATTACTTCCTAATGAATGTATGCCCAAAGGTTTGATTGTTGATATACAAGTTGCCAAAGAAAATACACAGTAGTTTCACTCTTCTCTTTTAACTGAATATTTTCCCCTTTATTTTAGACTAATGTGATACTTTAAAGTATGGAGATGCCTATTTTAATTAATGCCCTACCAATTAATTTGTTCAAACTTTTCTTTGATTGTTTTGGTGTTTATTAATTATATTGCAGGTTATCCACTGGGGCATTGTCTCGGTTAATCCTATCTGATGATTCACTTAGAAAGGAAGTAAATGATCTGCGGGCATCAAAGGTATACCTTCGGACGGATTCTCTCCAATGATAGCAGTATTTTATCTAAGCATGCACGTTTTATTAAATAAGTTGTTACATAAAATGAAATGAATTTCAGATGGAACCTTTTATTGTGCAATACATTCTTGCTCTTTTTCACTTTGGGTTCTGCTGATTTAGTAGAAGGATTTTCGATAACTCTTGATGTTTTGAAACAATTTCTACCGAGGACCTGCTTTTATCATGTTATGTATTAAAAAATAAAGCATGCACAATAAACTGTTTTTCTAATATCAAATATATAAGTCTTAAATATTATAATTTTTTTTTCTATTTATTAGGAAATAAGAGTTAGAGGATATCATTGACATGGATTGTTACAGTCTGGATATAAATTCTATTAATAAATTATACATTGTATTTCAATTGGTTATCTTAAAATTTGGATTTGGGCCTCTTAACTATATATAAACCAGCTTATAGGTGAGAAATTTCCTAGCTTTTATATTTTATTTTGGTTATATCACTTGTTGATGTGACATTTTCAATTTGTCTTAGTCATACAGAAGAGTAGACATCTGAGGATGATCTGATATGGATTGGGTGCTAGTATGCTGATAGGTCCAATAACAATCAGTAAGATAGATAATAATACCATTTTAGAAGTGCAAAATGAGCTTGTAAAACGAGGATTACTCCTCACTTGTGTATTTTACCATGGCCATTGTTGAACTTGGGATCTTCAACAGGTTATGTTGTAGATTGTCTTCTTTCGTATTGGACAATCTGAATGGGGTTCTTAAGGTTTTGACAAAAACTAGGAGACTAAGAATTTTTTTATGGGAAGCTGATACAGTTGTGTGCTGTATAGACCTGTGTTCCTTTACATTTTGCTAGAAGCTTTTTTTGTATACAAAACTTTGTCCAGGATTCATCAAAAAAGAACTTGTATTGATATTGGGTGATTGATTGATTTTTATAGCTGGAGAAATTATCTTTTAGCTTGATACAGCTGCAATTCTAATTTTTAAATCCTTGAAAATCTTGTCACTATCCTGGGATAAGTGATGGTGTATCTTTCACACTTCAAGTTCAAGCATCATGGGTGGATTTGTAATAAGAGTGATATCTGGTAGCAACCAATAGTGAGGTTTTGTTTTTATTATTATTATTATTATTATTATTATTTTATCTATACGTGCCAAATGCTGAATATTCTTATTCTGGGAAAGACTTAAATATTCTTACATTTGCTTGGAGGCAAAGTTCATTTCAGGAAATGGAACATCATAGCATTGTTGTAGTTGTGTGCTCCAGCAAGAAACCTCATCCCCCAAATATGATTTAAAAATATAAAAACCTTTATTTCTCTTGTTTGAACTATTACTGATATTGATTAGCCTTTCTATTTGCTATAGTGAAGGCTCAATTTTTAATGGAGATAACATCATATTTTATATATTTTAGTTATTTAATTGCCTTGTACCCTGTGGAAATCTGGAAATGTTTTGGAAATGCAAGGCATAATCTTTGGTTGGGTATCCAACAATGACAAGAAATCTTATATATATATATATATATATATATGCTTCCTTATTGGCTATTCTATAATGTTAGTCACTAAACTATATTCAAATTACACAAACGGTGCTTCTGTTATGGTCAAAAAATAAGATAAGAGTCCATCTTTAATGCTTTCCTTTTAACTGTAACTGGGAATCTACTTTTTTGAGCATGAACAGGGTATGAAGCCTCTCAAGTAGAAGAAGCTCCAAGTTTCCATTCCTTATGCAGGTATAATTTATTCCATCTCCTGCTCACCACACACCTACAAATTCGAGTCAGCATTTTGGTATAGTTATAGAATACAGAAGGAAGGAGACAACCTTCAACATCTTTAGAAACTGGTCAGATAATGGAAATTATGTTTCTACTCATTGTTTTTTAAAATGATACTACATAACACTTGAAATAAGGGTACTTGATAAGAGTTTAAGAAGTTTTACTAAAGTTGCTAGATCTCTTAAATTTTATGCTTTGTTTAATTAGGAGCGAAATAGAGAAGAAAGAGTATAGAAATATAATAAAAAAGATGTGCAATTTCGACAGATAGATAAAAGAAAGAAAGAACTATAGAGGAAGTTCTCTTTGATTGCTTGGATAAGCAGAAAAATATAAATAAATTTTAAAAATATTTGAAGAGAGAAGCTGCTAAATCATCTCTTTTTCATGGAAAATACAATTTTTTTGGCAACTTCTTATTTTTCTTTCAAGAAAACATGTGAAGAAAATGATACAGTCCCTTCCATTTGACTCCCTCCCAAATCAGCCAATCCAAACATACTGTGAGAGTGGTTGTTCTTCCCTTAGTTAAATCATTAAAACTTGAACCCAGTTGCAACTTTAGCCCCTAGATAAATTTGATTCCTATATTTACTAAATTCATTATGAAGAACATGTAATTTCCTATTTTGATTGGAGTTATTTATGACATTGTATGGTGTATTTTTCGGTTCAGACATCTCAGATTGAGATAAGGGGTTCTTTTATTTGCAGAAGACAACGCTTAGAACCTGTACGACGTATTTTTTCTCCATTTAAAACCTGAGCTTGACAATGAAAAATACTGAACCTGGTGAACAAAGGTCTCAGGTGGCTGGATTTTCAGCTTGAACAAAACTCATTCTTCAAAACTCAACGAGCACGTTGAAAAAGCTGGTGCTTTAAGGTGTGCTGAAGGGAACATTGAGATGACAACCTATAATAGAACATTTCTCTGTAGATCATCTTTTGAAACAATATAAATTTCTTGGTTTTCTTTCATTGTATACAGGTTTTATGTAGAGTGTAATTTATATGAATTTCTTGATTTTTTTTACCAGTTATGTGCTCTACTTGAGCCTTTTATTCTTTATTTGTTTCTACAGAAACCAGTATCAAATTGTTCCTGTAATTCATGATTCTAACAATATTTCTTCGAACACTCAATGGCATCCACTAACAAAATGAATATACAACAATTTATTGGATGAGAATGGTACATGTAATCATATTCCTTTGGATTTATCTCTTCCAATTTTACAACGGTGTTGCTTTAAAAAGGAACACTTTTGATCCCCACCTTGGTTTAATTTCGATACACTTTTCAGCAAGAAAAAAAAATGAATCAAGAAGACAAAAATATTTTTTTTTCTCAAAAAGATACAATTAATTTATGTATCTTAGCTTTTTTTAGAAGCTTTTTGATTTTTTTTATAAGTGAAGTCTGTAAAAATTAATTTTATCTATTATTTTATTTTTATTTTTTTCTTATTGATCTTTTGAGGGTTTTATTGATCCTCTATGTTTTGTAAATTAAATAATTATTTTGGCTAAACAAATTTTGTAAACTTTTTCTTTGGAAAATATTAAGAAGTGTTCTTAAGAAACACTAAACTTGAACTTAAAAATTTTATATATTTTATATGAAAATATTGAAGTGTCATTAGAATATTCTTAGCATAATTTTTAATAAAAAGAAATCTATTATTTAAATCTTTAACCAGGTAAAACTATTAGAAAGAAAGAATAATGATGGGGTGAGAAAGATTTGATATTGCTATGAAGCCAAAATCTGGTTACCCTAATCATGGTTTTAGACGCAGATATGGATTTCATGCTAAACATAATTCTTCTTGTAATCATGTCTAGTTTAATATTTGATCAAGCAGATTAATAAATTTATGTTAAATTAAAATCATTGTAAATAATTTCTATTTTTCTATATCTGAAACATGGATAAATATAACTCCAAACCACAAACCACGCTTTCACTATTACCACTTTTCAGTTTTTACTTTGTACCTTTCTTTTGGTCAAATTCCCATCATGTGATTAACAAAGTCCACAAGCAGTGGCTGATAAATTACCCTTGTTTTTGGATTAACACCAAATAAGAAAATTAAAAAAGTTAAGTTGTATTGTAATGTACAGTCCACAATGAAATTCTCTTTTCTCCATTTCTCTGTTGTGGAGATTCTGGCTTATCTTGCTGTTTCTTGACTCTGCTTTGTCAATGAGAATATATGAATGAATGAAAGAATGAACAGTTTCCCATTCTCGTACTAGCCACATTGAACAGGGTAGGGTCTGTGTCACTGTGAAAGATAACATTTTTTTTTATATACATAATATATAGTTTATGTGTCAGCCCTGAAATGGATGCCACACAACATAATAATCTTAATAATGTTTTAAAGGCATCAAGTTGGAATTTGACACGAGGAATCCTCCTTAACATGAATATTCCTAGCCGTCAACAGCATATACATTGTAGATGATTGGACGATTTCTTGTTGCAGAGCCAGAAAAAGAGGGTCATTGAATAAAATAAAAGTGTGTATGAACATTAGTAGTCCATTTAAGAGTGAACACGTTTATTCTTTAGTTTTGTGAAAGACTGTTATAATAAAAACATATTTTCATAAAAAGTTGGTTTAAATGAAATTGAATTCTGTCTTTTTAAGCAAGGTTTTGTATTCCAGCTAAAAAGATTATCAAGATGGATTATAACGTGACCATAACAAAACTGAATTCATGGTAAGAAAATATTTTCTTTTCTTTATCTCTCTTATGTTTTGTTTAAGTGTGTTGAAAGTCTCACATCGCCTACCTCATATCATTTGGTATGGTTTAAATACATGTTAGGCTACTTCACATATTGCCAATTGGTTTTATGTTGGAACCTTAACATGGTATCAGAGCCAAAGCCTAACATCTTTCCGGTTATTGTCATGGGCCAAAAGTTGCCCTTTAGTTGGGTCAAAAGTACCATTTGTCTGGTCCAGCAGACTTCGTTGGAGGGGGTGTGTTGAAAGTCTCACATCGCCTACCTCATATCATTTGGTATGATTTAAATACATATTAGGCTACTTCACATATTACCAATTGGTTTTATGTTGGAACCTTACCAAAGGGAAACAGTCCTAAATTCAGTGTATCAAGAAGCCAAACAAATTGGTTTAAATTTGATTAAAACAGCAAAATATGATTTTTTTTTTCTGTCAAATTATCAGTTCAACTGTTGAATTAGAGAAGTGGGGAATTGACCAATCAATCTCACCAAGGTCCGGTTTTACAACCTGGTTTGGTCTATGTAATTTGACTTTATGTTATCTTTTATGTCTAGTGTAAAAAAACCATTATACTACCTTTGCTTTGGCAGTATTTTTGTTTGCAAATGGCATTGATCCTCTCAAGGTTCTGTGTGTGACCATGAGTCTGTTTCTCTAATCAATCATCAACAGTAAACCCATCAGTTTCTCTCTTTTGACTTGTTTTGGTTTGTTGTGTTTGATTTTTACCTGTGGTTGAAATTCTGATCTGACCAAGCTACAGTACATTGAGGCACAAACTATAGGATTATTATTGGTAGAATAGAATATTGCAACAACACTTTTCTCCTTTGGATCTGTGTGCCAGTGGGTGGGGCTTCAACTTCCCTACCAAAAGCAAAATCAAAGTTGCATGATTATATGGAGAACCTGTGGATGAGAAGAAAGATTTCTCAAAGTCAAAATTGTTTTGTATGTTGCGAATGGCAAGAGAGTTAGATGCTGCAGAATCATATTCTCAAGAGAATAAGGTTCTTTTTCACCTTCCACCATCCTCCACCTTTTCCCTCGTTGACTCTGCTAAAATGACATTAAAGTCTATAGCCACTCCAAAACTTGAAACCCTTCTAAGCCAAACTTTATTATTCCTTGTTGGTTATTATGATATTGGTGACAGCAAGCAAGCAAACAATCAATTGGACCTTTAAGAAATGAGAAGTCTTGATCACAATCCATTCTTTCATTAACTCTCACCTAAGCTTTTTTGCTGTGGCTAATTATTTACTTCGTGCTTATCTATAAACAATTTCTATGTGAGCTTTTAAGGAAAAAGGAATTTTGGTTAGAGAGAAAAAGGCTAGAGCTAGGGGAAGATAAGTGACTTTTTGAAAGGTATGAAAAGTAGATAGAACTAGGAATAAGGGCAAAACAAACCCAAGAATGCAAGATGTGCTCATGACTTTCTCATGTATGACATGGCATAGCATATTAGCATCTCCTTTAAAGCAGTACTGTGCATAACATCAAAGATAAATAATAAGTAAAAGGGCCACAAAATTTAACAATCTCAAGAGGGTAGATGTTAGTAGCCTTATTCCTACAACCTATGATCTCCTTTATGTAACAAAGTAACAATCTTAATGTTAAAAGCATTTAATCTAAGTCAAATAAAGATGATTTTTACATTTTTAATATGAAAAATTGAGAATATATATCTTAAGAATGCTAATCCAAACAAACTATTAATCATGACCAGAGAGATTGTATCAACTAAATGCTGCATAATTTTAACCCAGCTACCATTTTACATGAAATGATCATGGTTAAAGGAAAAGAAGGACTAGGGAGCTAAATTTGGCATTGCCATTAATCTTGCTTGTATTTCTGTCACTTCAAGAGGTCCAAAGAAAGGAAGCTCTTCCTTTTTGGTTATACTCGTTGACTTTGCACGTGGATTATTGCCCTTCTAATATAAAGGATATTGCAGTGTTGGTGCCTTGTTGGGTTTGTAGACTATCTAAAAAGTAAAAACTATTTTATATGATGAATGTTCTCGTCCATATTACAATTCTGTGCTTAAAATATGAAAGATTTGATTCTGCAATTTGTACTGCTTCCAATTTTTTAAAGCCAAACTTTTTCTCACTCTTCTCCCCACCACCTTTATATGCGTGTATCACTGCAACTGCTTACCTCTACACATCAAATTGTGCCATTAGTCTTCTATCAACATTATAGAACTTCTTCTTTTCTCAAAAAGAAGAATAATGGGTGTTGACATACAAGGTAAGCTTCGTTTAGCTCTTGGCTCAGTGAAAGATCATGCCTCTATTGGCAAGGCCATGATGTATCATTACCAACATGATGGCTTTTCCAACATAGAGATTGCAGTCCTGCGTGCTACTGGCCATGATAATGGAACCATTGACGACAGATACATGCATGAAATCCTCTTTCTTGTGTCAAACTCTCCAGGATCCATTCCTTTTCTGGGTGAAAGGATTTCACGCCGCCTAGGCAAAACTAAGGACCATGTTGTGGCCCTCAAGACCCTTGTCTTGATTCATCGCCTTCTTAGAGGGGGAAACAGGTCCTTTGAACAAGAGCTATGCAAGGCACATGTCTCAGGTCACCTACAAATTAGTACAAGGTGTTTCATAAAGAGTTCTGATCACCCTTCAGTTGGTTTCCTACACAAATATGCAGCTTATCTTGAAGAGAGGATGAGTTGGCTCATCAACCAAGCAGGGAAACTTGAGCCAGTTATGTCCAAAGGGTTAGAATTTAGGCGCTATGATGAGAAATCCTTTGATATGGCATTCAGAACATTGCCTAAATGCCAACTGCTTATTGATAAGGTGTTGGAATGGTCACCAAATGATATTTTGTGCTCAGATCATAGCCTGGCTCAAGCTGCTATGAGCAACACCTTGAGAGAGAGCTTCCAGGTTTATATGACATTTTCTGAAGGCATTGCAGCTCTTGTGAACATGTTTTTTGATCTAACAGCATCAGCCAGAGGCCTAGCCTGTGAAATACTTAAGAAAGCTTCTCTCCAGAGCCAAAAGCTTCATGATCTATATGAAAGTTGCAAACAAGTGGTTGAAAACAAGAATTTGGATTACCCTTCTGTTCAAATAATCAGCATGAGTCATGTAGTAGCATTGGAACAACTTGGTAGTCCACAAAATGAACTTGCAACTTCACATGTCTCTCTATCTAGCATCTCAAGGCCACCTCCAATTTTAAGCCACTTAACAAAATCAAAAGAGATAGAGTTGGAAGTGGCATCAGAAGAAAACATAAGGAATGAAGAGAAGAAAGTTGATGTAAACTTGTCACCAACCCCAACTCTTTTTTCATTGACACTAGAAACTAAAATAAGCATGGTGTGGGTGGTGTTTGAAGATGAGGTTCCCAATGAATCACAGGTTCTTCCATCAGCACAGCAAAAACTTGGAACTGTTGATGCTGTAACTGACATAAAAAGTGAATATGGCGGGCCTAGTGTGTTCCTTAATCCATTTCCATCTACTTTTCGAACAAGCGTGTCTTCAAAGGTATAAGTTTGGTGAGTCAACAAGGTTGCATGAGTTCTTCAATGGCTTTGGTAAACTGAATAATACTGTCAATCATTTTTCCTATTATACACCATGTTGTGAAGGAAAAGTATATATGGTGCTATAGCTTCTGCATACTTCATAAAGAACTGTAATATGTGAGTAAATGTTGCTATGAGAAACATGGGGCAAAATTGTTTACAAGAGTAATAAAATAGAATAGGTCATTCAGCTTGTATAATATTGTTTTCATATTTTAATTGTTTTCTCTAGGTACAATGTTTTAGGTAATTCAACATAAATAGAGGGAAGAAATCATTAGTGTCATCTTTTGTGGGTCATGTTTTAGTTTGTTCTCTGTACAATGTATCATTTTGTATGTGGATTATGCTGGTATAAAAAATAACCATTTTATTAAAGCTAAAAACTATAATCCTCCAGTGTAGAAGACAATAATTAAAGTTGATATAATTTAATCTCTTATTATGAAAAGTGACATCAAATTTTTTTCGTTATGATTTTTTTTTTTTTTTGAGAATATTGATCATTACCACTTTGCTTGAGGAACTGAACATCATCTTCCATGATTAAAGAACTGCACTATTGTTATTTTCTTAAATGTTATAATGTACTTACATAGATACATGTCAAACATATAGATTAAGATTTAATACATGTATCTACACTCACCAATTTATTATTTGTTAATATATTTAATTAAAAAAGATGTACTAACATTTTAGAAAAAACTTATTACAAAATATTATAAATATAACAAGAATTTGATGGTGATGATGTAGGATTTGAAACCAAGAACATAAATTTCTATTCTTCTTAAATTGTTTCTACTAATGAATCACGTGATTCTAAAAATGTTCTTATATCATATGAGTGAGATTGCTTTCACTTATGAATAATAATGACAAAAATATCATAATTGATTAGAACTTGATAATGCAATCAATATAACAAGTATTTGAAGGGAAAAATTAAATTGTTTCAATTAAGAAAATGTGACAATTTCAAATATTACTAAGAAACATTATATAATAAATTAATTATTTGATTTTTTTTTATTAATAAAACTTAATAGCACAAGCAGTGCATAAAGATTACAAAGGCAACAGTACAAAAATTAGGATCAAATAAAAAAATTATGCACAAAACAATCCCATGACATTTATCGATACCCATTCAAAAACAAAAAGTCACACACTTTCATATTCTGACTCTAACAACTAAAGATTAAAGATCAGTATGGTGTTAATGAAGTAAATTTTCTCTTGTTAATAAAAATTGCTAGGTTTAATAAGGAGATAATTAAATTATGTTTTGAGTTATGGAAAAAATCAATTTTAAATTGGTTCCGAGTTGAAACCGCAAAGATTTTTTTTATTATTATTAACTAGTCAATTAGTTCACCCTACAGAAGAATTTTTTTTCTCAAAATCTTAAAAAAATATATATAGTTATTTTTACATTATGATCTCGTATAAAATCGAACTACTTATTCATAAAAAAAAATTATAATTTAGTGTGTATATCATTTTATTGAACGAAGAACTTACTTAATAAATATTATCTCAAATATTATATATATATATATATATATATATATATATATATATATTTATAATTTATTTCAATGTTATATTTTTGTTAGTTTGGTGAATTTTAGAAGTCCAATTAACTATTAAATTTCGAAGTACAACGTAATTTATAATTTTATAACTATTTTATCATGACAAATTTATTTATTACATAAATTTATTTATTATCTATACTAAAAAAAAGTATTGACGAAAAGAGGGTGAAGAATTGAAAAAAAAATGTGAATTAAAATGGTTTAGTGCTCATAATCACTTCTATAAATAAAAATTGGATAAATAATTTATTATTGATGTATAATAATTAAATAATTATAATTTAGTAATTCCGATTGACTACTAATTTCAAATTCATTGGAATATTTCTAAGTTGTTTAAAAAAGTTATTAAAAAAAATATTTTACAGTGAATCTGAGTTAGTGAAAAATTAGAAAAGAAAAAATTTTAACGTATAAAATACCGAATAAAATAATGTTTGTATTTATAAATAATTATTGTAAACATTTATTTTGAAATGCAATTATAAAATATAAAAGATTATAAAATACTGCAATAAGGAAAATTTATTATTCAATACAGTTAAACTACATAACCAGTCACACCATAACAAACTAATACCAATCCATAATTTGCTATTTTCTAAAAAAAATTGCACAAATTATCAAAAATTAAAAAGTCAAAAAAAGATTTTTTTTTCCTTTTATTTAAGAAAAATAAGATTAATATTTTTATTTATTTCTATTTAAAACTTTAAAGTTAAAACTATATTTGATGTATTTAAGCACATTTTTCACTAGACAAGGTTCAATTCAAATTAGTTCAAGAATTGATTTCAGATATTCTTTTGAATCCCGAATAATAACTTCAAAATTAAGTATGAAATCAATAAAAAAAATAGTATTTTAATTTAATTTTTGTCTTGAATACAAGTTCGATATCAATAAAAAATTAGTATTTTAATTAATTTATTTAAAACATATTCAACTTATGGTTTAAAAACATTGTTTAACAGCAAAACCACTAAAAAAATTAAAATCCCCACTACTCAATAAATGAAGATTAAATTATAAAAAAAATAAGTTGTTGATACTTAAATACTTGGAACTTTAGTAGCAATTTCATAACAGGTTAAGAAACTAACACTCCAAAAAACACTGCTACTACATATTAGTAATCCAGGACAATCAAAAACATTTTTAAGCAACAGGGACCTCAATATCAGTGGCCACCACAGGAGGAGGGGCAGGGGCAGTAGCAGGGCGGTTGTATTCTTCCTCCTCCTTTGGAGTGTGGATGGTGACAAGATCTGGAAGGGGAGTTACAGGCCCCTGCTTCCCTTTAGGATCCCAATCAAGCATGATCTTTACCTTGATACCAAGAACACCCTGTAATGAAAGAAAGCAAACAATGTTTAAATCCTAGTGCCAAAAGAAATTCTATCAGGTAACTATGAAGAATAGAAGAAAACCTGTCTGAGAAGCACGTGTCTCACAGCAGAGTCAATGTAATCCTTGACTGGTTGTCCAGAAGAAATCATGTACCCGTCCTTGAATTTCATGGATTTGGCTCTCTGAGCTCTCAATTTGCCACTAACAATGACCTGTTTAAACCAAACAGTAATCACAACCAAATCATTGTATAAAGCAATAAAAGAACAGTGCTACAAAGCTGCTTCTGTGGACAAACCTCGCATCCCTTGGCACCACTTTCCATCACAAATCTTAAAACACCATAACAAGCCCTGCAACAAAAAGTTCAAGATATAGAGTTTCTTCCAATAGGCAAAAAAAATTGTATTCACACAAGTAAAAAAAAAAAGGAAAAATTAAAGGTTCCTAGCCCTTCAAAGCACATTGATAATGTAAAATACGGAAAAAAAGTCATAGAAAAAAGGTAAAACAAATTAGAAGCTACCACGTACATATAACATCATCGTACATTGCCATTAAACATTAAAAATCAGATTAAATATACCCCGTGTGACAAAAAAAATTAAAAGAAATCCTTGCCATATTTCAATTGGTTAAACAAACAATAAAGTTGGAAGCAAAAGAATCTAATTCAGCCTCACAGGAATCATATTACACAGTAAAATATACACATAAAACAGAGGTTACAAAAACAGGGCTAGCATTAATATGTCATTTTCTATGTTGTCACCAAGAAGGTATTTAACACAGCGGTAGGGAAAAGAGAGCTACAGCAAAGACAGAGTGTCGTGAGTGCGTCAATCAATCTTTATTTCAAGTAGTCCCCAAGGAACTTAATACCAATTTAACATCTCAAAACTAGGTATGCACCTAAGAACAACAATAACCAATACAAGTAAATATTGGTGGTTTCCTAGGGAGATTAAAAAAGCAACGCCACCAGTCAAACATGACTCAGATAAAATCGGGGATTGTTGAAAATCAATTATAAAAAATTAGTTTCCCACTTTCCTTCAAAAACAATTTTCCAAACACTTTTCAAAACACACTAAATCAACCTACCAATAGTAAAACATAAACATTAAGCATGTAGTGTACAGATTCATAATATCCAAAAACTAAAATCCCTGCTAATCGATAACCCTAAAAGTCAGATATATTATATAAATAAACAAATTTGCAATATATTATAATACCTGCGTACAGCAAGGCCACCAAGGAGCTTGTAACGAAGAGACTCAGCCTGAGCAATGGCACAGAGACCTCTGTTATTGACCTTTTCAGCATAAAGCTCAACACTGTTCTCCGGAAACTTGAACCTCTTCTGCACCACTGAGGTCAGTTCCCTAATTCTCCTTCCCTTCTCACCTGCACATCAAAACATAGTCAATCAACCAACAACATTATATTCAACCAAAATAACTGGCCTCTAGAATCACACGAACCAAGAACGGCTTGGGTTCTGGTGGCTCTGATGATGATCTCAGTGCGCATCGGCGTAACTCTAACCTCCACGCCGGAGTAACCATCCTCTGCCAACTCACGCGTTAGAACCTCGTTCAGTTCGGCGAAAAACACTCCGTCCGCAACAAACTGTATATTAATACAATTCAAACATTGAATTCACACACAATGTCCCGAAAAAGAGAAAGAAAAAATACAAACTGAAATAGAAAAAGAAAATTTTGGTGTTTCCAGTCCAAATGGCACTAACTTTTCTCTTCTTACTCATCTGAGTAGCCATGCTTGAAAACGAGAACAAGAAAGAGAAGGAATGCGACTTGATTCTGATCCGAACAGGCAATGTGGGAAGGAGTAATGCACTGGAAACCCTAATATGAGGAATATGTTTTTTTTGGGTTGGGCCGGATCAAATGATTTTTAGCTAAATATTATTTTCGATTTTTAAATTAAAAATAATTTGTTTAAGTGTAAAACAAATATAATGGGTTATAGTAATGTTTTTTAAAATAAATAAATACATACACATAAAAAATTTATTGTAGATATATAAAATATTTATTTTATTCATTAATCATAAACATAAACCCTAAAAATATTTTAAGGAAATTGGTTCCGTTGTTTCATGTAGGATCTGAAGTGTGTTTGCTTTTTTTTTTTAGCCTTTTTTTGTTAATTTAAAATCTACAAAAATTGGTAGGTGAGCTGAGACAAAAAGGTTTACAAAAAGAAGTCCATGGCCCAACAAGTTTCTTTATACAAAACTCAGAGTCCGTTTATAATTATGATTATTCATATTAAAATTTAAAAAAAAATCAACATTGATAATAAAATAATTAATATTTTAGTACATATTATATATATATATATATATATATTAGATATTAAATAGTTTTAGATTAATATCATTTTTTATATATAATTTATATGAAAAAACTTTCTTCAATACGTTTTAAACAGAATAATTCAATCAAAATATTTTGAGCCATATAACATTTGATAAAAATTAGATCATGTAATTTTATCTCTTTAATATAAAATTAGATCCACTCATTTTTTTAAAAATTAAATTACAATGAGGCCACAATCAAACTTTTTTTATACTCCTCTAATTATTGTATTGAAAAAAAAACTGAATTTTATTTAAAATTAATTTTTAATCTTATTTACAATATTTAATGTTGCATAACGCTGTGAATTTGTAAAAGTCATTGCGAAATACAGAACTAATTAGATGTTAAATTTTATAAATGAAAATAACTAGATTTTATAAATTTTATATATAAAAAATTAATTGATGTTTTATATTATTTTTATACTTACTATATTACTACTCTAATGTGCATCGAAGTTCTACTGTTAGTGTGAGCATTGTAAAATAAAATGCACTGTAGTTATTGCTTTTATGCATGAAAAGATAAATATTTTTTTGACCAAATTAACTGTTTCAACTCTATTGTTTAGAGTGAACAAATTAAAATTATTCTAATGCTGACCTGAATTTCTCAGTCAAGAAGCAGCAAGATATGAAGATTGTTCTTAGGCAGCTCTCGATGTGCCTTCATATGTTAGTTGACTTGTGGACGATGGTTCAAGTAACCTTAACCTCAGACTTGCGTACTTGTCGATTTAGTGCAAACGTGGTTCATCAACACCTCCTGAAACATGAGATCATGAAGTCTAGTGCAATGTAGATGACCCTTTTAAGAAAAGTCTAGGCTAAATAAATATGGTTTTCTGCTGAATGCCTCTTGATTCACCTTTTTATGTTATCATTCTAATTGGAGGGAAATCTTGAAATATTGCATAGATAAATTTATATCTTCAAAATTAAGTGAACATATTTATACATAGTTTTTAAGGTTGCAGGTTTTGGGAGATGAGAACTCTAGGTGCTTTGAAGTGTACCTTGGGTTGTGTGAACATACAGTTATGTCCCACCTGAATCTTCGCAACTGTAAGCTTATGTTGCTACCGAATTGGGTTAATGTCTTGGCAAGAACATGTGGGTTTTTCTGAAGAGATATATCATTCAGAACAACATCATTGTCATAATCCGGGTTTGAATTTTTTAGAAGAACATCATTTTGTGCTCTTCCAAGTAGTTTCTACCATTTGGTTATGATTGAGTTAGGGCAGTGGAACCCAAATGGTGGTTGAATCCAACCATTCATGAGGCTTGTTTGACAGTCTAACATTATGATCAAATTGATCTCAATACTTGATATAAACTAAGCTCAAATAATCAATAGAGACTAAATTCAAACAATGTTCAGGTCTGCAGCATCTCTTGAAATGCATTATCTCCTTCATTGGCAGATAAGAAACGCCTAAGAAACTCAGTTGTGGTAGCATCAACTCCAAACCCTTTGTCTTTCATTATTTGAAGGTATTTTCTAGACCTAGAAATATCATATTTTCTCAACAGTCCCCGGACAAAGACATTATAAGAGCATTTATTGGGCGGGCATCCATTCTCCTCCATTTTCCTAAGCATCTCTTCAGCATCATCCAGCTGTCCTTCTCTACACAGACTTTTAATCATTATGTTATAAGTATATGAATCAAATTTCAACGCTTTATCTTGCATTCGACATAGAACTTTCCTAGCATCATTCAGTTTTCCTGCTGTGCACGCTCCATTAAGCATGATATTGTAAATCACAATATCAAGATCCATACCATTCTTCTCCATCACTGTAAACATCGACACCGCCTCTGAATCAAGCCAGCATTTGAACAACCCATCCAACACAACAGCACAGGTCTGAAGATTGGGAACTTGGCCATACTTTTCCATAGTTAAAAGCAACTCCCTTGCAGCCGATGGGTTTCTCACTTCACAAAACGCACCAATGAGAATGGTCCAAGTGACCACATCAGGATTCAACCTTTTCCCTATCATTTCATCCAACAGAATCATAGCCTTATCAACATCCTTAACTCTACACCACCCATGAATCAACAAATTATACGTCACAACACTCGGCAAACACCCCTCCCCCTCGCTATCCATCAAACCCAATACCCTCATCGCCTCCTCCATTCGACTCCTCAAGCAATGCCCACCTATCAACGTGTTATACGTAACAACATTGGGCTTCACCCCAGTCCTAACCATAAAACCTATCACACTCTCTGCCCGTGAAAGCAACCCCTCTCTGCAAAAACCATCCACCAAAATCGAAAACGTTTGCACATCCGGTGCAATTCCCTTCTCCACCACCATCTCATTGAACAAAACCACCCCCTCCCTCCACCCACCAAACCCGCCACACAAACCTTGTATCAAGCAATTGTAAGTCACAACATTAGGCTCAACAGTAACACCCATCTCACGGAACAACCCCAAAGCCTCACTCACCAACCCTCTCTTGCAAAGCCCATCCAAAATCGCATTATAAACCACAACATTGAGCTCCAAATTTCTCTCAACCATCTTCCTCAAACACTCTACAGCACCAGAAGTATCCCCAATTTTACACAAACCATTAACCAACGCCCCATAAGTTCGAGCATTGCACTGATAACCTAAAGTTTCCATTTTTTCCACCAACCAAAGCGCACGATCCACATCCCTTTCAATACAAAGACCGTTAACGATGATGTTAAGCGTCACCAGCGTGGGTTCCACACCAGTTTTGGTCATGAGACCCAACACGGCGAACCCCAACGTCGTTTGGCGCAGGTGGCAGAGGGAGTTGATGAAAATGTTGAGGGTGCACACGTCAGCACTTGCGCTGACCGGGTTAAGGGTTTTGATGAATGAAATGACGGTGGCGTGGTGGTGCGATTTCGCGACGAGTCCGAAGAAGAGGTTGAAGTCTTGGATGCAGGGGAAGGGGGTTAGGGTTAGCATTCTGCGGAAGAAGTCGACGGCAGCGGCAGCGGTGGCGGTGGTTTCGACGGCGCGGATGGATTTCAAAAGATGGGTGCGGTTGGCGGCGTCGGAAATGGGTGGTGGTGGAGAGGTGGAGAAGGGGTGGGAATAGTAAAGTGAGGTGACGGAGGGGTGGGAATAGGAGATGGTGGAGGCTGTTCTCTTGAGCCGAAGTCGCATTGTTGTATGTTCATATGCTACTAAGTGTGAGGGCTGCGTTTTGAAACTGGGGAAGATATTTAAATTTTAACACACTATGCTATTTTTAATTCACTTGATCCTATTATTCTACTCTCTTTAGTTTTAAAAATAAAATAATTATATCACAGATCCAATTCACATATTAAAAACAATTATTCAGTAAGAATTTGAATTATTACTTATAATTTATAAATTTGTATATATTTACTGTGATAAATGTTTAAATTAGAGCAAATGACTTTTTTTTTTTTCATTTTCTCCAAATTTATTAAAGATTATTTTTGGATGTATCATGTATGAATCATCAGAACCATGATCTTAGAGAGAATAATGTTTTAGTGATCGAGATTATGTTTCATTTATGAATTAGTATTTCAAATTAAGAAAAATTCAAATTAAGTTTCGAATGTTTTAAAGATTTTTTTTTTTCATTTTTCCCCTAATCTAGAAATTTCTAGTCGTAACAATAACAATAAGGATCAAAATTTAAAATAAAAAAAAATCTTTATTTCATAGACTTAAATGAAACTTAAAAAAAGAAATAAAAAAAATCAAGGATTCTCCTAGTTTCCTTTAACTTTAAAAACTAATATGACTTTGGATTATAACAAACTAATATTAGACATTGAATTTGGCTATTTACTTGTTTTATAAAACAAAATGCTAAACAGTATTGCGTTATATGAATAAAACTGGCTTCAAAAAATTTAAAATATTGAAGATTTATAGATGAAAAAAAAACGCTATGATAACATATTTGTTAAAATTATTGATCAAATTGTTTAGTAGGCATTAGTCATCGATAAAATTAGTAAATATTTTGTAATGATAATATATATATATATATATATATATATATATATTAGTAATTATTTTTTTTCAAACAAATTTAATACTCAAAAAAGCAAGTTTTATTTTTTATTTCATAAAAACTTTAGTGAATTGAGAAAACCTTTGGGTTTAAAGAGCGCTTATGAAGTTACTTATATTTACTTCTTTAAAGAAATATGTGAATAAAAGAGTTGAATGTGGTGATGTGTTTTCATGAATAATTGCAGAATTTATTTAATTGCTCACTGATACCTGAATAAGAAATATATATAATCATTGTAATTGCTTTCATTTCTATTAAAAAAAGTCATGACATTTTAATAAGAAAACTATGAATGTTGTATGCAATTAGGATATACAACAAAACCTTCAAGTCCTCGGATTGGATTACACCCAATCTTGACTGGGTTGCCAGATTTTAGTATCTCTTAAAACTTTGTTTGGCAGAGAAGAAAAGAAAAGTCATGATAAGGAAATAAGAAGGAATTACACTTTTTTCTTATATAAAAAAATGGAAGCTGAAAAGACTGTGTTCTCACATCAATTAGTTCACCTATTAATATCTTTTAACAAAAATAACTCACATTAGATATTTCTTATATTAAAAAATATAAAAAATTTATCTATGATATCATATTATTTTTAAATAACTAATAATTAATTTTATTCTATTAAAAAAATTTTAACAAATTTTTAACAAATTTATTCTCTTTTATTTTGTCTCTTTAAATACTTTAATTTTTTGATAAAATAATTATTAAAAAAATTTAAATATTTATCATATAAGATCCTTTCGATAAAAAATTTATTCAAATAACTAATATTTTATTTAATCATCTCGTTAATCAATTCCCATTGATACTGTAACACCACTAAAATTTCCCTGCCTGTTTTCCACTATTTTAAAATTTATTTATTTTTCCTCACTCCTAATCAATTGTCACCATAACTAACATTTTCCTATCAAGTAAGAGCAAATACATATTTTCTTCTCATCAATCACCAAAAAGGATAAAAGAAACAGAACGTGCTCTCTCATTTAAGTAAGTCAACAAATTAATCCAAACCAATTCATAAACGCATGAAAATCAAGCAAAGCTCATCTAGTGTGAACAATGGAGGTGTAATAAGCTGAACGCAAAGCCAGTTAAAGAGAAAATGCAAAAACATTTTACCCATAAAAATCCACAATTTGGCTGAATCTGATCAATTCTATGAATTTTCTAAACAGGTATGACAGTTTCCACAATTATTACAAACATATCGTAAGGAAGCATCAGAAGCAGCTATAGTGAATGTGTTGTATACTACCTTCTGCGCTTAAGGGGTCCAGTTTTGTAGCCACTCTTAGTTGGCTTGCCCCAAGGAGTGCGAGATCCTTGCCCCCATTTTCCACTACTCTTGCTCTTACCCTCTCCTCCACCGTGAGGATGATCTACGGGATTCATTGCCACTCCTCGAACAACAGGTCTTCTACCAAGCCATCGGCTGTGTCCTGCCTTCCTAAGCTTGCGATCCCCATGGCTTGGATTAGACACCACACCAACGGTGGCCCGACACCTAGAATCAATCAACTTTTTAACACCCGAGGGCAGTTGGATTAAACAGTATGCTGATGAGGGCTCTTTCAAGATCTTTGCACTAGTTCCGGCGGCTCGGACAAGCTTGCCACCTTGGCCTGGGTTCAACTCAATGTTGTGAATGATTGTTCCAATTCGCATTGCAGACAGTGGCATGCAACTCCCAATTCGTGAGTTTATGTCAGAATATATCATTTGACTCATCATACTCTCTCGTGTTCTTTGAGTACTAGTGTTTGTTACCTCTGAGAAAAGGCAGAACAAATACATGAAACCAAACAATATACAAATTTTAGATCTTGCAGGCCCATAAAATAAAATATACAAATTTCTTACCCCGTGTTCTGTTTTTTTTTTCTTTTTTTTTTTAATTTTAAGATGCAACACATATATATTTTCTTTGGTTCCTCTTCTAACAAGTGTACCGAATGCTACCCAAAATAACATAATATTGGATCATCCACAGAGGAGAAGAGCATGAACAAGGCTATAACTTGACTTGAGAGTGTTTATATAATATAAATTAATTCGTAAGCCACCATTAAACAGCATTGAGAGAATTCGGCTTTAATAGTGTAAGGCTATGGCGTAAAGCAATCAGGTCATCAGTACAAAGCTACGTAATTAATTTGAAGATTAGTCACAAATAGAAACCCCAAAGCAACAGAGGTTTTGCCAATATTTTCCCCATGTTTCTTAATCTGCAACAAAATACTATGAAACTAATGTTCTAATTGCTGAGATTTAGAGGGGAAATGAATGTACCAGAAGAGAATCGACGAAGAGTATTGGTAAACAAGTTCAGTGTTGATGTAGCAGTGCGACTTCTCCACAAAGAAACAGCCATTTCAAACCTGCAATGCCTACAGATTCAGGGCCCATTTGCTTTGCTTAAAGCTTATAAAAATGGATTGTCAAAATTATGTAAAACTAAAGTGGCATATTTAGAGATTATATGTTAAAGATAAGTTTACATTTAGCTATAATCATAAAGAAAAACTTAGCTTGAAAAGTGATTTTAAATGATATCATTTCTCAAAAAACAAGTTTGGATTAAAAAGTTTTCTTTTTGTTTAAGTTAAAAGTTAAAAAATATAACAAACAATTACATTCATAATTATTTATAGAAAATTCAAAACAGTACAATTAAATAAGTTTTGGGTAATGAAAGACAGTTGGCCAATGTGAATTATAATGAGAATCCACCATATGCATTCACGTAAAGCAATGTTGCAGAATAGTAAATGCAGGCTGTAAGCCTGCTAATTTCAAGTTGTTAATTAATTGTGCGTGTAACTCAAGCTAATTAGTATCATGGAGCAAATAAAGTATATGTTAAAGTGAGGAAGCGGCTGTTTGTTTGCTCCATTTTCTCACAAGCACATTAAAGTGTACATACTGCAGACATAAGCAATACCCAACATATATTTTGAAAACATGAAAAATTACTGATCTATTTGTGTTTCCTTGATAGGAACAATAATCACCTTTTTTTCAATAGAACTCACCATAGCATCTTAAAATATGATAGCTATTGGTAAAAGTCAAAGGCCCGATTACAGTTACAATTAAAGCCAAAAAGAAAAGGGAATCATGCATTACAGGGAGACTGTAAAGGGCATATACTATGAATATGAGCTCTACCCAATATTGTCTAAGCAAAAATCAGGATACATCAATATAATATCCAAAAAGTGAGACATTGACTATACTGGTTATATGGAATAACCCACAGAAAAATATATCCCAGCAACACAATACTGTATCTTGTCCTTTCAGCTAATTGGGTCCTTGTCTTAGCAACAGTATATCATATGCTATTTCTACATTATACAGCTCTTCAATTTTCTACCTTTTTTTACCCAACTTCTCAGTATGAGTTCTTTTTGAAAGGCTAGAATGCACCATTCAATAAGATCATTATAATTTGTTTTCCTTTTAATAGAATCACCGCATAATTTTCATACGACAGAACAGCAAGCTAAGACGGGGGAGATATTGAAGAGAAAATACATAGTGGCGTATATATAAAAAATTTCTGCAGAAAAATCAGTTAGCACAAAGGTCTATTAATTTTATTCATAACAACATTCACAGAGCATAATGTCCCCCAGTCCGTACATATCAGCAGTTATGTTAGTGATTTTCCCTTCGTAGAATGGATAGCTGTGTACAATGCTGAACACATTTTCAAGCTATCATGGTGAATTCTGTGAGGTTTGCCTTGGTTTTGAGAAAAAGGGGGCAATATTTTGAAAACCGAAGTGAAGCAACAAAACATTGCAGGCAACAAGAGAATCAAGCAACAGCAAGAAAACAACTTGACTTCATGAGTAGCAGTAAGGTTAGAGAAGAGAATAACAGGGAGGACAAAGCCTTAACTCTACAAATATTTATTATCCATTTAATTATCTTAAAATGTATTGCGTGTAAATCTAATCATTGCTGTTGTTTGACATGCCAGAGAACACACTGCACAATTGTGATAAATTAAAAATGCTAAGTATAATTACCTTCTGAACAAGCACCAAAACACTAGGATTTGTTTCAGATAATGGAAAGTGCTACTGCCAGTGCAGACTTCAGTAATGATTGTAACCAATCTTTGGACGAGATGGACAAGATGTCCCTGTTGAGTTCACAACAAATCAACATATGCTAGAAATTGAAAAGGAAGAAAAGAACCAGTTATCTATATATGAATTATTTTCTTTTAAAAAAATAAGTTATAATGATTTTCTAGGAATAAATTTGTCATATAGCAAAAAGAAACAAATACTAGTGATTAAGTCTTGGTTCATGTCAACGACATAGTCTGATTCTCAGCTTTTCTTTAATATATTATATTAAGAGTCATTATATATGGCTTACATCTAGATGTTATGGACCAGACTATCAGGAGTGTAGATAAGTCAATTTCCGTTGCACAAGCTGAAGACTATTGCTCAAATCTAGTATGGATGTAAATAAAATTTAATCTTCAATAAAAACAAACTTACTGGGGTGATTGCAGTGCAGTACTGAGACAGGATAAGTCCTGTATCTATGATTACTGCATAAAAACCAAAAAGAAGAAAAGAAAAGTAATCAGCAACTGGGACAACCACCATAAACTATAAATGCAATAAAACGAGAACATATACACAATAACAAAAATTAACTCCTTCCTTTAGTTTTTTTCGTGGTTAATGACTAATAGCCACAAACTAATGCTATCATATCACCTATCCATAAAACATAATAAATTCAATAGAAAGCAAAAGTACCCAATGGAGGGGCCATTTGTAACCCATCAGACAGGGAAGAACTATTGAAGAAGTGCACAAGCTATATATATACAGAAACAACAAATATAATATAACACAATTACATCAAAAGAAGGTCACATGGCAATTGACCCAACTAGTGAGGCATCGGCGATATGCAACGTCAGGAGAGGTACCCATGTGAAAAGAAAACTCAAAAGTTGAGGGAAAGGACAGAAAAGGAGTGATATATTAGGCAGTGACTATACTAGAGGGAGGAGGAGGGCATGGAATTGATGATTTCTTTCTTTATCCTGCATTTGCTATCTTTAGCCAAAGTTACTCTAAGAGTGGAATTAATCCTTCTAATAATTGAAGTTTAATAAAAAAGTGCTGTAGCCTGTACTTTTATATTGTTACTATTGCATAGAACATTGCTGATATTTTTGCTGCAGAACAAATCAGCTACAGAACAAACCCCAATGTCATTGATTCAAAATAAAACTGGATCAAATTCAAAGGTCTTTTAAAGGTGAAGCCCTACTAAAGATGGTTGTCAATGAAATTTTCTCACGGTGATTAATCATCAATACTGCAAGTGAATACACACATAATTACATATAACATGGCAACACCCAAAAAAAAAAAAAAAAACAATTAAAATGATGTTCCAAGCATGATAATGAAATGCATTAACAAACTAAATATTCCGAGGTTCAGAACATATATATAATAAAATTGAACAAAATTTAACATTTGATAGGACAACATATATAATAGGTGTTTAAAAGGAGGGAGAAAAACTAAGCAGAGGAAATTATGATAATTTGATAAGTGTGTGGCATTGCAAAGGAGCATGAAACATAGGACAGAAATTAAATATTTTCTATTGCTCCTATTCCTATTACTTTTCCTATTCCAATCTATGAGTTTGAAACCAAACTGGATCCAGATGGACAATCCACATTGGAAGATTCAAATCAAAGGAGGAGAGCGAAGTACGAATCTATGACTGAACAGTTTGGGATTGGGAGAAAGAGACGATGAAGAGTTGAGATAAGAAGGCAGGGGCTTACCGTTAAACTGTGACTTCGTCGGAGGGGAAGAATTAGCATATTGCTGTCACTGCCCTGTGCTCATGGAGACAGAGGGATGGTTTAGGGTTTTGCTTCGGTGAATCAGACAAATATCACCCATTGTTTGAATTTTTTTTTTTTTTTCATGAAAAATTATTTTATGTATTTATTCATTTTTCAAATATAATGTTTTTTTTTTCTGAATAATCATCTGATAAATTTAATAATATTTTCTAATAGTTTATAGTAAATTTAATTAAATTTATAAAATATTTATATTAAATTATAAAAACATAAACTAAATTATCAGATACACACATTTTTCAACCCAATGCTTGAAAACCTGAACAATCCAAATACTTATATAACAGATTTATGTAAGAAATTGTATATATAAGATATATCTAGAAAAATCTTCTATAAACACTTTTAAATAATTAATTAATTAAAATGAACTTATAAGCTAAAATTAAATTGTCTACAAGCTATAATGTGAAAAGAAAGGCAAAACCAACTTAAGAAAATATATAACTTTTTATGGCTGTAACATAAGAAACTAAGAAAATATTTAGATAAAATTAAACTGTGAAGACTATATTATTATTATTATTATTGACATTTTTTATTAAATATTCAAATTAAATATAAAAAATCAATATATTTTTTATTTAATATAATCTAAATAAAAAATAATTAAATAAAGATATATATTATAAACAATTTATATATTATTGTATTTATAATTTCAACTTTATTTTTTATTTATAAATAAATTATATAATCTTGTACTTATTAGTGTGTCATGATCACAAGTAAAGATTTATTCAGGTAAGAATGTTTTTTTAATATATTTATAACTGATATTCTAATTTGAATTATATAAAACATATTAATTAATGCATTTATCAACAGATAACTCCAAATTTGAATTCAATAAAAGTTTTTTTATTATTCATAAAAACATTTACATATTACTTAAGTAAGTTATTATTTCAAAAACTTAAAAATGAAATAAAATCATGTAATAATAGATAGTAAACAAGAATTTGAATTCAAAGTAAAACATTTTCAATTCGTCAAAAATATTTATTAATGCATTCATATTGAACAAAAATTTAGGAATGAAATGTAATTACGTGATATTCCCTTTAATTTTTAATACTTTTAAAAATAAAATTATTAATTTTTTTTATAATATCTTTATCATTTTAATTTTTATATTCAAAATTTGTCATAATAATTATTATTTCACTCTCTACAATAAATATGATTCAAAATATAAAAGTATAATTGATAATAAGGTAATTAATGTAATTTTAAATTTTGTAAATGACAAATAAATAGAATTAAATTTCCTGGAAAACTGACAATTAAAAAAAAACTTAAGAATGGAATCCAACATTGATTATTTCAAATGCAAAACCTCTATAAAAGAAGATTGAAGCAGAAAAACACAAACATAACAACATCTTTCACAGAAACCATGAAGTCTGCACAATCACTCACCTTCTTCTTCCTCCTTGCCTTCACCACCATCTTCTCATTAGCCTTCTCTAATGCTCCTGAAAGGGTCCTAGACTCAAAAGGAGTGTCTCTTTCTCCTTCTGGAGAATACTACATATCTCAGCTTAATCGTGCCATAACAGGTGGTGGAGTATACTAGAAGCAGGTAAAGGGCGCAAAAACACAACATGCCCAGTCACTGTTCTGCAAGATTTGAATGAGGCTGTGCGTGGTCAAGCACTGAAATTCACCGTTCGAGGAGGAAGCTCACCTGGGATCTTCATAGACACGCCATTGGATGTTGCATTCGTAGATAAACCTGCGTGTGCTTCATCTCCCAAGTGGGTGGTGGTGTCTGATAATTTCCCAGGAAAATGGGTGGGTATTGGTAATGCAAATGACCATCCAGGGAAACAAGTGATAGACGGAGCTTTCAAGATTCAAAAATACTCCCTCATTGAGGGTTACAAGCTCGTTTTCTGTCCCACCGTCGCTGCCACTCGACCTTGTTTCAACATTGGGAGGCGTGAAGATAGGTATGGAAATCGTCTCATCCTCATCAACGAGACTCGCTCTTATTTCATCTTTGAGGTTGCATTTGACAAGGTTAATTAGCAGCTCTGTTTCTGCTGAACCTCATAAATTGTTCCACACAATGAAATGTTTTTAATGTTATCATTAACATTTTCCATACTATGTTTACATACTTATATAACTACCAGAAAACTAATTTTTTTCTGCCAATTTTTTTTGCAAAAAATTGTTTAAATTTATAGAAAAACTTATTTCTTGCCATTTTTACAAAAAATTTGCAAAAATATTCCCAAAGAATTTTTAGTAGTGTTATTCTGTTGAGTAATCTAAGAATGAAATGTTTCGTTTGTGTTAAAAGTAATTTTCTTATTAAGATTAGATAAATTTCTCTCTCTCTCTCTCTCTATATATATATATATATATATAAAAGTTTTGATTAATTCTCAAAGATACAACTAGTACACAAATCAACATTTAAAAATAATATATCAATTAACAAATCCGTTAAATTTTGTTTCAATAGTGACTTAAAACTTTGATAATAGTTTAAAAGAATTATTATTTATAATACTAAAATATAAATATAAGAATATTAAATAATAAAATTTTGTTGTAATAGTAAAGATAAAATTGATGAGCGAATTGCATTTTATATTATTGAAGAATAAGTTTGACTATTTTATAGTCTTATAGAATAAATTATTATGTGTATAAGGTGCATTACTTTTACTTGGAAATACAAACAAATCTTCCGAATGATAGCAACACAGTTTAAAAATGTATCTAGTTTGTGAGGTTTCGTCGTAATATCAATCATTTGTTCCTGTGTCCTGTAGTATATCATCTCGATAGTTCCAGTTTTTATAAAATTTTTGGACATTATATGTTTACAATAATCATGTAGTACTATTATAATGAATTACAATCATTTCGCTTTCCATTTTACTCAATCTTCCCAACACCCTTTTAAGTCAAAGGGCTTGACACACACATGATGTTACACCTATAAACCTATAAATTCTGCCTCAGTAGTTAATATATCCACAGTTGGTTATTAACGGTCAAACATAATAAAAACACATACCATGTTTTGCTTGTCATTCAAATTCCTTGCTATGTAGAAGTTCATTGTTTCATTTTTTTTTTTTTTTTACAAAATGTCAAGCTCAATTATTTTTTTTAAATATCTCAACATCAATTGTTTCTTTTAAATATATCAACGTTCTTTTAATTGTCTGCAAATGTAGCTCAGTAGGATGCTCCACTTTATGACTTTCCATAATTTTTTTTTTAGTAAATCTTATACATCTTAACACCATCCTTTGAAAATTTAGCACTAAGAACAATTGGATTTTTAACTGGATTGCTTTTATCCATTCCAAAATTGCTAATGCATATTTCTTTTGACATAAGAAAATGTCATATATTTATTGCATAACTTAAAGACCCAAAAAATATCTCATTTTACCAAGTCATGACAAATTCATGTTCCATTGAGCTTTTGAAATTTGCAAATAGGGATGGCAAAACGGGTCAGCCCGCCCCGTTTTGGCCCGCCCCACTTTTGGCCCGCTAAAAGCAGGACAGGACGAGTTGGCCCGATATATTTATGACGGTCTGTAGACCTTGGTCCGTCCCGTCCGCCATAATTTAAAAAAATAATTTTTTTTAAATAAATTTTTTTAATAAATTTAATAATAAAATTATTATTTGTTTGTCAATAATTCAATATATATATATTATTTCAATTTAATAATATAAATCAATACATTATTTTAAGAAATTATAATTTAGAACAATAATAAAATTTACATAATAATAAAAATAATAACAAATATATATATATAAATAACGTTAAACTTATAAAATTTATATTTTTTATATTGAAAAATTTAAATACCTATATCTTTTTTATTTGATAAAACTTCATGTTATTCTTGGTTGAGTAATTCTTACATCTTTAATTCAAGTAATAAGGATAAAAATAATCAGTGTTTAGGATAAACAAGGAGAATAGTAAAGAAGGTTATGTTTAAGGAAGGAGAATATTTTACGTGAGAATGAAACTTTTTAATTCTTTTTTTTTTAATTTTTAACTTTATATATTATCTTTATAATTAATTTTATTACAATAAAAAATTATTTTTTTATTAATTAGGCGGGCTGTGGGCTGGCCCGCCCCGTCCCGCGGGTTGGCCCGATGGGTTGACGGGCTTGGCGGGGCGGGCCAAAGCGGGCTAGTGGGCTGAAAAGACCAACCGCCCCGCCATATTATGGCGGGCCGGCCCTCCGGGCCTAGCCCGTTTTGCCATCCCTATTTGCAAACATCAACTCATCTTTGTCAGTAAAGATAAGATCATCAACATATAAATTAACAATTAATAGTATACCTTCTTTTGCTTTCTTCACAAACAGAATATACTAGTAGTCACACTTCTCAAATTCTTCCTTCAAAAAATATGTTTCTATATGGTATACCAAGCACATGGGGTTTGCTTAAGTTTGTAAAGAGTTTTCTTCAACTTGTACACTTTATGCTCAACCCCTTTTTATTCATAACCACAAGGTTGGTCTACATACACAGTTTCATCTAGTTGTCCATGTAAGAATGCGGACTTCACATCTAGCTGATAGAGTGTTCATCCCTTTTGAGCTGCAAGTACTACAATCAAGTGAATGGTCTCCACGCGAGCTACTGGTGCAAATATTTCAATGTAGTCTATCCCATACTCTTGTGCATATCCCTTTACTACAAGTCTAGCTTTATATTTATCCACCTCACCATTCTCTTTAAATTTGATTTTATAAATCCACTTTACACCAACCTTCTTGGCATCGTCAGGTAAGTCCACCAGTTCTCATGTGTCATTTATGTTTATTGCTTCCATCTCCTCATACATGGCTTTCCTCCATTTTGAAATATGTATGGCAACATCAAAGTGTGTGGGATCATTGTCACCGGCGGTAGATAGAGCCATATTTGCTTATGGACTGTCTTTAAAAAATTCTGCACCAGTTTTGTAGTCTACCATCCAGAGAGGTGGTCTTTGAGATCGTTGTAACGTGGGAGTATCTTCTGTTGTCAAAGAATCAGAGGGAATATTATGTTCATTATCAAGATCATGATGTACCTGTTGTGCTGCATCTGGCATTGTGTCTTCAACCTCATCCTCATGTTCTTCAACAACATCTTCTTTATCTCCCCATAAATCATATGAGATGGCTATGAGATATTGTTTATCCAATCCCAGCTTTATTCTTTAACAAAGACAACGTCTTTGTTAACGTTGATTTTTTTTAAATCGGATTATACAATTTATAAGCCTTTGAGACTTCACTGACTCCTAATAAAACACAACTTTGACTTTTATCATTTAACTTCGTACGCGTAGCATCTGGTACATGAACATGTGAAAGGCAGGCTGTAAAACCTAGAAAAATAATTATATATTTTAAGGTAAAAATTGGAAGTAAAGGAAGTAATTAAATTAAGAATTTAATAATATTGCAGAGATGAAAAGTGACTCATTTAGTTAGATTCTTGTCTTGAGATGTGGGGGTCATGGGTTCGATTCCTGTATGTGCATTAGAATAATTATAATTTTATATTATTTTATGATTGTTTAGATATTACTCATATGTGTATACTTAGGGAATTAGCAAAATTTAATTGTCACGTTTAGAAATTATTAGTTGATGGTTGTTTTTTTGTATGCATTGTGTGTGTGGGTACATTATAATTTTTGCTATGTGTTTGGATTGACAAGAAACATATGATGGTTGTTATGACTTGGAGCAATGTTTGAGTATTGGGGGTTGTGAGTTCAAATCTTGACTAGAGTAAAAAGGAGGTAATAATATATCTTTTCATAAATTTGAGTGGTGTACCTTAGGAGGTGAACATTTGGATACTCTATAATGTCAAAACCTAGAGTTATCCAAAAAAATCAAAATGTGTTGAGAGATGTTGCTAGAAAAATCTCTCGTATGTAAATAGAATATTTGAGAAATTATATAAAAATATCTACTTGGTTTTTAATTATGAAATTTTGGTTATATGTTCATTTATATGTCTAGTTTGTGTGTGATTTATTTCAAAATTTTCTAACAAGTAATTTTTCCATGAAAAATCTTGGAAGTGATTAGGTTTTGAGTTAGCCGAAACAGAGTTATTATGTCCGCCCAACAACTTCGAAAAATCATATAAAATCGAGATTAAGAGATTAAATTTTTTATAATAGTTGTGACTGTATGTATATGTTAAATATATTTAATTTCGTAATTTTATGACTATTATTTTATTTTATAAAAATATATCTTTGAGTACTTGTCTTGGTAGTAGAATCTTCAAAATGATGTTATTCCTGTTTTCATTTCATGTTGTTACCGCTGTTGTGTTTATTTTATTGTTGTTGTTGTCTATATTATTTTGGTGCAGAATTTGTGGGAGTTATATGTTAAAGCCCTTAAATGTAAAAAAAAATTACTTGAATTGTGATATGATGTAGTTACATGATGAGTTTAGGTATGTTTGATCTCCGATGAGATGTTGTATGCATATGTGTGTATATAGGTGAGGGAACATTATGAGTTCTTTGATAGCCGTAAGGTCAAAATGATTTCTTTACATAGAGAACTTTGTCGAGTCATGGTAAAGGGGTTTCGTTCCTCTGTAAGTCTTTAGCATGAGCTTAGCAAGAGTGCTCCATCCAAGACTTTGTCGAGCGGGTGGAGTTGTTGCTAGTAAGTCTATGAAAAGCAAGAAAAGGGACTTTTCCAAGAGGCATTGGTGCGCAGGAAAAGTATGGGGGTTGGCTATGAGAGAATTTTATATCATCTGTTTTTACTTGGTGGTAATATGATAAAGTGTTAGTATTGTAGTGTTGAAAATATGTACTTGTGGATATTATGAATGAGTTTTGTTACATTATGATAATGTTAGTTGAATTATATGATGACATAAATGATAAGTGATGGGATACATGTTTTGCTCACTCTTGCATGTTTGTAATGTTGGTTTCCACCTGCGATGATCGTATGACTTATGTTATGCTAGAGTAGAGGGTGATGCAGATACTGTTAGAGAAGCTTAGCGGTAAAAAGCTCGTGGGGAAGCTTTTTGGGAGGCTTTTTAAGATATTTGAAAATGTCCATTTGAATAGAATATAATAGTGTAGTGATTTTGAGTTTGCACTAGAAAGATTTGATATTAAGTCTCATTTTGATGGTTTAAGTTAATTGTTTAGATGAACAATATTTTATTTTGACAAATAAAGAGGTTTCAGATAAATCTTTTATCAAGTGTTATCTGAGATAAAATAATTGTGAAAAAAAAAAATTTACACGTGACATCTCGAAAGGGGTGTTACACAACAAAAGATGCGAAAATACTTTGACTCCACTCCAGGATTCTTTGGGCGTTTGATTCTTCACTGTTAATGTGGGACTTCGATTTAAGATATGTACAGACCAGGCGGCAACTTCAGCCCAAAAAGTTTTGGGCATCTTTTTCTCTGATAGCATGCTTCGAACCATGTTCATTATGACACGGTTCTTGCGTTCTGCGATCCCAATTTATTGAGGAGTGCATTCAACTGTCAGTTGTCTACGAATACCATTGTCAGAGCAGAATTTGGTGAAGTCTTGAGATGTAAATTCTCCCCGACGATCAGTGCAGTCCTTTGATGGAGGAGTCAACATTTTTTTCAACATGAACTTTAAAATTCTTGAAGACAAAAAAAGCTTTTGACTTTTCGGTCAAGAAGTAGATCCAAGTTTTCCTGCTAAAGTCATCAATGAAGGTGAGCAAATACCTGTTTTTGTTATTGGAGATAGGTGTAATTGGTCTACAAATATCTGCATGAATTAATTGCAGAATTTTGTAGCCCACCAAGTACTTTTTTTTTTGGAATGAATAACGTGATTGCTTCCTAATTAAACAGTTTTTACACAATTTGGTAGATACCTAAATTGGTGGTAAACCATATACCATATTTTGCTAATAAAGTGTGTTTAGACCCTAGAAATTTAAATGATCATATCGACAATGTCAAAGATGCATGTTGTCCTCTACAGCTATGTGGAGGCAAGTGGTTTTGGTAGGGGAAGGTATGGCATGCAGTAGGAACATTTGATTAGAAGACATATGGGTTTCCATGAGCAAACCATTTTCTGGATGATACATTTTGCACTTGTCATGTTATAAGAGAATGTTGAGGCCCTTTTCTTGTAATTGCCCGAGACTGAGTAGGTTGTTTCTTAAGTCTGGCACAAAGAAGACATTGGTAACTGTATAGGTGTTGCCATATATGTGGAGTCGAACATTGTCTTTGCCTGTAACAGCCATACTAGAGTTATTGTCTAGTTTGACTGTATCTTTGTAATGTTTATCAAGATTAGAGAAGTATTCCTTCTTTCCACACATGTGATTACTGCATATAAAATCAAGGAACCACACAATATCTTTGTTTTGGTTGTCTCTATGTGAGCCATCAACAACATTTCTCCATCATTCTCGACATAGTTAGCTTCTCTTTTTTGGGATGGACACTCCCAACTAAAATATCCAAGTTGATTGCACGTGTAGCATTCTAATGTGGATTTGTCAAAACTTTGTCGACCTCACTCACGACCTCATCCTCTTCCACGTCGTCTAAAACTTCCTCCACACCCCTCCATGTCCACGACCTTGGGTTGCATGGAAACCTATATGGGAAACTTGGAAGGTCTGTTCTTCGTCCACATGAGATGACATCCAGAGTTTATGTAAAAGGAGACTGTTTTGTAGTTCATCAACAGCCAGTGTCTTTATATCCTTAGATTCCTCAATGGAACACACAACATAATCGAATTTAGGAGTCATGGATCTTAGGATTTTCTCAACAACTATAACATTACCTTTGTTTTCACCATTAGCCTTCATCTTGTGTTGCGATGGTGAGTGCCCGGGCAGAGTAATCATTAACAGATTCTCCCTGCTTCATGTGGAGAATTTCAAATTCTCTTTGGAAAATTTATAATTGTGTTCTCTTGATCCTTGAAGTTTCATGGTATTTCTTCTACTTCAATGAGTCTCATATATTATTTGTGGTATCCTTGTTGTAATGATCCAATACTTGAAATAAGTAATTTTTTGCCTTCAAATCTTCTAATTTCTCATCTTCAACATGTTTCCTCACTCAGTAAGAAGTATTTCTGCTACCAATTTTGGGATGTTATGTTAGAACCTCATTATTTCTTAAATTTCAAGAAATTATCTATCAACATAATCAATAAATCATAATGTCCACCAAATTTTGGTATGACAAGTTGCACAAATAAATTTGCTGATATCATTGTGTGATAATAGAAGCATATTGTAGAATGGAGCTCCAATACCAAAATGTTACAAACGTACAGGTAAAAATGCATAAGGATCAAATTGCACTTTATTTCGTTGAAGAATAAGTTTGGCTACTTTATAACCTTATATCAGATAAATAAAAATTATTAAATAAATTACTTATATGCATATGGCGCTACTTTCTAAAACTGACGTGGACTTATTCAAGTAAATGAACTTGTAATCGTGGAATATGCATATGGCGCTATTTTGAATATTGCATCCAAATTTATTTTTTAATCGGATTTTGAAATTATATATATATATATATATATATTATGAAAACTAATATTGGATTTTTGGTTTACCTAAATTTTTTTTATTCATTTAATGAATTTTTTTCTAAAAATATCTGAATTTATGTCTCACTTTTATTTTATTGAATAACTATTTTATTACAACTATTTTTGTTAATTATTTTTATTTCTTAGTTTTTAAAAACTAAAAAAAAAAAAGAACAGATCAAATATTTGTTTTCATTGATATCATCTGTTTTATGAGTAATATTTTTTTAAATTATTTATATTATTTTCTTTTGTCTCAAGATTTTTAAAATAAAATTATAAAAAAATTCAAGTTATTTTTAAAAATAATTTTAAAAATTTTGATTTCTAAAATTATTTTTAAAAATTAAATCAAATATATCCTTAGTTTTTTTTTTTTAGTGATGATAAAATTACGTAATACTTATATTATACATTTTTCTATCTCTTTAATAAAGATCAAGATCTGCTAGGAAACTGTGGAAATAATTTAATTTTTTTCATTAATGATAAAATTACATTTAATTTTATCGAGATACATAAGACACTGCACATTAACTCAACAATTTAAAATCAATGAATGAAACATATTTGTAAATATGCATTTACCTAAATAAGCAAACTAATATCTCAACAATTTGAATTCAGCAAAACATTTTGATTAATGCATTTATCAATATAATTAATAGAACTAATATCTCAATTATCTGAATTCAATGAAAAATATTTTGTTTTTCTATCCCACAACTACTGTTATTTAAAGTTTTTATATCAATTAAGAACTACAACAAATATACAATTTACAAAAAAATCGTTTACTAAAATAACCTAATTTTAATAAATATTACTTTTATTAAAAACCATCTTTAAGGATAAAATAAGAATACAAAACTATTTTAAAATTTAGATACTGTATATTTCTTAATATCTATTACTTTACTATTACAACATACAAATAAAGATAAATATTAATTTCTTTTAATAATATCTTTATAATTTTAATATTCTCTTTTTATCCAAAATTGTTCTTATAATAATTTGTTATCTTCTCTTTAAAATAAAAATATAATTATTTATAATAAATATAATTAAAAAAAGTTGAGTATAATTGGTAAGAAATAATTAATATAATCTTAATTTATTTAAATAACATACATTTAAAAATAATTTCCTTAAAGTAAAACCAATAAAAAGAAACCAAAAAGAGTATTAAATGATTTAAGAGAATAAAAACGTAATCAATAAAACGTATATTTATAAATGCATTTATGAATATAATTGAACTAATACATCAGCAATTTGAATTTAGTGAAACATATTTATTAATGCATTAACCATTGGAATGAAAGTTTCCACTAATAACATTAACAATTTCACATGGAATTAGCAGGAAAAGCTCTATAAAAGAGAACCAACAAAACACAAACATTGAAACATCCATGACAGAAACCATGAAATCTGCACAATCACTCACCCTCTCCATCCTCCTCCTAGCCTTCACCACCAACCTTCCATTAATCTTCTCTGAGGCTCCTGAAGAGATCAAAGACTCAAAGGGAGTGCCAATTTCTCCTTCTGGCAAATACTACATTTTGCAGTTTAATGGTGGCCCAACAAGTGGTGGAGGACTGTTTCTAGCTTCAAATGGAAACTCAACATGCCAAGTCACTGTTATGCAAGATTATTACGAGGGTGACCATGGCGTGGCAGTGAAGTTCAGCACAGCAGGGAGAAGCTCAGGTGCCATCTTCTCAGGCACACAGTTAGATATTGCGTGTGATCATCGTCCTTCCTGCGCTTCATCATCCAAATGGGTGGTGGTTTCTGATGATTTTCCTGGAAAATGGCTGGGGATTGGTGGTGCAGGAGATCATCCAGGGAAGAAGGTCATAACTGGAACATTCAACATTCAGAAATACAATGGGGGTTATAAGTTTGTGTTCTGTCTCAGCACCAGCACTTGCTATGACATTGCGACAAAGGATGATGGTGAAACTGGAAGGCGTCTCGTATTAACCAATAATGTTCCATTTAATGTTGCTTTTGTTAATGCTAGCTAATGTCTCCTCGACCAATACTATACATATTTTGAGACGAACTTGTGAATGTCTCTAAATGAATAGTATAAAATCTGTATTGAGAATTGTTTAAAGGAATTTTTATAAATAAATTATTTATTTTAATGCTTTTAATATATTTTAAAAAATAATTAAAGATCCCCATTGATAAATATAGATAAAATTATTTTTTAATAAAATTATTAGATAAATAATATTTTTTATTATAAATTAACCCCAATAAATACATATAATATATATAAGTGAATGTATTTTTTTATAAATTAGGTATATGTTATTTATAAAATTGCGTTATATATTTTTTATTTGTAAAATTGAGTTAGATATTTTTTAATTTATCAGAGTTAGATATTTCTTATTTATAAAATTGAGTTAGATATTTTTTTAATTTTTTAATATGATAAATTTTATATAATTGAATTAAATATTTTTTATAATGAAATTTTTATTATAATATAAATTTTTATATTAATTAAAAATATAATAATATTAACATATTTATATAAAAAATCATTAAAATTGTAAATTTTATGATATTATATTTTTTTAACAATGATTAAACATCAAGAAAGTTTTATTATTTTATTTTTGTAATGTATAATTTAAATAAAAAATGTAATTAAATTATAAAATATGTTAGTGAGAGAAAGAGGAGAGAGAGTTCAAAACTGTTGAATATAGAAGAAATAGAGTTTTGGATTAATCTCTCTTGTGTATAAATCACACATAGGATAGTCTATTTATAGTAGAGATACAACTAAAAGAGTAACTGAAAGTAACAGAATAAATAGAAGATATTGTAGTTAACCATATCTAACAATATATTAACAATATCAAATAATATATAAACACTCCCCCTCAAGCTAGAGCATACAAATCGTATGTGTCAAGCTTGTTACAAATATAATAAATTCTAGGACCCCGTAAAGATTTAGTAAAAATATCTGCTAAACAAACTCAGTCTTGATGTCTCCAGACATAATCTTTTCTCGAATGAAATGACAGTCAATCTCAATGTGTTTGGTCATCTCATGAAAGACAGGATTAGAACTAATATGAAGAGCAGTCTGATTGTCACACACAAGTGACATTTGAGCGACATCTTCAAATTGTAACTCTCTAAGCAATTGCTTGAGCCAAACAAGTTCACAAGCAGCTGAGGTCATAGCTCTATATTCTGTTTCTGCACTAGATCTTGCCACAACACTTTGTTTCTTACTTTTCCATGAGACCAAGTTACCACCAATGGAGACACAATATCCAGATGTAGATCTTCTATCCGAAGGAGATCTTGCCCAATCAGCATCTGAGTAGCAAACAACTCTTGTATGGTTATTAGAATCATATAACAATCTTTTTCCAGGAGATCCTTTAATATACTTTAAGATACGAATGACTGCATTCCAATGATCCTCACATTGTGAATTAAGAAATTGGCTTACCACACTGACTGCAAAGGAAATGTCAGGACGAGTAACTGTAAGATAATTCAATTTTCCAACCAATCTTCTATATTGTTCAGGATCAGGTATAAGCTTCCCCTGATTTGGTAGAAGTTTAGTATTGGGATCCGTGGGCGTATCAACAGACTTTGAATTCATCAACCCAGTTTCCTCCAAAATATTCATGGCATACTTCTTCTGAGATATAACAATACCATCATTGGACTGTGTCACCTCAATACCCAAGAAATATCTAAGTTTGGCAAGATCTTTGGTCTGAAAATGGTGACAGAGTTGTTGTTTCAACTAAGAGATGTCATGGTTGTCACTACCTGTAAGAACGATGTCATCAACATATACTATCAAGTAAACACATCCAGCACTTGAGTGTCGATAAAAGACAGAGTGATCTGCTTCACACCGAGTCATACCAAATCCAAACCAGGCCCTAGGAGACTGTTTTAGGCCATATAGGGATTTTCGAAGACAACATACCATCCCAGAAGACTCCCCTGAGCAACAAACTCAGGAGGTTGCTCCATATAGATTTCTTCTTACAAATCACCATTGAGGAAAACATTTTTAACATCTAGTTGATAAAGAGACCATTGTTGAAGAGCGGCCATGACGATAAATAAACGAACAGAAGTCATCTTTACTACAGGGAAAAAGGTATCTCCATAATCCAACCCGAAAATTTGAATATAACCTTTGGCCACAAGACGAGCTTTGAGGCGATCAATAGTACCATCAGGTCCAACTTTGATAACATCAGGTCCAACATCAATAGTACCATCAGGTCCTTAAAGTAGGCGATGTGGGACTTTCAACACGCCCCCTCCAACGAAGCCTGCCGGACCAGGCAAATGGTACTTTTAACCCAACTAAAGGACAATTTTTGGCCCATGACAATAATCGGAAAGATGTTAGGCTTTGGCTCTGATACCATGTTGAATATAGAAGAAATAGAGTTTGAGATTAATCTCCTTGTATATAAATCACACATAGGATAGTCTATATATAGTAGAGATACAACTAAAAGAGTAATTGAAAGTAACAGAATAAACAAAATATATTGTTTGATATTGTGGTTAATCGTATCTAACAATATCAAATAATATCTAACAAAAACAAAGCAACAAGTAAACTATAATATTTAATGGAAGTGAGAGTTAAAAGAGAATAAATGGGAGAAAGAGTTCAAACATATTTGATGACTGTGTTTGAATTGAATATGGGAATGGATTCAATGGAAAGAAAAATAGTGAAAAATGGTTCGTTTGAATTGAGAAAAAGAAAATAGAAAACAAAGAGAAATGAGTGGAAAGATGGTAAGAAATGAGATTAATGTAATTAAATAAAAAATTAAAATAATAATTTAAAATATGTAGAGATCAAAATATGTTTACATTAATAAGAAATAAAATAAATATAAATTAAAATTATGATATATTTTTTATTTATTAATTACAAATTATATATGAATTTTTATTTCAAGTAAAGTACTAGTTATGAAATAAAATAATTCATAATAAAAAATAAAATCAGTTACATGTTAAAACATTAAATTATATTTAAATATAAATTCAATTTTATTATAATAAAAAATTATAAATTATGTATAGTTAATTATATATATTATTAATATTAATTTATATATAATAAATATAATAATATTTTTAAATACAAAATCGATTGTTTATATTATATAATCGATGAAAATTTTATAATTCACATATTTTAATTGCAAAACTATATTCAAAACATAATTACATGGTTATATGTATATATATATATATATATATATATATATATATATATATATATAATTCACATAAGTTTAATTCAAAATAAAAATTAAATATAAATAAAACTGAATATAAATAATTAAAAATAACACATAATAAAAAACATTATTTATTAATAAAAAAATTAAATATAAACTTATATATATATATATATATAATATAGATATATAATTATTAAGTAAAAAAATATAAGATATATATTATAGATTTTAGATAAAATATTATGAAATGAGATAATATATTTATGGATAATAAACATGAGATGAATAATTTTCTATTCATTTCTTCTCATATAAATATATTTATTATTTATTTTAATAAATAATATTAAATTGTATAAAATATTTTTAAAAATAATAATAAAATTGTTAATATATATTTGTATATAATAATATTTTATTTGAAATAATTTTTTTATTAAAATTAATTAATAAAATTTTTTTAATGTAATATATCTTTGGAAAGGATAATTGAGGAAAAAAATAATATTGTATCTCTTACTTTCAAATCTTCTCGCGGGAATGAAGAAATATATTAGTGTTAGAATTAATGGTTATTTCTTTTCAAATCACCCCATTTCTATTGAAATAAACTTTATATCTTTTATACAATTTATCCTTCTAATTCTTCATCTACAGTAGATGACTTGATACAAGGCTAAAGAAAATAGAAAAGATAAATGAGATTTCGTTTTAAATTAAATATTCTGGTAAATTTTTATATTATCTATATTAGATTTATTGAAACAAATATATTAATATAGTTTCTCCCTCTAATATTTTTTATAAAAGTGTAATTTAAAAATGAGATTTTGCTTTCACCCTCCATAGTCTTTGTCTTCACGTTTTTTAGTACTCATTTCCAACAAGTTTTTCTCCTTTTTCAACATTTTCCTACTACAGATATTTAGTCAATAGGGTTTGTCAAAACTTAATTATTTTATTTTACTATAATGATCAATTTATTTTTTAATCTAATTCTAAAATTTTAATAAATTTAAATAATTTTTACTTTACACAATTATTTTTCATTTATAGTAATCCTATATATTATTATTAGAAATATAATTTTTTTTTATTTTAAAAAATATTTTATTACATACGGGTATAATTTATATTACTAATAATATTGCTCAATCCATAAGTAAAGTAAGATATTAATGTTAATGAGTCTATCCATATTAATAAAAAATATATATAATTTTTTTAAAGAACTTATCAGTAATGTATTAATTATTTAATCAATAAATAGTAATAATTTAATAAATACGTATTAATGTGTTACTTATTTCATTAATCTATTAATTATTTATTTGAAAAATATTAATTTAGTAAATATTCAATTTTAACAAATTTTGTTCTAAAAATAAGAACATCTATAGAAGTGTCAAGTTAATTCCTTAAAGTAATTAATTAGTTTTAATTTTAGAAGTTTATAAGTTTTTGTTTCTAAACAAAGAGGTTTAAGATATCAAGTTAATTTATACCCAAAACTAGATATAAGATATAGTTAATCCATTATCTATTGATAATCTCGTTACTATAACAATGTTTAGTTAATTTGTAGTTATTTATTATTTTGTTTAAGATGATATTATTAGTTTGAAGGTTATTATTGAGAAAAATATCATAAAAGAAGCTATTTTTATTATTATTAATGCTTAGCTATATATTGGTGCATATAATCTATTTATTTATTTATGTACCACTTTTTTTTAATTATAATAGTTACTTTTAAAATAAATATGAAGTACACTCAAATTAAGTTGTTGTTTTTTTTGTATAATGATATCTTTAAGCTTTACTGACATTAGTTAAAACATATCTTCGTAAAATAAAATAATAAAATGCATTGAATAATATAAAATAAATTTGAAATTAAATTAAAATAATTGAATTGATTCTTATTTTAATTATTATAATTTATAAATAAATTTATCAAATATATTATTCATGATATATTTTTTTTAAATAAAAGAAGATAATTTAATGTGAGATATTTTTTTTCCATTAAAAAATTTCAATACACGATAATTTGGAGAATTTACAATTTATTTCTCAATTAATTTTAAAATAATAGCACTATAATTACAATAATTGTTAGAAACTTTTTTTAGTATGAACTTTGATTCACCAGAGATAAGTAGGAGAAGTAAAAATATTGTTTTCTTTTAAAAAGTGTAAATTATTAATTAAATGAGGCATTTTTATTATTTTCACTTGTGTTTAAAATGAGATGAATAATTTTTTTTAAATTAAAATATTTTATTTAAAATAGATATTATAGGGTATATAATTAACATCTTTCCTTACGCACAATTAACTTCTAAAAATTCAATTTGGATTTTTTAACACTATTTATTTTTCATTGATTTTTTAAAATATATCTTTCAATAAAAAATATTTATAGCTTTTCTATTTTCTTAAAAACTTTATTGTTTTGAATTTTTACGAACGTGGTTTCATTAAACTTAACAATTAACACATTTATTATTTAATAAGGATACTTAATATCATTTATTAAATATATTTTCAAAGTCAAATATGAATCAAGCACTTCTAAGATAGTCAAAGAAACCCACAAAATATTCTCATCAATTGACCAAATAATTAATTTGTAAGCAAATATATCTAATAAATGAATACAAAAATGCTATGAATCAGAACATTGACTAATAAATTAATTAAACATTATTAACAAATCTAAATAGACTTACAAAGAAAACACCTTTCAAAGGTTATGAATTAAAAATAACTAGTGTTATGTCGAAGTTTCTATTTTTCTCTAATTTTATAAAAATGGGTCACTTTTTAAAAAATAATTTATATAAAATTTAAAATATATAATTAATTATAATATATATATATATATATATATATATATATATATATATATTACGTAATAGGATTTTTTTTTTCATATTTAAAATCATTCCATCAAGTAACCCTTTTCATAATTTTTTAAAAAGTTAAAATTTTGGATAAAATTAAAGAAAAAAGATGTTATGTTGATTGAACCTTCAAAATGAAACCCTAAAAAATATTTATAAAAGGAGGTTAAACCAGCAAAACAAATATTAAAAAGAAGCCATGAAATCTACACTATATCACTCAATATTTCCTTCCTCCTCTTTGTCTTCACCACCACCATCTTGTCATTAGCTTTCTCTAGGGTTCCTGAACAAGTGTTAGATTCACAAAGTAGTTCAACTTCTTCTGCTGAGAAATACTACATTTTGCCATTTTATTCTGGTCCAACTGGTGGTGGAGTAGCAGCAGGTAAAACTGGCAACTCAACATGCGATGCTACTGTTCTTCAAACTAGTGATGAGTCTAACCGTGGCCATGCAGTGAAATGCAGCAGAGGTGGAAGAAAAGGTGGCATCTTCACAGGAACACCATTAGATATTGAATTTGTGGATAAGCCTTCTTGTGCTTCATCATCCAAGTGGGTGGTGGTTTCTGATAATTTCCCAGAAAAATGGGTAGGTATTGGTGGTGCTAGAGACTATCCAGGGAAGAAGATCAGACATGGAACTTTCAACATTCAGAAATTTGATGCTGGCTATAAGCTTGTGTTCTGTGCCACCACCAGAACTTGTTATGACATTGGAAGGCATGATGATGAGAATGGAAGACGTCTTGTCTTAACCAATAAACCCTTTGAGTTTGCGTCCTACTATGGTAGTTAATGCACCTTGAAACTCAACAAATTGTATAAACCTCCATGCTAAAACAAAAAGAGTTTCACTCAGTGAAGTAAACACCAATAGATGAAGAACACACACTCTTCCACAGTTGAATACACTTTTTCAGTGTATTGAGTGACTTCAACAACATTTTAATCCTTATATAGTTTCGTGTTTTGATCGCTAACAATTTTAAATATTTTTTATTTTTCTACCATGAAAGCCTAACACAAAAAAATATTAAAGAGGTGATGTCATCATGTATTATACATGAATTAAAAGTTATCATCACATGACATGTTATAGAATCACATCATAATAATTCTATCATGTCATGTTATAATAATAATAAAAAAACTTATAAGATGTAAAATGAAATAAATACATGGACTAATGGAAGAAAAAAAAGTAACATATTTTAGATAAAAAAATAAAAAAATTACATTTGAACACTTAAATCGAGAATTCACCACGAAATATTACCTTTCACTTTGTTGTTACGTTTATCATGTTATTAAGAAACTAAATAAATTTAAATATTTTTTACTATTAAAACTTAATACAAGTATAGGGGATTATTTATAGATTAATTTAATCATTTATTTTTACTTTGAAACTTGATTTAGTATTCTCCGACACATGTACACAAGCTGAGACATAAACATACCTTGTGTGTGTGTTTTTAATAGAGATATCCAACTAAACAATGAAACAATACTTCATAAAAAAACAAAAACAATAAAAGAAAAAGATCGAACGCGTTAGAAAAATTACAAAAGAAAACAACACTGGGAAGTCACTCTGACTTTTCATTTGATATGTACAAGAGTCACTCTGCCCCCATAAAGTTTATATATTTCAACATCAATTATATAAGCAAGATTAGAAAACTTATCTTTTATATATACTACATGCACAACATTTTCTCCCAACCCACGAGACAAGAGACAAAAAGTTGTTATCATCATTGGTTGGATCTGAGGAATGTGAGAAAATTGGTGTGTGAAAGCATTATTGGTTCTACAAAAAACCAACCAACTAACCATGATTGATGAGTAATGATTTGGCACAATTATTTTATCTATAAACCCCAAGCACTAACAAGAATATTCTCTTAAATTTTTTTTGGAGCCCCCACAAGAGACTATGATTGAAAGATTGCTTAATTGTATATATCATTGCTTGCTGCTAAAACTACCTGCATAATTATCAGCACAGTGGATATGCTCGTCCCTCCTCAAACAATTCTACATCGGGATTTCTCTGGGTTTTGAGCCACATGTCAGCCACGATTCTTGATGAAATGCTCCACAAAAAGTCTGGCTCTGTTACCAATGCATGTTTGCCTTTCTTCTTTGCCTTCTTTGCCTTTCCCAAACCATATTCAATCAACCAGTGCTTCGCAGTTAGTCTTTGTTTCTCACTGTCCCATGCATTATTGTTCTCTGTGGCATTCCATACCTTCAAACCTCCCACATGCATGCTTGTTACCTTGAACCTTTTCTCTTCATCATTTTGGTGATAATCACCCCCATTTGTGTCTTCACTGGATGCATTAATGAGCACCATCACAGGACCTCCAACTGCTTCAAATCGTCTTGTTGGATCCCTGAGTTGGACTACAAATATAAGTGTTATATTTGAAGGCTCACCACCAGTGTTACTGTAGCTTTGGCCTCTGATCCAATCCTCAAGTGAAACAGCAGAACCTAATAGATCCTTGCCTTTGTTTGCTTCCATTGCCCAGAATGGAGAAACATCATAGGGAACTTCATTCTCTGCCATATCAGCTTGGATTTTCAACCCTTCAACCGCCATGAACTCGATCTTCTGCATTGTGAAGGCTAGAATTTTCTCTGCCGTAAGTGGAGTTTCATCCACATTCCAAAGTCCTGTTGCAATCCGTTCTTGTCTTCCTGAGCTCATTGCATTTGCCATGCCTTGGAGGGCAGAAACTATACGAGCGGCACTAGAACTGGCTCCTTCTTTGTTTCTTCCTTGTATGATGGCTGAAGCAATGCCTTCGAATGCAATCTGTTCTGCAGTTTTACCTATCAGTTCATCTAGGGGCATCATAGAGAAAACTTGAGAGCTGAGTTCATCAAGACCAATGCCAGCCAATTTCCGAAACATCTCTAGCCCATTTAGGGACTGATTTGATGCCAACACATAAGGCTTTGACATCTGCATTGCTAGCTTCGGAGTCTCATTTTTAGCTACAACTTTATCTAAAGGATTCATAGATGTTAAGTAGCCTCCATCCCTTGTTTGAACTACACACCCCAAGCCCTTGCTAAGATCTGGGAGATACACTTCAGATTCTACCTCTTCAACTTGTAGTAGAGGTGTTTCAGATTGGTTGATTTTGAAACCTCTGGTCTTTTCACCCTCAAGCATATGAAGAAACTCCTTTGTCACAGTTTCTTCATCAGAATCCAATCTTAGTGACTCAGTTTCCTCACCTTCTATGACATGATTGTTATCTTCCCGCATTATGGACTCAAGATCCTTTATCTGCTTGGCAATTGCATGAAGCTGAGTTAGTCTAGTCAGGCGCAACTGATCATGTACTATTTCCTTGACAATCTCACTTGTAGCTGACTTCACTTCTATGGATTTCTCAGATCCTTCTCCATCATATTCTTTCTTCTCTTGAACTTCAACCCCTTTATCAACAACCTCAAAATCTGGGATATCAAAATCCTCCACCTTCTCTTTGCCATCATCAAGTTTCTGGATAGAGGGAGGGGTGTCATGAACTATGTGTGGATCATCAAGATTGAAATCATCTAGACCTTGAATATCTTCAGCTAACCTTCTCTGTGAAGGAGTCCAAGCATCACTTCTGCTTTTTATTCTTGGACTAGGCAAGCTGAATGATGACTTGGACTGTTTGCGAGCAAAAGAGGTAAGATTTTTGAACCTGCTAGACTTAAAATTCTCCTCCTGGTTATATATCTGAACTCCTCCTTCTTTCTCTATGATTTGGAAGCCAAGTTTCAGAACCAGTTCTCCTCCTTTCGCCTTTCCCGATAAGCCAAAACTTATGTCCCACTGCCTCACACGCATGCCTTGCTGGTTTTTCTCAATTGATTCTTGAATCAACTGGCTCAAGTCCACACAGTTTTTTCCAAAATCAAGCTCTTTGGCATCAACTGCAACAAGGTATATCCAAAATGGTCTTGGCTCAAACTTAAGCTGCTTTCCACTACCATAGTTGCAATAAACGTGGCACCTTATGAAAAGGGTCTCCTCAAAATCTGCAGCACCTTGATCAACCCTTGATGGCATTGCTTGAACACTCCCATCTTTGGTCTCTTTCTTTCTAACAGAAACAGAAAGCCTTAGTCCATTCATGGATGAAGGAAGGCCTTGAGCAGTAACCACTTCAATAGAAAACAAACAGCTTAGTTTATGCATTCCGATATGAGAAATGGCCCTCATAGGCTTCCAGCTCCAAATCCCTTTCTTGTCACCTGAATTTGTCGTGTCATCAAACTTTTTGGTATCTGGTTGAGTGAGAGTTGCCTTGGCATCTTCAGGCTTTGGTTTTGATCGCCAAAGAGACAAGGACATGCGGCGAGACCGAGTTTTGTTGTTTTGTTTGTTGCTAACCTTAGCAGTGTCATTGTCATCTTCAGCAGATGAGACAAAAGGAGGTGAGGCTCTTGATAGAGCTAATGAAGCTGTTCTTCTACTCGTGTTTGAGGTGTGTGATTGGTAAAGTGTTTCACTTAGGGCCTCTAGCTCTTCTAGGAGCTGAACATTGGAGTTTCTCTTGGTAGAGTTATCAGCTGCCATCAGAAGAAGTTGTTGCTACCAAAAAGGTATTGATGATTATTATGTCACAAAGGAAGAGAGAGAGTTTTTGGAAGATGAAGAAGAAAAGGTGATGCTCACATGGTTGGAAGGTTGGTTAGTTAACTTAGGTGTAAGGACTATGCATTGGTGGTGGAAACAATAATGGTGCTGGACCTTTCTGAACCAAGAATGTAATGAGGTAATTTGTGGTGGATAAAACATGAACGATGGCTTTGGCATTGCATTGCCTTGCTGACCAAGACAAGTTTGAAAATTAATAGACAAAGGGTCCCAGTGAATTTAATGCTGGTCTTTCGTATGGTTTACACAGTTCCAGAATTAGTTATGAGGGGTATTTTAGTCGATATGGCAAAGTCTAAACATGAAAATATAGTAGTTATTAGGTATTTTTATTTGATTATAGGTTGTTGGCTATTTATTACTTCTTGGAAGTCCTTAATTCTGTTCTTGATGATGGATCACTGCTTTCTAAAAACTTGTGGTCCATGCAAATTTAACCTCGTCTGGGTGATGTGAATTATTTTCCGCTCCTTGATGATATGGTTGCTTACAATTTACTCAAGAGTTGTCTAGAACAGTTTCTTTGTTTGTGACTATCTAGACAATCCATGAAGCTCTTGCATCAGGTAGTGCTGCCTCTGGTGATTTATTACTTTTTAATGACCTTGTTTCTCATGTCCTTGTCTTCTGAACTTTCTCAACCAGTACTTGAAAGTTACTGTGTTTGGCCTCTATCAAACCAGGGTAATAATTATCAATAATGTAGTTGAGAAGTAAGTGTTATTGATGTGACGAATCTCTTATGGTTTGAAGGTAGGTTCATGAAGTTGAGGTGAAGGAGTATGGAACTGATGATGATTAGAGGACCTTTGTGAACCAAGAAAATCTGAAGCAGAATATTTGAGGTGGATATAACATCAAGTTGTTACCAGCACCAATCTGAAAATTAATAGCCAAATTGGTCCCATCAAATTTAATGCTGCTTTTCCCAATGCATGCATGATTAATAAGGGATTAACATTAGTATCTATCATATAATATCTCTAGTATTTATAATTTTGAGTTGATAACTTTATAATGATGGGAAGGAAAAAAATTTATTGGTAGGTGGGAACAAGAGAAAATTAAATAGGTAACTACTACTACTACGTAATATTATTGAAATATCAATATGAAAAGTATGAAAAGTAGAATGTGTAGAATGGTATACAAACAAAACATAATTTCTTTATTTTCTTTAAACACATTAAAAACAATTAACATGACCATTAAATCGTTGATATAAATGAGATTGGACCCATTTTTTGAAGATTTCAAATCCTAAGTTTTTTAATAAGAAAACATGGTTTAAAGAATCTCGCTAATAATCAATATCATAGTATCCAAATGTTTAGGTAAAAGAAGGAAAATAGGCCCACATTGAACTTATGTCATTGAAAAGCTAAAATATTTAATTCAATTGTTTTCTCCGTCTTTGTGTTTTCAAGGAAATTGGACCTGCTATTAAATTGGACCCAAAATATAATAAAAACTGCACTTTGATTTTTAGTTCTTCAATTTAAATGGATATCAAAATGAAATTACACATTTTTTACTTCAAACTTTTGAAATTTTATCTTATAATTGAAGATTCTAACTGACACATGATGGATAATATGACCAAAACATAAAAAAAAAACACTCTTGTAGGGAAAAAAGGAAAGCTGTTCTGATAAAGGGAGATTTATTTATTTATTTATTATCTTTTTATCTTTTAATATGTTTAAATTATTAACAAAATTAATTAATGATTTTTTTATCTAAGTAGGACTATTTAATATTATATATAAATGAGAATTTTCTTTTTAAATTGTTTTTAAAAGAATATGTAAAAAAATTAATATGGATGGATTACATATCATAAGTAGAAAAAATAAATAAATTGATAATATAGAAAATATGGACTTTAATGTATATTTTTACTAGTTTATATTATATATAAAATGAATTTCTCTTTTTATATTTTTTTATATCATTGTTTTTTATAATATAATCTTATTATTTTTATCAAATATACGATAGACAAAATAAATGTGACGTGGAAAATAAAATTGTGAGAGATATTAAAAGGCGGAAAGAGAAAAAACAAAACAAAAAATATATTTTTGAAAAATAAATAATACAAAAATATAGACACATAATTATTTTAGTTTATGTGTTTTTTTCACTAAGTTTTTTTTTTAAGTTGTGATAATATTTAATATTAGATTTATTTTCAATAATTTTTTTAATTGTCGGATAAGAAATTTGTTATATATTTTCAATAAAATATAATGTGATTATATTAATTTGTTTATTTTTAAAGAAAAACACAACAAATCTTATTAACGATGTTATTTGGGTTTGAACTAATTTTTTTATGCAATTCAGTGAAATCTATCCAATCTAATTTTAGTTGAATGAAGATTTTATATATTTAACTAAAAACTCAGTACAATCAAATTCAAAATCATTAAATAATATCAATATTAATATTAATAATATAAATATTATTTAATTTATTTAATTAGATTTTTTTTTAAATATTAAATTATTAAAATAATAATAATGTAGTTTATTTAACTAAAATATTCCAAAAACTTTAAAAATTATACATTTTAAAATTAAAAAATGAATAAAACCAAATATCTGAAACATAGTTGGTGTGGAGTTAATAGGATGATATTCAATGCACTTTTTCACTTTTGAAAACTCAAAAATATCAAACACAGAATATAATAAGATTGTAGTCCTCGCGGTCCTCGTGGAGACCATCAAAACATATATTCATCAAACAATAATTTGAAAGTGATGAGTTCTTAGTGATTATATATATTCATGCTCTTTTCCTCCATTGTATGCTCAAGTTTGTTTTTTTAATGAAATTTGATCATTTTTTTAAGAAGTAGTTTGTTGTCCTCATTTGTAGCACATAATATCATTTTTTTAAGTAACCAGGAGGACTTTTTTCAAATTTTTATTTTAATATAAAATAAATTCAAATAAAACCACAGACGAAAGACATGGTGCATAGAAACGTCTAAATAAATCTATAAGAAATTGATAACATATTATATAAAAGCCCATTAGATTAATGATTTTTATTTTTAATATTTTATTCAACTTTTTATTATTATTTAAATTCTTTATCATACTTTTCATCAAACAAAATCTAAAAAATATAATAAAAAAATAAAAAAAATATTTTTTATTTCCTATTATCATTTTATCAAATTTTTAAAATACAAAAAAAAACCTCACTTCAATGTTTCGTTGATGTTAAGTTAGGTCAAATTTACTTTTATCCACGTGTAATGGGTACGTTTTTTTTGTCCGACCACTGTTTAAAAGTAAAAAAAAAAAGTGATCGTGTTGCACGAGAGACATAAAATATTATATAATTTAATATTATAATTAATTTATATAGATTGATCAGCTTCGTGAAGCTCGTGAATTTTTAAAATAAGGAACAAAATTTTGTTAATTATCAGAAGCTGATTAATAATTTTTAAACGTTTCTTTATTAAAAAAAAAAAGTTGTGACAGGTACAAAATAACAATTTACATATAATTTAAAACTATCAAATAAATTCATTCATCTCTATTTCAATATAAAATAAATAAAAAAGTTAAAAACATAAAAAGTAAATAAAATTATAAAAATTCCTTAATATAAATTATATTTTTGGATTTAGTAATTAACTACATCCAAATAACAGCTCAGCGAGACTCCATCCTTATCCAAATGTATAGCACATGTTTTATATTAAAATAATTTTAGAACACGTGTCATAACACATCTTATTTTATATCCTCTTTAATTTTTTCAATTTTTAATTTGTATATAATAAATGAATTTGGTTTGAATAACATTAAAGAATAAAAAGATATAAATAAAGAATTGGTGTAGATATATTGAAAGATAATTCTCTTAAAATAATTTACCCAGTTTTTTCTGTTCTTTTGCTATCTCTATAGCATGTTCTTACATTTTCCTTTTACATTTGATACCTACCACATGATTCACTTATGAACTCTATATGTTTCTGATTCTTTCTTTCTTTTTTCCTTTTTTCTATGATCAAAAGTGAACTGCATAATCATTTGTCAATTAGAGACACGTGACACTAGCATCATCTTTGTTGATATATAAAGAACCTAAACCGATGCACCACAGCATCTGCAACAGCAAATCAAGAATGAAGCCAACCCTAGTTCTTGCTCTCACCTTCCTCCCCCTTCTTGCTTTTCTCACCAACCTTCCTTCAGCTTTCTCAGGTGATGTTGAACAAGTTGTGGACGTGAATGGAGACCCCATTTTTCCAGGTCTCAAATACTACATCATCCCAGCAATCCGTGGCCCACCTGGTGGTGGATTGAAACTTGCCCAAACTGGAAACTCAAAGTGCCCTCTCACTGTCTTGCAAGATTATTCAGAAGTCTTCCGTGGCTTCCCTGTCAGATTCACCATACCTGGAGTTAGTCCTGGAATCATCTTCACAGGTACTCATAACTAGTTTATGCATTTCATGAGGATTCTAAATTCTAATCACTGCTCATCGGTGAATAATCTGCAGTCACAAAATTTCTTGAAAAGTTTACTGATTTCAATGTTGGAAACATTCCTACAGGTACCCCACTGGAAATCGAGTTCGTAGAGAGCCCATGGTGTGCAGAATCCTCGAAGTGGGTGGTGTTTGTGGACGAAACAATCCAGAAAGGATGTGTGGGAATTGGTGGTGCAGAAGGGCATCCAGGTCAACAAGTATATGGTGGCAAATTTCACATTGAGAAATACAAATTTGGGTACAAACTCGTTTTCTGCATCAATGGCGCACAAGCTTGTTTGGATATTGGGAGGTTTGACGCAAAGAACGGTGAAGATGGAAGACGCTTGAATCTCACTGAGCATGAAGCCTTTGATATTGTGTTCGTGGAGGCTTCTCAAGTTGATGGAGTTATTAAATCCGTAGTTTGAATCAACTTCTGAAACATAGTTAGTGTTGAGTTAATGCAATCATGTGTTGTAGTTGTGATGAATAAGTGAAATAATTACTATGTTTTCTTGGGTTAGATTTTTTGTCATGTTGTGCCTTAATTTCTTCAAATTTCAATTAAATTATTATTATAAAAGCATATATAAATATAATAAAATTGTAGTCCCCGTGGCCCTCGTGGAAGATCATGAATAAATAAATATATTCATCAATTCCAATTTAATGTAGTTTTGAAATAATTAATGTAGGGAGAAATAAAATATTTGTAGGTAGAAATAACGTTGGATTCTACGCAACTACATTTTTATTTTTTATATTTATTTAAATATATTTTTCAATTAATTATTTTAATAAATATGTTAATGATTTTTTAAAAATTTTAATTAAACTAAAATTAATCCGTTAATCAATGAAATAGGATTAAACTAAGATAAATATTATAATCCATGAGTTATCACTTTTTTTTTATTATAATCCAATTTGATTTAGCATTTACAAGGAAAATCAAACCAAACTGAAAAATGTACGTAATATTTTTTAATCAACGTTTTGGGAACAGTTTACAAATATTTGGTTCTCTAAATCGTTATAAGATTTTGTATTAAATAGAATTGATTGTAAACTTTTTTAAAAATATAAGGTCCGAAATATAAATAACTGAAATATAAATTTTGTACCCTACTTTAATATTCACTACAATAAAAATAACATTTACCACCGGTTATATAATATTAATTTTACAACCGTAGTTAAAAAATGTATCTTTAAAAGTCAACAAATTTAAGAGGACTAAAAGTTAAAATTGTATTGATTTTACTTTTTCAATTTCATCATTTATTCATTATCTTTTATATTGAATTTTTTTTAATGTTTTCTGATGAGATTCTTTTAAATATTATATATTTATAAGTTTTTTTCAAATATCTTAAAATTCCTATGATATAAATTTATTAAAATTTAAATTACAAAAATTTAATCATAAAAACCTTGTTAAAAAAATTTTAAATTATTACATTTCTACATATAATCTTTTAATTAAAAAAAATCAAAATAATCTTAAAAAATCTTAAACCAATTGACTCCCAGTATTCATATAATCCTCATTTTTAGAATTATAAACTCTCAATTTTTTCTGCGTTCTTATTAATTAAAACATGTATTTTATATATTAGTCTTACAATTGACTAAAAAAATTATTTCTCAATCATTAAATTAATTTTTTTTTAGTTATTTATATACTGAAATTATTTTTTGAAATTTATTATCTTTCATTTTATCTTTAGGTTGAATTTTGTAGGTGTTTTAAGAAATTATCAATAGTTAAAAATAATCTTATATTAAAATTAACTTATTTATTATGAATCTAAAATAAAACTTGTATATTTCTATAAATTTATTTATCATGGATTCGAGTTAAAATTTAATTTTGTTTTAAATTTTAATTTTATAAAAAAATAAAATTTTATTATATTTGCTTCCATGGGAAGATTTTATCGTTACATTTTTTTTTCTAAAACATTTTTGTATAATATTTCATATTTTATTTGACATGGTTAACAAGGACTTAAGTGTGTGCGGTTATTATCAAAGTGTGATAGCTTTCATCATTTATTAATTAGAAAACAAAAAATATATTTATCTCTAATGAAATTAAGATGTAAGCATTTTATCCTTCTCTTTATTATGTATATAATATACACTCTCTTTCATTATGTATATATTTAAAAATAAAAAATTGTTTTAAGCAAAATGCTCTTTTCAATTTAATTGAAGTTCCATTCCATTTCTTCCTTTTCAACACAAAATCTTTTCAAAATTAAACTAAATTGGAAATTTATTTATTAATTATTTTTTCAAAACTAAACATTTGAATGGTAACTTTTCTTTTTGATAAAAAATAAGAAAGAGTAATTATATATATAAAAAAAATTTATGTGCCTAAATTTAGAATTGTTAGTCTGACGAAGGTTTCTTGTCGTGGCAGTGAATGAGAGCCTTGTTACTTTGTAAGCCTCTGGAAAATGTTGGAACATTCTTGCACCCTCTTTCACTTCCAGAACCCTCTTTTCCTCTTCCAAATATCAAATGCTTCATTCATAATTCTTAGCTAGAACCTTCTTCATCTCACTACATTACATTATTACACTTACAATTCACCAGGCAGAGCGCATGTGCATGTGGCATCGAATTTTCGAGAACCACATTAACCTTTGCTACATTATCTCTCCTATATATACAACAACCACCTTGTACCTTATACTTTCAATCAGCTTCAAGACAAACTTACTATATAGCCAAAGTCCTACACATAATCCATTGCTTTCAATTTTCCAATACTCCGGTGAGTAACAAGAAGAAGGCACATACACATTCCAAAACACAAATGAGGCAGTTAGTACTAGTTCCTCTGCTCTTGCTTGTTCTTGCTGGTTTTCCATTCAAGGCAAAAGGGTATCTGCAACCATTTACAGATCGTCCTGGGACACTCTGGACTGACATATGGTCTGATCGTTTCCCTGATCCATTTCGTGCGTTAGAGCAAATCCCATTTGGGGTTGCCAAAGATCAGCCATTCATGGCTGTGTCACCTGCAAGAGTAGATTGGAAGGAGACACCAGCAGGACATATTATAATGATAGATGTGCCAGGGATGAAGAAAGATGAGATTAAGATAGAAGTGGAGGGAAACAGAGTGCTGAGAGTGAGTGGAGAAAGGAAGAAGGAGCAGGACAGGGAAGGGGATCACTGGCATAGAGTGGAGAGATCTTATGGCAAATTCTGGAGGCAGTTCAAGGTACCAGACAATGTGGATTTTGATTCTCTCAAGGCCAAGCTGGAGAATGGAGTGCTTACTCTCACAATGGCCAAGTTGTCACCAGATAAGATCAAAGCTCCAAGGGTGGTGAGCATTGCAGGGGATGATGAAGGCAAGCAGGATCTTTGAATTATTGATAAATGATAACAACTATACTCCCATGGACTTCTTGTGTGTGTCAGTAAATGATCAATGAAAATGTGTTTGTACTGTGTTTGGATTTTATGGATAGAAGATCAGGTTGTTATCATTTTACAAAGCAGGATCTTGTTTTATGAGCCTGTTAATCTTATTGGGTATTGTTGCTCAAACTGTAGCCATTTGATTAATAATGTTATAACGGAATTACATCGGAATACAATCATGCATTAAAAGAAAAATTACATATCGAAGTACTAGTAGGTCCACATGAAGAGGACAGTGAAGCGTTTCGGTTTTCCATTTATTAAAGGCTAAATCCTCGTCTCCTTGCAGACAACGTGAGGCAGACTAGAAGAGATATACAGATTCAGTCATTAGATTGTGTAAAATAAATAATCTAGCATTCAACAGAATTCCATGGTGTAACCTGTAAACCTTCGGTAGTACAGTACGACTGAAGCATTTGGACATGTTTGCATCAGAATCGGTTCTTCCTTGAAAAGCATACTTTAATTACATCTTTCAGATAAACGGAATTCAAATCTGTAGCTTACCTTGCCAAAAACAGCCCAGGAACAAAAAACTGGACTAGATTTAGAAATCATGTTGATATTATACAGTAATTGTCCAAGTTTCGAAATCTTTAAAGAATTAAAATGAATAAAATATAGACATGGGGTGTCAGGTGTGGAACACTTCATGGTAATTCCGCACCAAGGCATTAGTATTTTGGAGATGTCCTTTCACGGGGAAACTAGAGTTTCTTCTCCAAATTATGTTTACTCCGGAATAGTCTTTCAGCCAAAATTATCTTCCTCTGCCTAAATAACCTCATGAAGCACAAAACCAACTGAAATGGCATTCATTTCTTTCCTTCTACTTGTGTTATTGATAATCTTCAATTTTGCGATTAGGTCGAATAATTAGGTGTCCCCAGAAAAATCCTTTGTCATGTGATCTGACTGTATGTACCAAGAATCAGTTGCAAGGTAAGCCTTGGCTTTTGTAAAAAATATAGGGTTTCTATTTACTGAAGTACATTGATTTTTTCTGTATTTAATCCTCTCTAGATGTAGAAATACAGTTCAACCATGACTTCATTTCTAAAACCAACGAGACTTTCCAAGACACAGTATAACTCTTCTGTCTTTGGATTTGATTTATCAAGAGAATAGAACTGATGAACCTGGTCATCAACCTCAATCCAGCTGCACCCTGGAACTTTATAAGACTTTTGCTCCTTCAATGTCCTCCACATATTCCTCACTTCCTCCCACTTCCCCAAATCCCCATATACATTGGCCAACATTATACCATAACCTCCATTATGTGGATCTATTTCAACCAGTTTTTTGGCCGCAAATTCTGCCAAATCAGTCCGGCCGTGTACCTTACATCCATTAAGCAAAGAACCCCATACAACCTCATCTGGTTCCATGTTCATACCATTGACAACTTCCATTGCCTCATCAAACCTCCCTGCTCGACCAAGAAGGTCAATCAAACACCCGTAGTGCTCAATCCTCGGCTCTATCCCATACTCCCGAACCATCATCTCAAAATACCTGTAACCCTGCTCAACCAATCCACCATGAGTACAGGCATTCAACAAACCAATGAAGGTGACCTCATCCGGTCTCACGCAACCACCACACCGCACCATTTCCTCAAAAATGGCAATTGCACAATCACTCTGTCCGTGCAACGCAAAACAGTTAATCATCGAGTTCCACGAAGTCAACCCCTTCTCCGGATTTATCTCAAAAACCTTCCTTGCTTTTCCAAGGTTTCCACACTTCCCATACATATCAACAAGCGCATTCGAGACAAACGAATCAAAGACAAACCCATTCTTGTACACATAACCATGTATCCATCTCCCAAGCTGGTTCATCCCCGTGTGTCCGCAAGCCGAAAGTGCACAAACCACAGTAACCCCATTCGGCCTATTACACTCCCAAACCATTCTCCTAAGCAACTCAATCCCCTGAGTGAAAGCCCCATTCTGAGTGCACCCAGCAATGAGAGCATTCCACGACGGCACATCCCTCTCGGGCATCTCATCAAACACACTCACAGCACTCTCAACATCCCCCACCCTAGCAAACCCAGAAACCATAGCGGTAAAAGACACCACATTTCTTTCAGACATTTCATCAAACACCTTCTTCGCATCTTGCACCCCGCCGGAAACCCTGGAGTAAGAGTCAACAAGCGCCGTTTGCACAACAGTGTAGTGGAGAAACCCGGATTTAACAATCTGAGCAAACAGGGAGTCAGTGGTGCGTGAGTCCGGGCAGGCTTTGAGCGCGTGGGGGAAGATGAAGTTGTCGGGGCGAGGGGGCTGGGAGCGGAGCATGTGGCGGAAGAGGATTAGGGCGGAGGGGTGGGTGGCGGGGTGGGCGGCGTAGGCAGTGATGATGGCGGTGAAGAGGTGGGTGTTGGGGGAGGGGTGGTGGTGGAAAATGAGGCGTGCGTAGGAGAGGTTGGAGAGAGTGAGGGCGCAGAAGCGAAGGAGCTTGAAGGCGTAGAAGTGGGTGTGGGCGTGGCCGAGAGTGGTGAGGTAACCCTGAAGTTGCTTGAGGTGATTCAGGTCACTGCACTTCCTCAGTGTTTCCAACACATTTTCCTTCAGCTTTCCCTCCATTTCCATCGCTCTCACTTCTCATTGCTACAGCTTCAACTTCAACTTCAACTTCAACTCCGAATTCTAACTCACTTTAATTTAATAATTAAAATGATAATAATTTTTTTTCTTTGTTGATTGTGTGAGAAATTTGAGGAGAACTTAGTTATTAAAAAAAAAATCAGCTACTAGCTAGATGTCATTTGTAATTTAATGATAAACAATAATACAATTAAATTTGTTAAAAGTATATCCATATTTAATGTAATAAAAGATATCATTTGTAATTTAATTACATATTTATTTTTAACTAATATATAATTTATAATATTTATATACAAGGACTACTCTTATTAATTATTTTGTTTTGGTTCTGTGAAACATGACCAGTCCTAAACACATATAAATTATCATGGTACTTTAAAATATATATTGTAGTTAATAATATAAATAAATAATATTTAAATATATTTTTTATGTTTTATATTTATGTATACATATATATATATATATATATATATATATATATATGAATTACATTGTATTTTATCATAATATAAGATATTAAATTATAGTTTAATAATAATAAATAAAAATTTATTTAAAAATTAATTATGAGAAATTAAACTTTTTTTAAATATTATTTAGATTTTAAAATTAACTTAAAAATGTCATATATTTAAAATTAAATTGACTATTCTACTTTTGTTATTTATACTTGAATGTATAGTGTGATCCACCTAATTATCAATAATGAATTTAATGAGAAGTAATAATTTGTTATTTTTGGTATCAAATATTTGAGACTCATGCTAATAAAAAATACAAATTAGATTGATGGAATACAATACAATATGAATATAACATAATAAAATTATATTTAAAATAGAATAAAATGTATTTAGCTGAAAAACATCCAATAATTTTATTTCTCTTAAATTTGGGACGTTGGATAAAATCATTCTTCTTTCTTTCTATTAGAAAATTATCTAAAAGATAAATGACATTAAAATAGAAATACGTGAAACTTTTTGTTAGTAATGGTCTCAAATTTTTTATTTAAAACTCAGCAAGAAGTTGTTGATGGGTTTTTATAAAACTTTCTAAATACCTTCAATTATTTTACAACTTTTTTGTAAATAAATTATAAATTTTATAACAAAAGATTACGAATTACATATTAATGATCAGTACTCTCTATCTACACAATAATTAATTCGCTAGGAAAAAGTGACGTGATTAGTTAGAATAATATTAGAAGGAAATATATATATAAATTTTAACAAATTAATGTTACTAACAAAATCATTATTCTTTTTTAATTCATCTTATATACAAAGACAAAGATAGTACAAAATTTTAGGCAGGAAACATATCTAGCCAAGGCAATCTCAACCCTTTTTGACAGATACTTATGTTACCATTTTTTTTTTACATTACAATAGTACTAATTAATCTAAAAATTATCTATTTTAGTAAAACATTTAGATATAATACCTCATAAAACACAACATCCTAATGAAGAAAAAAATGCTATTAAGATAGCTTCACAATCACTCTAAGACATAGCCGAAATTTTAAATAGCTTTATAATGGGTAAATATAAGATGACGATATATAATATGCATAAAATATATTGTTTGATGCACCATGCCCTAATAACTAATATTTCACGTAGCATGTACTAAATGACAGAAATCAGGTAACACAATATATAATAGACCCTGATTCAGACAAGCATCCTCTAAGAAACTGGAATCAATTCGTAAGGTCTGTATTTTAATTTTTGACGGATCTAAATATCTTACAAATATATGGACAACAATTGAAGAACATACCACTAATATGATTTACAGAAACAAAATTGAGTAAGACCCTACAAAGTAAAAAGGTGTATGAGCAGGAGATATTGCAATGTTAGAAAAAGGTAAAAACCCCATATAATGTAACAGCAAATAATAGAGCTAGGAAAAATTTGACAAAATTTACCCTTGTGCAATAACTAATGGCAATGTCAACTCATTCTGGATTCTATTTTGTCAAATTAATTCTCTGACTTTCTAGTATTCTTCATTGTTTGCACGAGCCGGAGATTCCAGAAATTGATTCCATCTAGCTTGGTGCGTTCCATCGCTGCTACAATCTTCTCTATATATCCTGTTTGTCTTTGTCCAGCTTCTCTACATATCTTGCTTCTCTTTGTCCTCCTTCAAAGTTTCTACTTCCTACATGGCTTCGTCCTTTCGCTGCTTTTCTTCCCCAAGTTTTCCCATTATTCCCTCCTTACTAGCCTTTTTCATGATGTCACTTGTTTTCATTTCCTGCATGTCTTCGTCCTTTCCCTTCTTTTCTTCCACCAATTTTACCATACCATTGATCATTTCCTTGTTACTATCTTTTTTCATGTTATCTCTTGTTTCCTTGACATCAGTATCCTCATAATCTGCCATATCTTCCTCCTTCACAACTTCTATTACCTGAAGAAATTCAAATGGAGCAGCAGCTGGGTCCAACACCCTGCAACCCTTTGGAGCATCTGGAGCTTCTTGACCAGTGAGTACATATGAAGGTATTTGATGAGAGAATCGAAACATCTCTTCCATCCGAATAATCCTAATTTCTCTTGGATCTAAGTGGTAGTGAAATACTGTCCTGAATCCAGCCACTTTGATCAGAGGAATAACATCTATGCCATGCCCTTCAACAAAATCCTCAAGTACTTCAACCACATCAAACTTGTGTACAACTTCGTCTGGTGTTAGCTCATCCCAGTCAGGAGACCAATTCCTGTATATAGCCCAAACATCCCCTTTCCTGGGATATATACAAATAGCCCCATCAGCACCTGTTCTCCATCTAACCTTGTGGGAGAAAAAATTGGTCGAGCTACAGATTTCAGGTCTGCTCAATCTGAAATCCCCACAAATTTTTGAAAAGCCTGAAGCAACCCATTTAATAGGTTCCAGTTTACTGTTCGTATTTGGGTTGAGCCAACTGATTTGCATCTTGAACGGATTCAGGGAGATGACGCTGTGAATCATTGCATAACATCGAGGCATCCCGTCATTGTTATCATACACAGCCCATACTTGATTTTCAGAGAAAGATATTTCAGTTCGATCCTTATAAAAATCATGGAAGTCAGGATCTGGTACATCTATAGCTGTTGTTTCCAAAAATTTTCTGTTACCTTTAGCAACTGTAGAACCTGCTAATGACTTGATGGTTTTAGATCCAGAAGGCTTCTCAATGTTATCTTGAGCACACATCTCAGAGTTTCTTAAACATTTTTCTCCTTTCTCGTTAACTTTATGTAAGTCATTTCCACTCTCTTTCACCACTGTTTTATCAACAACATTTGACTGATTTTCCCTGAGTTTATTGCTAATTTCTTTTCTAGCTTTCTCCATAAGAAGATTCCGAAGTTCATCTGGGGAGACATACCTCACACAGTCAGTCTTGTTGGTTCCATTAACCCTATTATATTCAAAATTAGCCTGTTTGGATGAGTTTGTTCCCCCACCCATTCGATTTTCCTTACCACCACTTGCACTTGCATCCTCCATGCCCCCTCTTCTTTTCTTAGCAGGATTAGAGTAACCCTTTTTAGAAACATGCTGCTTCCTTTTTAAGGCCTCTTCCCTTTTGCTAGCTGCTTGTGCCTCCTCACGATCTCGCTTCACTTTATCATATGCTTGCTGAACCACACTTGCAGCCTGAGCCACATTGGAAACACCGGATGATTTTGAGAATGCAGACCACTGAAAACTGGCTGCTTCAGTCTTACTATAAGACCCTGCTCCAACATTTGGAGCCGCCATGTTATTCTTTCCGGCACTAGATTTGCTTTTGTTAGGTACTTGGCGGTTGGAATTTTGCTTCTTCTGTGCAAAATTCCATTGAGTTGCAGGTCTAATACCACTTGCAGGTGGAGGAGCAGTCTCCACAGCCACAAATGCTGCACGGCAGTTGGGACATAAGAGTTTAAGGTTAATATAAACTCTAAGATACTCATATTGCATTTTGCATCGAGAGCAGACGGTCCAAAATGTACTTGATTTTGACTTATGAGTAGAAGATGAAGTGTGATCTTTAGCAGTATTCTTATGAGCAGTTGCACTTGAAGGGGTAGTTTTAGTAAAATTGTAGCTACCATTAGTCCTTTTCTGTGTTGATGAACCTCCGAACTTAGTAGAAGCTTTCCGTTCTTTTCCACTTCTCTTGTCATAAGCTGCCCTTTTAGCCTTATCTGATAGTAAACTCCATGCCTCTGAAACAAGCTTAAATGCCCCATCAGCTCCAACGGACTTGTTCTTATCAGGGTGAAGCATGAGAGCTAGCTTCCTGTACTGTCTCCTGACCGTATCATCATCAGCAAAGGAATCCACACCAAGTACACCATACCAATCTGCTTCTCCATTTGTTTTGTTCTCGGCTGAAATATACACATCAAGTGTTGCTACCATTTGAGAAATACCCTCAAGTTCAGGAAATAAATTTAGGGCCTTCAAAGCAAATTTCTTTGCACCCGATATATCCTTTGCAGCAAACTTTCTCTCAGCAATTTCTTTCGCCCTGGTAGCCTCATCTTTATTGCACTCCATTTTTGTCACTTGCCTTCTCAATGTCCTTGTCTACTTTCTCAATATATTGTTGTAATATAATAATATTAACATTTCAATCTAAAAATATCCTGTATCTTTAAACATTTCTTCATAGTTTGGGCTCCCATACAGCTTTGAAAAGCAATTTGTAATGGCAACCGATACCTATGAAGACAGAAATTTTAGTTAATAAATTAACAACTCAATAAGCAAATTGAATTCAATCAAAATTAAATACAGTAAATGCACATGCAATATTATTTGGGCAATGCTACAGTATTCTCAACCATAACAACCTATAGTCAGCATCTACAAATTACAAGAGCTACACAGTTTAAACAAGTTTTAGGAAAAAAATCAAAGCTGCAATCAAGCATCCAGCTATGACAAGACCATTAAATATTTTAACAAAGTAACAAACACCACTAAAGTACTTGCAAAGTGAAGATCAAAAGTGTGGTGTTATTAAAATTTAAATCAAAATTTTCAATCACAAAAATACCAGCACAGAGCAGCAGGACCGCAAATCCTCTTATCTGTAGCTGGATGACCTCTATGTTAAAATATTAATATACATGTTAAGTAATTTATAATTAAACCACATATATATAAATGCTCAACTATTCAAAAACCACAAAGCACCCAAAGTATTAAATTTATAAAGGAAAAATTAAAGGGAGGAGACACCCAAGACCCAGAACTAAAAGGGAAAAATCACAAGATTTCCTCATCCCAAATAACAGTCTAAAACAAAGGGGACAAACGTGGGTTTTACTAACCCTATCAGAGTCATAGCACTTGTATGCAAAAGGCCATAATTTTGGCAGCTATTGCAGGAGTGATGTGCACAAGAAAAACTGCAGTATAAATTTTGTTTCTGTAGCAGTCTGCAGCCACTCCATATTGAACCACCACTAACCTGTTATAGTGTGGGCTTTTGATAACTACAAACTGAATAGTGATACAGATATGGAAAGTCATTTCATTTTTCTTACTCAACACAATGTTTTTAAAACCCTAACGAGACTATACAGTGCAACTAGTCAGGTCTTACATTAAAAACTTGCTTAGCAAATTAAATTCAGTGAAACTCAAATATAGAAAATAAAAGGGTGATATTATTTGAGTAATGTTACAACACGCTCAGGCTTACAAATGCAACTATTCATTGGTCAACAATTACAAATCTGCAACAGCAAAACAGTTTATAACAGTGTGACCTAAAAGTTTTAGGAAACAAACATCGCAGCACACAAAATCGCATAAAAGTTTAATAGAAGTACCTTAGTTACAATTACAGCTCCTAGAAAAGCAAATGGAAAGACATTCCATTTTTCATTACACTACATCAATGTTTTAAAACCCTAACCAAACCAACTAATTCAACCAGTCATACCTTGAATCCGCTCTCCACCAGTCAATTCCTTACTACCATCAACTTAACCTATTAAATCAATCAAAATGTAAACTAGAGATGTCTGTCGGCAGTCCTATTTAAAACAAATTGCCTATTAAATCAATCAAAATGTAAACTAGAGATATCTGTCCGCAGTCCTATTTAAAACAAATTGTATTATGTGCTTATGTTATTAGGCACAGCTCATCACATGGATACTGAATCAACAGATAAAGCATCAAAAACAGCAACAGCAAACTAAATGAAAATAAACAAAGAAGCAAAAGCCACAAACAAACACAACCAATTCCCCTATTAATCTATAATTCATCACAGGACAACGCAATTTCGTAACTGAAATGACAATCAAATATACTCAATTGAAGTAAAAGCAGCACACAATTCCAAATTACCAAGCACAGAAGAACTCAAAACTCGAACACGTCGAATCTTCCACCGCAACAACCTCAGGAAAAATTCCCGTTGCGCACAGAGAAATTTTGATAAAGGGGAACGAAACCCTAAATATTAAAATCAACATTATCAAGAGAAAAATAAAATGGAAGAATAAATAAATAAAAGGACAACCCTAAAATCAGATAAAGTTAATGACTTTGGATTGAAAGGAAAGAATAAAAGAAAAATGAGTGAAAGGATTAAGGAAGCATGAACTAGCACAATTTAACAGGTTTTGTTTTGAAGTAAAGAAGAAGAAAAGTGGGGACTTACGGTGACCGAATCGAAGATCGTTGGAGAAGAAAGAACAACAGAATTTGCTGAGCGTCGTTTGGTCTCATTCTCTCTTTCCTTCTCCATTTTGGTGTCTTCTCTTCAAATTGCTCATGCTTTTTCAACTTCTCTCGTGTTTCAGGGTCACACACTTGGAGAGGAACCTCTCACAGTAAAAAAATTTTGTTCTCTCTTGTTTTGAAGAATGAATTTTGTGACAAATTGGTGCAATTTATAATATTTGTTCTGAAGGAGTATTAGGTATAATCTCAAGTGATTTAGTGACAAACTAGGTAATTATGATTTTTGTATGGCCTTTTTAAGAAATTAAAAAATTCAATTACATTCTTTTTTTCAAATTAAGAAAATGATCTAATATTTATTATAAAACAAATAAATTGATTTGAATGCTGAATTTTTCTTAAATTATTAAATATGTAAAAGCTCAAATTAGAAAAGTTAATAAAGATTTTTCGTTTTAAAATATATTAAAGAAGAAAATGTTTAATTTTTATTTTAAGATTTAGAAATCTATCTCATGTTTACAGAAATAAATAAGCGGTCGAGACAGTGAATTTATCTTAATAAAAATTTAATAAATATAATTCTTTTCTAAAACTATCAAAATACAAGATGTATAATAAAAAAATCAAACCTTTTTTTTTTCAAATATAGTTCTCAACTATATATCGTAGTTAGTGCATAGATTATAAAATTTAATATATTCATGAATAAATAAACTTCCCCTACGGATTTCTTTTTATTCTTATGGGAAAAAAAAAAAACACAATCTAAAAGTTGTCCTAGATTCCATGTATCAAAACCACAAATTGTATAAAAGCTTGTGTCTTTCAAGCATCAATGTTATTCAACAATTTCATTAAATAACTAAAGATATATAAAGATCACAATTTATTACGATAAGCAACTAATTTATTCCAGCGGTTAAATTACAAATATTGGTGCAAGTTAAATTAAGGATTTAAATATATATATATATATATATATATATATATATATATATAGAGAGAGAGAGAGAGAGAGAGAGAGAGAGAGAGAGAATATCATATTTAATTAAAAATTAAAAAAATTAATAGAATAATCTTCATAATAATAATAATAATAATAATAATATTATTATTATTATTATTATATATAAAGAGACATTTTTATCAAAGAAAATTTACTATTTTAAAAAAATTAAAATTTCGTATTTTTTTACCAAAATTTTACAATAATAAATAAATATATATATATATATATATAAAATAAGTATGGTTCATATAAAAAAATTATAATATAAATAAATTTAGATAAGTCGATTTTGATTACCCTTATTCAAAAATTATTAGATTGATTTTTTTATTAAATATTAGAAAAAAGGAACATAAAGACAATTTAACGTTTAAGTCAATATACAGAAAAAAAAATAATGATAAAAAGTTTGTGAAAAAAAAATGATTTATAGATAATAAATCGGTTTTTTTAATCAAGATATTTAAAATAGTATTGGCGTGCCAAAAATTATTTTCTTTTTACACCAAATAAGTTTCATTTCCTACTAATATAGGTTTAAAATGATTTAAGATATAAAGAATTATTATCAATTTAAAATTTACTTAAAATATAAATTGGATTAACAACAACAAAGACTCATTTATGTGAGTAAGAAAAATTTTATCTATCTATGATAGGAGTTAAATGTTCTTACAAAAAATTTACAACAAGGAATAAGCTCCGACAAGTCGGTATAGATGATTGTCACCATTTTAAGATCTATTTGATTAATTTATCTGATAAATGTTAGAAAAAAAAAGAGATTTACATGAAAAAAATACTTTTATATTTAAATTAGCACAAGAAGAAGAATACTAACAATAGAAAAGTCTCTCAACGAGAATTAAATAATTTGTAAATAATAGTGATATTATTTATAAATCTTTTATCAAGATATTTTAAATAATAAATTATATTTATTTAATATTAATTATAATCAAATAATTAGATAATTAATTATACATGATTATCATAATATATATTGATACGTGAAAATATTTTTATTATAAAATAGATATCATGAATTTTGATATTGGAACTCTTTGACAAAGGAGGGAAAGAGGGACTTGACGGAAAAAAAAAAAAAAACCAAAACATGTTATAACTCTTTATCTCTTTCGTAAGTCAACGTGACTACTTAGTTTACAAAGAACCCGAAATCGAGGTTAGCTTAAATAAATACTGTCCGAGATAAAGTCGGTTATAGCAAGAAAATGTTCAGAATAAGATTATGAGATGACTGAATCTGGTAGAGCCTGTTAGACATCTCATCATAAGTTTATGCATAAACGGAAAATAAAGGCAGAAAAGTAAAGACAGAAAATAAATACACAAGTCCATGATAAGATTATCAGATGACTGAATCTGATAGAGCTGGTTAGACATTTCCTCATAAGCTTATATGAACATAAAATAAAGCTATACAAAAAAATTTAAGCCTTTAAATGATTATCGCATCTTTTAATAAATATCGCTTAAGGCATCCGATGACGCCCTTATAAAAAAATTACTCCATGAAAGGGAGAGTAAAGAAAACTTACTCGGGAGAGGGGAAAGAGAAGGAGAGGGAAGATGCTGAATATGATTCTCTTATTGATTGTATGTAAGATTTACATAAGAGAGGGGGAAGGAGAAGTAGAGAGAAGGAAGGAGAAGTAGAGAGAAGGAGGAGAAGTGAGGGAGGAGTGAGATATGAGAGGGATGGAAGGACTCTTGCCAAACATAATGAGCTTATAGGTTCTTATATAGAAAAATAAAATTATAAAATATTGAATTGTAAAATTTATATGTGGAACCCATTTTATGACTTATAGGTCTAAAAAAAACTTAAAACAAAAGTTATCTAAAAGGGAGAGGAGTTTACGGAAGATATTCTTCTGTCACTAGAAGACAAAAATTTGATTTTTTTTATTATATCAAAAGATTGGTTTAATCTTTCCGTCATTAACACGCAAGACTTAAAGAGTCTAACAACATGTAACGATAGAGGAACCATGACAAGATAACAAGATATCATTATCTTCCGTTAACCTTTGTCATCTTTTGATATTGTTGTATGACATAAGGGCTTACATCATTAGAAACTACTCGAAATCTTCAAGGACAAAATTGTCTTGACTAATGACGTAAAAGATTATATCATTAGGAGTTTCTCGAAATCTTCAAGGGTGAATTCATCTTTATTGAAAGACTCATTGGTTGTGGTGAGATGGAGTTTGTACAGGTTTCATCGTATTTGTCTTCAAGTCTTAAGAACATCTTCTAAAACCGATACTGTAAGATATGTCTTCAAGTCCATTATAAAATAGATATCATGAATTTTGATATTGGAATTATTATATATATATATATATATATATATATATATATATATATATATATAATATTAGTTTGTTAAATTTGATTCATAGCATAAAATCAAATTTAAAATATATTTGAAGAGTTATGCAATTTTTATCATGATATATTTTTTTTAATTGTTAGAAAATCTTATTAAATATATTCCGGTAAAGAATAAATAAAAATAAGAGTGACAATTGAAATATTGATATCTGGATAATTTTGTATAATTAAGTTTACGCCGAATTTTGAATGATAGATTATAGATTAAGTTTTTTCATCTCATAATTATAATTTAAAATTTTGACTTTTTTTCAATTCTTAAAAGGAACGTAGACATAGATAGTAATATGAAAACATGGAAATAAAGTTGAATACTGATATGTCTAAGAAAAACATGAATAAATAAATCGTATCTCTTATTTTCAACATGGAAAAATTAAATTAATTGTTAAAAAAATCATTATAACAATTAAATGAGTTACGCTTTTATAAATTATTGGAAACTTACGGAGTTATGATATGGTGAAATCTTTGTTTTTAATAATATCATTATTACCGTGTTTTTTATATTTATAAATAAATTTATACATTTTAAAACTTTTTTTTGTGTAAAAATATAATCCATTTTTCAGAAGAAGACCATTGCATGATCATTATAAAATAAAATATCATATCTAGGAGTTATGAAATTTTATATTTTTTTCAAAAATAAATTAAAAATTGTAGATATTTGTTTTTTTATCAATTTCCATTCATTCTGTTAATGGAGGCTAGGAGAGATCCAATAACATGGTACTTTGTTTGGATTCATAAATTTATAAATAATTGAATTATGCAATCTATTTTTTGAATTGATAAAACGATAAAGGTGTGGACGAATTTTTATGATTTTTTTCACAGGTTGATGTCTTCAAAATATCTGATCTTTACAAGAAAATTCATCGTAAGCAAATTTCAATGTAAGTCAATTCATTTTGACATACAAAAAAAAACCCAAAATACTAAGTTTATTGAAAAAGATTTGTAATATAGAATGTAATTAGGTCTTTTTTTTTTTCAAAGATATGTATTAAAATATATTTAATTTTAAATATTTGTTCGTAAAAGTTAAATTTGAAAGTTTAAAAACATAAAATAAGAATTGTAAAAAAAATCAATTCATGATTTTTTAATCAAATAATTTTCTTATTATAGATTTTTACCTATTTAAATCTAGGTTTAAACACCGATTATATGAATTAAATCTTAATATAATTTAATCTAATATATATATATATATATATATATATATATATATATATCAATTCAATATTCAATTAATTACTAATTTGATTTCTAAAAAATAGTATTACAAATTGATATTTCAAAATGCAAAATTAAAAATAAAGAAGAGAAAAACAAATTTGGAGCATGATATGATCGGTATAAAACTCAATCCGACTGGTTTAATCTTGATTTTGTGAATGAATTGTTACATGTTTCTTTATCGAGGAGGAGCTATAAAACAATTTAGACCATAAAAAAAAAAAAAAAAGATAAAGAAAAATATGTAAAAACAATTCCTAAATTAAAAAATTAAAAAGATGATTTCTTTAACATGACTTTAAAATATTTTTAATTTATATAAAGATTCATATAAAATAAATTTTAAATGTGAGTTCTAATTAAGTTCATAAATTTAATTATAAAAGATAAAATAATACAAAAGAAAATTAAACTTAATAAATTTTAATAAATTTACCTTAACTTCTATCAATCATAACAAACATACAAAACTTTAAATTCAAAAAATCATATATCACTTCATAAATTTAGGAGCGGAATCTAATGTAATTTGAATAAGACAAAAATAATATTAAAAAAATATTATGATAAAAATAGTAAAAAAATGTCGTATAAAGTTAAAACAATATTAAACCTAATTTATTACTACTAATAAAATATATAGTTTAAAAAATGAAAATAAAACATAAAAAATATATTTACTATATAATAAAACTGTGTAAAATATATATTTATTTTACACGGATCCATCAAATACAAAAACGTACAATGATCAATATTCTAATATTGGATTTCTAAGAGATTAAATGAATAGTTGTCACGTGTAAAATCTTAGAATATGTTTCTTGAACTTCTGTCCTTTATAAAAAAAGGTTTTTTTAGTTGTACAAAAAAAAAGATAATGTATGATATCGATATTATTAAGTATTCATTAGATGTTAAAGACTTTTATTGTGAATTCAAAGCACCAATGTGGATTAGGTAGAAACAAAACAAATGTTGAGAAGAGAATAATAGGTCATGAAAATGAAGATAGAGGTCAATAAATACTAACAACTGTGCACATAAACGTGAAAAAGACTAATTACACACGATAATTTTTACTTTTAAACACACTTTCTTCCAATTACAACATAATTTAAACTATGTTATTTTTAATTATAATTCACATTATAGAAAGTTAGGAAATACTTATTCAAATATTGGTTTCATCCAAGAGCAATATCAAACTATTCTTATTAATTTATAGATAGGTATCTTCCGATAAAATAAATAAATTATTAATCTAAAATAAATAAAACAAAACAAAGCATACAAATAACGTGCAATAGGAAAAATAAACAAATTAATAAACTGTAAGATTAACTTTTTTTGACATCTAAACTAAGATAATTTAAACATTGATTTGATAGATTAAAAAACAAACTTTATAATAAAAAGTATTCAATTTATTACAATAAAAATGGGGACAAAAACACGAGTTTATTGAAAAGTACAATGTATTGAAAGAAATTCCCAGGCATAACACATGACTTAAAACATACATGTCTATGTTTTGTCTTACATATATCAGAAAATATTTTTTTATATGTATAATTTAATAAGTTTATATATATGGCTTGAAAATTTAAAACAATACAAATTATAATAATATATCAAAAATGATGATAAAAATGTATTCCGCTAGCTTTGATTTTTATTTTTATTTTTATATATTTGAATTGCTGAATTATATAATATAAATAGTTTGTTCTTAACCTAATTTATTTAACTAACATATTCTAAATATTTAATGAATTGTTAAAGAAATTAAGTATATAGCCTCTAAAACAAAGTGAAAGACCCTTAAAACAATGTACCCGTCGAAATCATTATTTTAAGGAAAATAATCCTTTTGAAATAATTGCATTCCATATTTATTAAATATTTATTATGATAATAAGAATATATAAAGAATATTCTTATTTAATATTATATTAAATATTATTTATTACTTAAAATAATATTAATAAGAAAATTATGTTATTTTATTATACATATATCTAAAATATATTCATATATTAACTTAAATATTTGAGTGTCCGTGGATCTTCTCATTCTTCCTATTCAACGGACCAAATCAACATATTTTGAAATATACTATTCGTAATCAATATTAATTCAAAATATTTGGATTGTTATTTTTATATTTATTTATGACAAGAATAAAATGCAATGCATTAATCAAAATAAATATTATTGATTGTTTTTTTTTAGTTTTAAAATTTTAAAAATAATTTTTTATTTTTATTAATGATATTTGTATTAATGATATTTGTATTTTATAAATTTAGTAAAGTGTTTTTTCTAATATATCATAAAAAATAATTTTTAAATGATTATTTAAATCAAACTAGATTATATACGCTAAATCAAATCATTGGGACTTTTTCTTTCGCAGCAATTTTAATTCTTTTGTTTTCATTTTATATATTCTTGTAAAAAATTGTATGCAGTTTTATTGTTAATTTATATTTTTTTTTCTTGGACCAAGAGAATAAAAAACTTAAATAAAAAATGGTGGCAAGAATAAATCGGACCAAAAATGAGAATTCACAAGTGAGAGAGTAAATAAAAAATAAAATTTTCTGACCACAAAGAAATCTAAACTTGATTATACAAAAGATAGAAAAACCCAATTTAGAACAATTTTTCTTTTGTTACTTTTACAAAGAAAATATAAGAAAAAAAGGTTCAAACAGGATATATATATATATATATATATATATATATATATATATATATATATATATATATATATATATATAATATACAACGCTGACATTTTTAAGAGAGTGAAAAGCAAATGGGGTGTGACAAAAATAAAGAGACATTGCATAGTTTTTTAAATATTTTATTTTATGAACAAAAAGTTCATACCTTAAAATAAGCTCATAATAAATTATTTATATAAATTTTTATTTATTAAACATATTATTTATTAAAATGTGTAAATAAAATATTAGTTGTTTAAATAATATTTTATTAGAGGAATATGTGAATATGTGACATAATAAATTATTTATATTTTATTGATAATCATTTCATTAAATAATTTTAAAAATAACAAATTAAAATAAATGACAAAAGAAAATATGTTTTTTAAAATTGACTAAAAATATTTCTAACGGACTAAAATTAAAATCAATGTCATAAATAATGGATTTAAAAAGAAAAATTATTTAAATATAATTTTTTAAATTTATTTACCTAACTATATATTGTTACTATTTATATACAATTTTAATAAAGAAAAATAAATACTTTGTTCTAATATAATAATTTTATTTTTTTTTATTTTTTTCTCTCTTCGTTTATTTTTTATTTTTTCCTCTTTTGTTGTTTTCTCACTCCATTTTATTCTTTCATTAAAAATAATATATTGAAATTTGATAAAAAGAGTCTTTTATTATTATTGAAAAATAAAAATATTTAAAAGATTCACAAATATTATAATTTAATCTATTATATAAGGAAAACTATTATACTATAAAATTGAGATGTTATAAATATTATTATTAGGTTATAATTATTAAAAAATTAAATATTTATTTTAAAGTATTATTTAAAAAATATTTTTTTAATATCTAATTATTATAACTAAGTCTAATTATAACTATATTAAAATATTAAATAATAATGTATTTAAATTATGAATATTTAATATTTTTTTAATTAGATGAGTAATTATATATTATGATAAAATAATTTTAAATTATTTATTTACATTATCATAAATACAATTATTTACTATCCAAATAAATAAAATTATTTATTATTATCATAATTTTAAATATTTAGTTAATATTTGTTTAGTTTTAATGTTGTTTTTAAAATATATATTTTTACTTATTTTTATTAATTTTTAATATAGTAGTTTAAGTGAGAGAAAAGAAAGAAAAATAAGAGATATAAAATAGGAGAGGAGAAGATGAAAAGTGAAAAAAAAATAAAACTTATGAAAAAAAAACTACATATTATTCATAAATCGATCTATTTAAGTAAATAATGTCATATAAATTTTATTTGAATAATTTTTGTTTTAAAATATATTATTTTTTGAATTCATTGTAAAATTAAAGTTAAATTGCTTATGTAAGATTTTCCAAACTCATAACATATATGCAAATGTTGTTTCAAAACATGACTTATATTCTTTTCGAACTTGTAACATATGTAAATGTTGTTTCAAAACATGACTTATAAACTTTCAAACTTATAACATACTTAAATGTTCATCCAAAACATACGACATAAATGTATGTCAATTATTATGCTTTTGTTGATGCAAAAATTACAATAGTTTGAGTTAACAAAAATATTGGTGGTGGAAATTAATTAAGAAAAAATATAATTGCAAACATGAAGTGAGTTTAATATATTTATATATATTGCTTAAACGTAAAATTTATGTATACTAAATTGAATTATGTAAAAATAAGTTGAAAACTTTATATAATTCTCACTCTTGCATATTCATCAGAGAAAAGAAATAATTATTGATTTCTTTTTTAAAAAAAGATGGTGTGAGGAATTTCATTTATGAATGTTATCCACGTGAAATTAATTATATCAATGTGATAGCCTTGGATCTCTACATCCACATCTATATCTTCATGCATACACACATCCAACAATAAATGGGCATTAAAAATGAAACTTGAAGACAAAACATTGACGAATCTCTTTTGCTGCTATCTATGCTGTCCATTATTTATAGCAAACCAAACCAGAAATGTAGCTGATGGCTGCAAACAAAGACAAGATATGGTGTAGATATACATCATAGAAGAAGGTGGTGAGAGAGATTTAACCATTTAACATTGACAAAATGGATAACAGATCTTGTGGTCAAAGTGTCAAAAAATAGAAGAATAAAATATACAGCACTTTAACCATCACCCACTTCATCATCCACTTCCTCAAATCACAGATATAGAGAGAGAGACGTTCTTTGCGTTGGCAGTTTTCTTTCCTTCACCGATAAACACTCCTTAGCTCTATCTTGTTGCTCAATCCTCTCCCCTCCAATCCAACTTCCCCTTCATTCTCTCTCTCTCTTTCCTTTTTCTTCTACCTTCCATAAATTTACGCACACCCATTTTTTAATCCGCGCAAGCAGATCCAAATTTCTTCTCTTTTTCACCGTTCCACGCTAATTTCCCAACTGGGTTATCCAAATTCAGAACATTACTTTACTAATTAACGCAACCCTAATTCTCTGTTTTAAATCTCATATTTACTGTTTTTATCCCTTTGCCTTTTCGGATCAAATTCTTCGACCATGTCGCGAATCTTCGGTAGATGGAAGAAGGCGAAGGAAATGGCGTCGCTTTCGGGGTATCTGCCACGTGGGCACCACCGAATCGGATTAAATTTTTGTCCGATTTCAACCAACCTGAATATGGTCTCCGGCCACCGGCGGTGGGAGGCTCTGGTGGGGGTCCAGGAGCGGTACAAGTGGGACTGCGGCGGGTCGGACGATAACCCGACCCGGAAGATCCGGGCTGAGGCTAATTGCCCACGTTGCACCAAAGACATGAACCTTGTTTTCTCCAATCGCCACTTTCCCACCCCGCAAAGTGAATCTAATTCTGAATTGGGTGGTGAGAGAGAAAGAGAAAAGGGTTACCAAGCAGTGAACCTTTGCCCAAGTTGCAAAACTGCTTATTACTTTCGCCCTTATGACACTACACCTTTGCAAGGTACTTTTGTGGAGATTGGTAGGGTCAGTAGTACTAACAATAATGGTGTGAATAATGTAAGTGGTAAGGGACATTCTTCTAGGAGGATAATACATGGGAAAGGTGGTGGCAAAGAAGGTGGTGGTAGTACTAGTAGGGGTAGTCATTGGGACGAGGAATCTGGGCCTAAGAGTAATGCAAGTAAATGGCTTGAAGTGTCATTGTGGGAGACTTTGAGGGCCTACAATAGTGGTGGTGCTGGTGGTAATGGTAGTAATGGGGAGCCACCAGAGTCGTGGCCGTTACCTGTTGGTGGTAATGAGAATGGGTTGGCTGTGCATACTCCTCCAGGCCCACCTTTTGCACCTGGGATTAATGTTATCCGGGCTACGCGGCCGCGGAATGGCGGTTCAGGGGGTGGTGGGGGCAATGGTGAGAAGACTGCCTGGGGAGGGTCTAATTTGGGGAAGGATTTACCCTCACCGAAGGAAATATGTAAGGGTCTTGACAAGTTTGTCATTGGCCAAAACAGAGCCAAGAAGGTATCCTGTTTTATTGAGTTTATTTGTGTTGCTGATGTGCATTTATGTGTCAACTTTCCCCTTTTGGATTGTTTAGGATGCAGAATGAGGATAGAAAAGAAAATTAGTGTAAATGAATGTGTCTGTCTAGATTCATTGTCATAGAAAGAAAAGTGTATATCCAAGACAATTAAACTTGCAGATATCTTACAAGTCACTGACAATGCATCGTTTTGACTATACCTCATTAATGGTTTATGTTTCTGTTGAAGGTACTTTCTGTAGCTGTTTATAACCACTATAAAAGAATATACCATGCGACTTTACCGAAAGGGTTAGTTCTTTTACTGCCCCTTGGTGGAATTGCATCCGATTCTTTAAATTCCTTATTTGTCCTTTTTGTTACAAATCTCTTCATGTGTAAACCAATCCATGTCATGATAAATATGTGGGGAATTTAACAAATGTCAAAATAATAGATTGCTCTTTTATAATAATTATTTGCTATGATTGAATTGGTGGAGTTTAATACTAGGTCAACCGTAGATTCGGAAGCTTCAGAAGTATTAGATGATGACGATAATGTGGATCTAGAAAAGAGTAATGTTCTCTTGATGGGTCCAACAGGGTCAGGTATGACATTCGTTGGCACTAGTTTATTGTCTTTTTTCTTGTAAAACGAGAATTAGTTGTTTGCTTGCTCTTTTTATATCTGCATCTGAAATTACAGCATGCCTGTTATGCTAATCTAAATTTTATCAAATAGGGAAGACATTACTTGCTAAAACACTGGCTCGATTTGTGAATGTACCATTTGTCATTGCTGATGCAACAACCTTAACACAGGCAAGTATGAATTCATTGATGAGGTAATGTAAGGATTTGGAAAACAAACTACGGCAAAAGCAAGTTAATGATGCAATTTTTTCTTACTTCAGAGATAAAAATGTATTTGGTTTTGTAGTTGGCTCATTTGTCCTTGGACAAAACTTTGTTGTTATTGACTTAAAAGAAGATTTTAATTTGTAGGCTGGTTATGTCGGAGAAGATGTCGAATCAATATTGTACAAACTACTTGCGGTATGTGTGCTGTTATGCATAATTACAGTGTTTTATAAAATGATAATTTTCTTTCTCTTCTAGGAATGGCTGTGTTTATCAATTTGCAGTGTGGTAGAAATTCTTAGGTTTTTCTTTTGTTATGCTCACTTATATTGTACAGTAAATGATGAGTGGATTTTCTCATAATAGAGTTTATTACGTTCAGTGAAGCTTCCTTGCTTTAGAAACATCTACTGTTCTTAAGTGCAAAGATTGTTCTTTTTATCTACTTGTAGTTGCACCTTCCTTCCATCTCATTGCTATGGTTATTTTTCCAATACAGGCAGCAGATTTCAATGTTACAGCAGCACAACAAGGAATAATTTACATTGATGAAGTTGACAAAATAACTAAGAAGGTTTCTTTTCTACTTTAATTAGATAAATTCATACTTGCTTACCCACAAAAGCTTTTCAATGTTATGGTAAATATTGTTACAGGCTGAGAACTTAAATATCAGTCGGGATGTGTCTGGTGAGGGTGTTCAGCAGGCATTATTAAAAATGCTGGAAGGAACTGTAAGTAAAAGATTCTAAATGTAGTTGTTGCTAACTGGCTTATTTTATCTCATCTATACTGGAACTGAAATATTCAATTTGACAAGCAATTTATTATTCACATGGGTTCTCATTGAAATTTCATCTTGAGTGTCTATTCCATTAAATGTGCCATGGTATTTAACTGGTAATTGATTAGTAGTAGCAAATAGCATTGATACATAACTGGTAATTTTATTTAGGTTAAGAAAGTACATTATATATATATATATATATATATATATATATATATTTTTTTTTTCTTTGGTTATTCATTGGAGTATAATATTCTTTTCTACAGCAGAAAACTATGTGTTCACAATTTGGGGGGTGGGGGTGGGGGTCTTGGGGTAAAGCAACTTGGTATTCTAACTTGACAATGTGCAGACCAAGTAGTCCCTTGTTAAGTGAAAAAGATGACCATTTTATTTTCACCATCAAAGCATCCACAACAGCTATGCTAAACAAACATCGAATTACCATCCTTTTTGCCAAGCAACTCCGTGTAAACAAAATCATAACGATAAATGAAAAAAACAAACAAACTGAAATTAGAATTATTTAAGTTGAGATGAAATTTGCACTATGGTCTGTTTGGCTGATTTTACTTGGTTCTATGATCATACATTCTTGACTGTATTTTCTGTAGCCTTTTTAATTGACCGTTTTTAAGATTAATTTTAATATTAGATTTATTTTTACTTTTTGTTTGCAATATGAATGAAAGTTCTCATAATCCAAATTCAATAAGTTTTTTGTAACATTGGATTCATATTTGTACTTATTCATTGACTATTTATGCTGAATGTTTTGAAGAGATTGGCTCTAAATTGGTTAGTGCCATTCTTGTAGAATCCTAAACTTGGATTTATTTCTTATTGTCTAGATAGTAAATGTTCCTGAGAAAGGAGCCAGGAAGCATCCAAGGGGGGATAACATTCAGGTATATTGTTTTGGAAGAATAACATCGCTTATCATTTGATTCATGCATCCACCAGGATATGATTAGACAAATGTTTTCATGTTTGTTTGACACTGTCTTGAATTCTAGAATATCCTCTTTCTACATAAACTAGAATAGCTATTTTGGACTAGAGAGTTTTGGGGAGTTATTGTTCAACAAGAGCATGTTAGAATTTTTTTACTTAGCCTCTTATCTCTTGCCATCTAATCTATCCTTTCTATCTTTATTTTTTAATTGAATTTTAATATTTTTCTGAAGAAAATATCAATATAAAAAATAACCTGATAGCATAAATTGTTTATAATGATATATTATATGTTAAAAAAAATACTTATTTCTTACAATTTTTTAATTATAATATAATTTATATAGTGAAAAGCATTGATGTGTTATAAATTTTATTTATATAAAATAAACATTTATAATGTGCATTGCACGTGCTAAATTACTAGTTTGTGTGTAATTAATTTATACACATGTTTCTATTGTTATGATTAATGTATATCTTTTTCTTATTGGAAAAATAATGAAAAAAATGAGAATGATTGGTTAGTTAACAATATTGAACATCCTTGCGCTAAAAGCTGTATAGATAGCTGGAGTTTCTTTTTAAAACTCCAATATCTCCTACATTGTTGTACTTGTCAATTTTCTATCGATGTGGACTAGCTTCAGTCACCTAGTGGCTAGTGCAGTTTGCATATAGCCTGTAACAATTGTTAATTCCTTCAATAATATTCCATTAATTTTACTTTTTTTATCTTATGCAGATGGACACAAAAAATATTCTTTTTATATGTGGGGGAGCATTTATTGATCTTGAAAAAACCATTTCTGACAGGTAGATGTTTCTGGCCTTTGTCCTGCAAAAATATTTATTTGCAAATCATATGTGCTTAACATATGCCTAACTTACATTATTTATCAATTAAACCAGACGTCAAGATTCTTCAATTGGTTTTGGAGCACCAGTTCGTGCTAGTATGAGACATAGTGGGATAACAGATGCTGTAGTAACATCATCTTTACTTGAGTCAGTGAGTATTGGCTCTTAATATCTGAAATATGAATCTCCTCTTGTTTTTAATAATTGAAGCTTGTAAATAATGCGTTTAAGTTACCAACGGTGGTGTGTGCTTTCTCCAATCCTCCAACACCAGATAAAGACACAGTAGTGAGATAATGAATTGTTGTAGCTGATAACTATCATTGTGAGTCTAAATTGTTGCTTTTTAATATTTTTCAGGTGGAAAGTTCTGATCTTATTGCATATGGCCTCATACCAGAGTTTATTGGACGATTCCCCATCTTAGTCACCTTGTCAGCTTTAACTGAAGACCAACTTATGATGGTATTCTTACCTTGTTTATGTTATCTTTTAATCATATCATATATTTTCCTTCCCGATTTCTCTGAACAATTTAGTGCTCAGAGGACTTATTCTACTTGCCTGTTGAGTGGTGCATCTGATGATAATTCTGTTCTGTCATGTATGATTTATGATGCTTTATACATATAAAGAGACTTGAGAATCCATATGGGTTTGCTGCCTCCTAAAAGCTTTAGATCTTTATTGTTCTATTTTGCTATACATTTTAAAAATGAACTTCAATATTCTATAAATATAATAATAAAATTGATAAAGAAAAAACCATATAGTCATATGGTCTTTATGCAAGTGCATGGTTCATATTTAATAGCATCATGCCAAGCAATTGGAACGAAAATTTTGAATTTAAAAAATTCAATGACCTCAATATCCACTTATTTCGTAGGTCTAAAATGTGAAGGAAATGTTAATTTATATGTGTATGCATCTGAGAGAGAGAAATGTTCGGATCATTCTCTTTTATTGGTCAAAATTTAGTTGAAATCACAATTTTGTGGGTCTCACATCTTATTTAATAAACCTATTGATTTTGTAGTTGTGTATAGATTTTAATCTGTAGGAAAAAGTGTTAGAAAGGTTGTGTCCTTCTCTCTCTCTCTCTCTCTCTATATATATATATATATATTCTGATCTTCAATTTATAATTGTAACAAAATTGGAAGAGGTTCCTAGAGGTAGTTGAAAAAGATGGTTCTCTTTTTAGTTTATGTTGACACTTTGTTCCTCTCTTTTCAGTTATAGTAAACAATGAATATTGGAACATTTTTGGGGAAGTAGAAAATATTTTAGAAGATAGGAATCCTTTTCTTTCTAGTATATGTTACTTCATATTTAGATTTTGAACATATAGTGATATGACTGTTGGGTTTACAGGTCCTCACAGAACCAAAAAATGCCCTTGGCAAGCAGTACAAGAAATTGTTTAGCATGAATAATGTAAGCAGCTTTCTCTCTCTCTATGCCTCACCGTGTGTATTTCTGTGTGTGTGTGTGAGTGCCTCACTCTCTGCATTTGACTACTATTTGGTGTGAAAACCTGAACTCATCCCGCCACCGGATCCATACATTCCAAACGAACAAAATTTAGGCATACCGAGATGCATCCTTTCAAACTTTAAGTTGGTTATAGGGATTGATTTAATGATTGTTCATGACAAACTTTTCTAAATTTCTAATGACTCACTTAACATATCTTTTGTTTTAAATTCGTGTATAATTAATCCTTTGTTTCCCTCTTTATATTTTTACCATGACATAAAAGTATCCCTTAATATCCTTTTTTTTTTCGTCTCTTGATGTTGCCTGGAGCCTGTTTCAACCATTTTTGCCTTTCTATATTGGAACCTGACATAGAAGACTGATCAAAACCAACCTTGGATGATTTAGTCTGCCACTGTTTTTGGTCATTTGGTGTTTCTTCTTTGCTGGGTCAACCTTATCAACTTGTTTTTTGTCTTTTGCTCAAATTATTCAAATTGGCCTGTGCGTGCCTCTGTGTGTGTCGTTTTTTCAATTAAGTAGCTTGTTAAGTTGGCACAGGGGAAATCTATTTATCTCAAACTTTACCCCTACTCTTCAGGTTAAATTACACTTCACAGAGAAAGCTCTAAGACTGATAGCAAAGAAAGCAATGGCCAAAAATACCGGTGCTAGAGGTTTAAGAGCCCTACTGGAAAGCATTTTAACCGAAGCAATGTTTGAGGTATTGAACAGTTGTTAATTCTTAAATATCAATCAGAAACTATCAAAATTTTCTACAGATTTTACTAATACACACCATGCTTATGTGCACCAGATTCCTGATATTAAGACCGGAAGTGATCGAATTGAAGCAGTTGTTGTTGATGAAGAGTCAGTAGGATCACTAACCTCCCTTGGATGTGGAGGGAAAATTCTTCGCGGAGATGGTGCTTTGGAGCAGTACCTAGCTAAGATGAAAAATTCAGCGGTATGGTTTTCATGCAAAGTTAATGCATTGGATTTGTGTTGGAGGATTGATTATAAAAACCGTCAGTTGTTCCAGCTACCTAGTAGTATAGTCCCTGCTAACATAATAACATGCCTCCTACCTGACATGTTTTCCCTTATTTGCAGCATTATGAGTTATGAGGATGTTGTATTGAGTTTCGACTAACCTGCTTAATCTTTTACAGGTTAATATTGACGTAGGGGAATCAGATTTAAATGAGGGAGATTTGGAACTTTCATCAAGAGCCATGAGCTTGTAATATCTTTCACTTACCATAATCAGAGTATAATTTATCATTTTGTCATTGTTATTTGTACAAAACTCATTAAAAAAATTGCTGTAATTATCCCTTGTATAACAGCATAGCTACTGGTCTAAGTTCACTGGATAGAAAAGAAACAATAGAAGAAAAAGGAAGGTGTAGTGTAGCATTGCTAATTTAGGCTGCACATTATACAAAATTTTCAATTATTTTTTAGGAAGTCTCACTGAAGACATTTTTTTTCCTTTGTACCTACCATGAATTTAATTGTAGGCAGTCTTTGGCTGATTGCATAACTTGAACTTGTGAACTTGGTCACATGTGACATGACAGTAATCTTAGCTGTTGTGCCAAGGATTCTTCAGATTGTAAAGACATGTCAAATCAAAATTATGTGTATGGAATTGAAACCCACCAAAGGTTAACAATGATAAATGAATGAGACAACAATAAAAGCCTTCAGAAAGTGACATAAAACCCCATCATAGAAACTAATCATGTGACTATAATTCTGTTACAAAATAAAATGCCTCTCTATCTAATATTTATTGATGGCATATGAAAATCTAGTTTTCATGAAGCAAATTGTGAGATACTGATAGATGCTATCGTAATACCAAAGAAATTTTTAATTTTACGAGTTTCGGTGTAATAAGTTTTTTTCTCTGTTGTAAGATTTATTAGATTGCAACATGGTAAAAGAATCAGTGGCTATAAGATATTAGAAAGCTAATTCATAGTCTTCAATATTGGTTAAAACGTTAACCTTGCAGCCTCAAAAGCTTAGCAGAACCATATGATTCGGACATTAATAAAAACAAAAAAATAATAATATTATGATAAACATTTTCCACCATGAAAGTTAAAAGCTAAGCTTAAAAAGAAACTTATTTGTAAATTCAAAATCACTTCCTTGCGGAATACACTTTTACGGTTGTTGAAGGTTATCTCTTGTTCTCTTTCATGTACGTGACAGGTGCATTCTTTTGCATCGAATTCTTTTAATAACAAATTGTATAGCTACAAATCATTCAGATGAATCTATTAGTAGAATCTCCTGTCCTCATGAACAATGAATCTGCAACAAGGAATCCGACCAAGTAGTGTAGATTATGCAAAGAAACGAGTCCAGAGATGAGAATCCATGATCATCTTAAACATAATGATGAGTGATTACTTTCAACAGGATTATTGTCAAAGGTGCAATCTAATGAAAGTGCAGACTTAGGTACATCCCTGTAGCAACTAGTAACTATAGTTATAGTGATCAAGTTCATAACAGCATTAGAAGCAGGGTTTACAGGTCCACATTATTCTTTCAAGCTGTAGTGCTTCTTCACAGCTTCAATAACTTCCCAGGTAATGTTCATTCCTTTTGGGAAGACAACTAAATCACCACCCCCAATTTCAAAAGAACCTACAGACCCTTCAACAGTAACCCTCACTTTTCCTTCCAGCAGATACATAGTCTCTTCTTCTTTAAAGGACCATGGAATTTTGGTTGGACCACCTTCCCACCTGTTCAATGTTTAGAATCATATGTCAAAGCTAGTATGAAATGTAAAAGTTAGAATAGAACCAAAGCACTACAAAATTACACCTATGTCATTCAGCATGAACTATAATAGCATACAATTTTCAAGGATAGAGATGAATATGAATCCTTCTCTCCATAGATTCATTTATCATTAATAAATAACCGAGATAAAATTTGAAATACTAGAAAAACATTCTGATACAAGTCTAAGATCCTTATATAGTTTAGGTTTTCTTTTTGCTAAAGTCTGCGTATGTATTATTTTCAAAACCCTTAAGATGAAACAATCATCCAGGTCTTTTAAAGTACTAGTACTAGAAGTATACTTTTTTCCAATTATGATTGTTTTGGGTTAAAGGATGTGGTCAGAGCAAAAAGTCTACTTGTTTATATGCACTTTTTGATATCAGTTAATTATGAACAAATAATTTAGTTTTCACTAACTAGGAAGGAGTAAGATTATAAAGACAACTCAAAGAAAGCAAGTTCTATCAACTGATATATTTTGACACCAATGTCAACAGCATAAGAAGTTCTTGAATTCCACAGGTTTGGTCTCATATTAATACTGTTGTTTTACACTTTGGAATAAGTCTCTTTAAACTGTCATATATCATATTTATCCTTCAGATCTCCATTATAAATTGAACTCCATTTACCTTCAGATTTAAAAACTAAAATGATGACTCAATTAGCCTTTTGCATTTATCGGGTTCAACATTTCAGCTGATGACACTGATGATACATCTTCATATCCAAATGAGTTGAATGTCAAACATCACAAAGAACTTTTCATTCCTCAAGGTTGCAAAGTGTTCTGTGAATAAGCAATGGAATGCGAGGTTTTCCATTAATGCTAAAAATTTGCAATTGCATGAAAAACTAAGCTATTACTCATATCCACACAAGAATTCAGTGACATATGTAAAAAATTTAAAATATACAGTATTCTTAAAATTTCATCCCATCTTCTGTATGCTAATGGTTTACTACAAAAATATAAATCTGAAAGAATAGAAAAGAGAAACCAATACAATCAATCGGGATACCTTTACACTAACCTTTTTTGTTTCAGCAACACCTATATGATTCAAAAAGTATTAAAATATCACCATCATAACAATTGGTCACAAATTAGATTAGTTTTAGTCCCTTTATCTGAGTTAAATACATTCAATTGAAGACTTAAACAAATATGATTTGGTGATAATTTTTTAACTTTTGCGTGAAACAAGGGGTGACAACATTACCAAAAGTTTCACATTCACAAGGTGTCAAGATATGTAATTTTTAAACTATATAGATACATATGGAAATAAAACAGGAAAACCAACACAGCAAAAAATTAGTACTAAACCAACGTGTTGCTTCCAAGCAAAGATGGGAAATAGAGTCATAATTAAACCTAGACCCACCCTTTAGGTACAATACAATCATAGAGATGACAATTGTTGATCGGATTCAGCTCCTCCAAAGTGAGAAGGTAAAGTAATATCAATCATTGATATTATTGGCACGTTTAATTTAGAAAAAGTATCTGTAAATTAGCTAATGCATAAACTAATTTCACTTTACCTTATTTTTCCTATAAATAATTACAGAGAAGTTTGTCAACATACCTATGTGTGTGTCTATATGCATAACAAATCATGTATGTGTATGAATATCAATGGTTAATTTTCCCAATGAGATGGTATAATCATACAAATGGCAATAAGTAGAATACTTATGAGAAAAGTAATTACTGTTATTCCAACACATCCATGATTAGTCGTACCAGTGTACATACTATCAACTGATGATTTTCTTATTAATGAAAGAAATTACTTACTTAAGCTCTCAGGAGAAGATCAACAACAGTTGATATCCTAATACATATCATTAATCATGATTTTCTGGTCAATGATGAAAATGACCTATTTTACCTTTTCATACAAACTGAATTATTCACTTCAATGAGCTAATTCCACTACCTAACCCCTACAGTAACCTCTGAGATAGGGGTATGAAACACAGACACAACCAAGACCCAAAATTTGCAGTGCAGAAAAGGTTGAAACTTTGAAGGAAACACATCATGGGCAGTAGTGAACAAGTGAGAAACAATATCATACTTGAAAAAACAGAAGACAAAAAAGGTGAAAAGAAGGAGACAGTTACTTGTTCCAAGTTGAGACTCCAAGTTCAGTGAGTTTAGACTGAGGTGGGTTCTTCTCTATCTTCACTCCAAACACCTCGTAGGTACTCATGGCGGTTTCCTTAGGCATGAGTGCTAAAAAGAAGAGGGAGAGAAGCAGAGGAACAAGAACAAGCAGTGACAAACGCAGCACAGAAGGCTTCATTGCTTTACCAAATTGTAGTTTCTAAAGTTTCAACAAAAAGTTTTGTTCCGAGGAGTGTGAGTGGAGGGGAAAATTCTTCACTTTAATGACAAAAAATGAAGTCCATATCACGTTAAAGGATTCTCATTAGAAAAAGATGTTGCTTTTTCTCGTGGCAGAATATTTCAGTCGCCGTTTTGGAAGTTTTTCTAAAAAGAAAAACTTTACACATTATTGCAAATGATGTAATTGAGTTCCAAGAGTACTCACTCCGTAAAGTATTTTATTTATTGATAATATTAAAAAGATTATATCATTTAATAATTAATATTAATTTGTTAGGATTTAAAAATGTTTCTAAAACAGTAAATAATAATAATATAATAATAATAATAAAAAGTATCTACCATCGGCTAATTATATACATAAATTGTTCTATAAAATTTTTAATTTTATAATAATCATTTTAAAATTATACTTATCATAATTTTTAATGTTTGTAACTATGATAATATTTTATCAATTGAGTTTATGCATTATATTAGAGCTTTGTTTACTAAAATTTACATTGAAAAACGACAAATTTGTTATTAAAATTTGCATAATATTAAAATAAATTATTCTTTATAATTATTTTCGTAGAATTTTATGGATCACCAAATAAAAAGCAAGTGTTACATGATTGAGGAAGTACAGTTAGTTATCTTACCTTTACAAAATGTTAATACATTGGCACAATACATTTCTTGTGTGGAATAAGAATTTTGGGAAAAGAAAAAAATAAAATAAAATAATTTAAAAGTTAAAATTAATATATACATCAATTAGTTTATAAAAAAAATTATATAAATTTTTAACTTTAAAATATTAATTTATACATAAATTAATTAATTTGTAAGAAATTATTTTATATTTATGGACGATGTAGTTTTTTCAAAATTAAACATCTAAAAAGTCAATATACCTGTAGTGTTACTGAGACAAAATCAATTCTAATTAGAGTCTCATAACAGAATAATTAAATTCTATAAAATCAACTTAAAATTTACATGTATCATAACTTAATTATATCTCTAACCCTAAAATACATCTACCATAACTTAATTATATCTCTAACCCCAAAATACATCTATCATAACTTAATTATACCTTTAATTAATGAGAGTTTAAACGCTCATTCTCTCATCAATATTATTATATGGGTAATATCCAATTACCCATGTAACACACAGATAAGTAAATAATTTATTCATTAGTATTAAAAAAAGTTTATGCATGATATGTTTCTTGAGAATAGATTGAAATTTCAGTTAAAAGCAATTTGATGAAAAATTTCCTTACTACGATTTAGGAGATATTGATGATGAACACAACAGGCCGATTAGGTAGAAGATTGCAGTGATCTCACAATATGTTGGTTTTAACTAGAATCCATACAGTAACTAGATACTAATTGAAGGGTTATGAACGAGGGAACTTTTCTATGTTTATGACTGGGTCGAACTAATAACTAACTATCCATGTATAAAAAGTTCATTTGATTGTATTGTAATTCTGACAAAATAAATTATATTCATGCATTGATCTTCCAACATAACTTTTCAAGTTTAAGACATACAAACTGACGAACCAAAGATTTCAGATGAAACCTTGTTGCTCTGCTATTGGCTTTATATACATGTACATACACTAATGATGAATATCTGGGAACTTGATTTCATGGCCTCCCCTTCGGCTAGATCATTGAATTCGTTTTTCATACCAGGATTACAGAATATGCATGTAAAATAATATATGAACACAGCCTGCACGTTCAGATTATATCACCAAATCATTCTTGACTCCTCAGGGTCCGGAATTATAACGTCAAGCCTCATCATGGGCTTGTACTCATCTGGTATCTGTGCACCAGCTTGCATGCACACTTCAACCACAGCCGGAGCCTTTCCATAATATCTCCTCAGTGCAGATGTCAATGGAGGTCCATTAGGGTCTCTCACATGCCACACATAATTTGGAGGGAAAACTTCATCCACAGTAGCATCTTGCCAACCATGCTTCCCATCCCTCCACTGGTGCTTAAATTCACCACAAAGCTTAGCATTGTGGCCCCATGGTCCCACATGAACCTCAGTGCAATAACCACACGCTTTCACAGTGTACTTCCTCATCAATTTCCTGACACCATTTTTCACAATTTGATATAAAACCATTGTTTCTTGGGCAATTTTAGGTAGATCTGACAATGATGGTCGAGGAAATCGTTCAAAAGCTCTGTAAGTATCGAAGTCATTGAGTGAAGAGGGGTCTGCAAAGCGCCATGGTTTAGGTTCCTCTAAATTTCCACCTCTGTCAATTACTTTCTTCCCTAACATCCGTATGGGATTGGTTCTTCGGCGTGAAGGATACTCTGGGATATCAACACCCGCTTGAATGCACAGTTCAACGACGGCTGGAATCCGGTCATATTCAAATCGTGAATCATGTTTAATACGCTTGCCAAAGGGGTCAAAAAGATGATAGGACTCAATCGGGACAAGAATATCATTGACGGAACCCTTTACCCAGGCATGAGAACTACGACGCTCCCGAGCATTAGGACCAGAGCAATCCCGAATGTGGTGACCAGTTTGAGCTACATGAACTTCTGAGCAATCACTGCATGAATTCTATTGGTAAGAATATAACTGTTGTATCAACAAAACAAATGCAAAGAAACTGGGACATTCACCAAAAAAATATAATATAATCTACCTACAGCCATGTACAGGAATGTGATGCAAGAGCTGGGCAAGACCTTTAATCAAAAGCTTCCAAGCTTCAAATACTTCATAGGCAACAGGAACTAGGTCTGGAACAAGCAATCCATTCTTCGGAGGCTCAAGAGGTTTCTCTATTCCCATGTGTGCAAGTTTTTTGTCCTCCCTTGCAGCCTTTTTTATTTCCTCAAAGGGAATGGGGTATGGTTTTTTCTTATTCTTCGGTAAAATTGGCGGTAAATCCTCATTTTGTGGTAAAGTTTTTCGTCTCCAGACAGTTTCTTTGCTTTTGGGGCTTCGACTGGCACAAACTACAACTCCTGGCAATGTTGATCTACCTTTGCAAAATTGATGGCACTTAAACTGCAACATAAACAAAGCTAAACTGTTAGTTCCAACAAGGATGTTTGGAATGAAAAAACAAAAAGGACAACATTGTATTTAGAAGACTAGGAAATTACTTTCTTCAGTGACAAACAAAGGTTAACAACAAAGTCCCTCAGGATTTCCTGTGGTTAATCAGTACGAGTAAAAGGCCACAAATACTTTCCAGAAGAACAAAAAATGGATTTCAAGAAAATTACACCCCATAAAATTTGAGAATCTTGCCAACTAGAGTTACAAACATACATTATTATATAATATCACATAAGTGACTATAGTATCACTACATTAGAATTATAAATGATTCATATTTTGTCAAAGGTTCATCCGGAAGAACTGCATTGCAATTCACACTTGAAAATTGGAACTAGTAACAAATTTGATTACCAACATGAAGGGAGGACTGAGTATAATTAACGTGCACATTACCTAACCTTTTATTCCTGATATGATATTCAACATTGTATGGGGATTAATAACTTTTGCAGATAGATAAGAGAGTATTACAACTCTGCCTTTAAGCTACAACTAGATGCAGGCTTAATTGAGCAACAACAAATTGCATTCAATAACTGGAAAAGGTTAAAACAAAAAGGTGAAATACTGGAACATCCCTTGAAACAGCACAGCAGTACTCCGGGAAATTCTAACAGGAAAAGCAACCAAGAACTACATCTTGAAGATAGAACAAAAATCACTGCTCTGCAGCTAATGCGTTAAGAACATCTCAAGTGTGCATAACCTCAGATAAACAACAGCCACCAACACAACAAAATCCAACCAAATAAACTAAAGATTTAGTCTTGAGATCAGATAACTCAAAAAGACATTTAGATTGAAATCATTTCTCAATCACACACAATAGGAAAATCCAATATTAAAATTATCGGCTAACCAATATTAACATATTAATTTAATGTGACACTTATATTTCCTTTTGGAGTTGCTTCCCCCGGGCTTGTACACGTAAATTCATTTGAGGAACGAACCGATATGATTTTAGAATTGTATACATTAATATTAAATAAAAATAAATAGGAGAAAAGCAAATGGACCTTCAACCCAAGACAATATGACTTAGAAGATAGATGTGGGCAGATAAACTCCACACCGGAGGAAAAACCTGCAAATAAAAAAATCACATTAAAACAAGATATAGAGAATTGGATGGTATTCTAGAGTATTGGTAAAAGTAAAATATAATAAAATTAAATTCAAAGAAAAGGGCAACTCACAGTTATGAGAAGGATCCCATAATGTAGAAGAGAGTAGCGGCAACCCCATGTACGTCTGTTCTCTGTTCCTGTAGCAGTACACTGCAAACAAGAACAAGAGGGACATCGGAATTGACAAAATCTGATTTTTAACTCCTATATAAGCTAGCTAATTTCAGCTTATGGCAAAGTAAATTTCATTTTTCCTTTTTATTTTGCTCTCCCAAAATTATCTTGAAGAAGTTTTCTCCCAACATACCGGTAGCATGCTACACCAAGCTCAGACTGTTTTAGTACCTCAAAATTTAGTAGAGACTCTTTTGAAATCCTAAACTTCTGGGAGGTTCATAAATTAATCGGGCAACTGTTACATGTTACCTGAGATAGAACCTTTACAATATTCCCACGTAGGTGGTTTGTCTAATGTTTAAAAACTAATAAAAACCAACAGCACCCAACCCAACCCTAATATTTTCCTCAAAATGGCATTTTTACAAACACCTTACAGGCTAATACTTGCCAAGTTTCTCTTCTTCTCTGTTTCAAGAAATTTTGAATTTAAGTCGCCACAGAATGCTCCCTGATTTTACCTCAAATCGGTGCTATGGGTATGAAGAAAGATAAAAAAAAACATACCTCAAAGCCTCTCACCGTTTCTTCGTCTATTACAAGACGTGCGCGAAACAGAGGACATGTGTCACGCCAAAGTGATATTTGGCTGAGTTTGAATGTTTCTTTCCTTCACTAATAATTTTCATTTTATTAATTTAGAACATTCTTTAAAATATAATTAAAATACCATTATTTTTTACTTAGTCATCTAATCACAAATCACTTAAATGACTTTATATAATTTTTAAAATAATTAATATAAAAACTAACAAACTCATATCATATATGATGACTTTTTACTCGATGACGATGTTAAAACAGTGCATAACTTTTTTTTTTCATAATTTATTATCATCATTATTTTTATGTAATGCCTTAATTTTATTGTCTCATTTAATATTATGTTAAATAACAATTTTCTTTTAATATGGCACTATTTTTAAAATGGTATTACTACATGTTAATGTCATTTATTCCACATTTTAATGTTAATATTAGAATATGAATCTTAAACCACTTGATTAAAAGGAAACAAATTGCTATCATTTGTATAAATTAATTTTGGTTATTAATATTTTTTACTTATTTATAATACCTTTTCAACTAATTTCAACCTTTTAAGGAAATTAGTTAAATTAATTAATAATTTGTATTGCTCTAAAATTATCTTTAACATATTTAAAGCTAAAATAGTTGAAAGAGACTCACTTATAAGTACTTATATTCTCAAATACTTTAGGATATTTTAGAAAAAAATAATAATAAAAATAAATATTTTATTATAAATATAATAGACTTAAAATTGAATAAAATTACTTAAAATTAAAAAAAAAATTTATGTAACCAAATTTTAAAATACTCATCCATAAAATCCATAATAAAATATTCAATTCTCTTCAAAAAGCCCATATCTGTATGAATCATTGTCAACCTTTTTCATTCACTACTCTACAATCGAGTCACAAATCACTGGGAAGTAGTAATTGTGAGTGTTTTTCTGTCTCCTATGCATTTGTATACTTTGATAGTGCCCACAAAAGTGTTGAATGAAATGGCATTTCTTTCAATGCAATCAATTTTAGAGAGTTCATATGCAAGATAATTGATCACTGTGGCAAGTGAAATTAAGTGTCTTCCAGATATTTATGGGCAAATCATAGAAATGAAACAAGTATAGAGAGATAAGGAAAGGAAAACGAGAATAACTCCTTTACCAAAGAAAAACTGAAATCTACTTCTAAGTTCTTATTTCAACATTGCAACCATTTGTCCATGAAAGTGCTATTGTTTCATTCAAAGTTATAGTGCTTGTTAACCGCAACTGACACATCCCAAGTGCAACTCATCCCTTTCGGAAACACAACAAAATCACCAGCAGCAATTTCCACTGACTCATTTTCCCCACTTGGGGTAACCTTCACTTTTCCTTCCAAGAGATAGCAAGTCTCCTTAGATTCATATGTCCATGGGAATTTGCTCGGAGGGCAACTCCATCTGTTTTACATCAGAATGTAAGCCACACAGAGAGAAACAACTTCATAAAAGAAAGAACAAACATGTAAGTCAAGAAAATGTAGCTAAGAGCAGTAGCTTCTATCTTAAGTTTAAGGCCCCTGTTTGCCTTTGCATTGGAAAATCAATTCATCTTCTTTCCAATAAAAAATACATGTTTCAATGTAAGTTTATGGTTGAAACTAACCAAGACAAACATCCTAATTACATTGAATAATGCAAAATAAATCCTATAAATATTAATTCTACCCAATTTTATAAGAAATGACTCTATATCGAATGAAAAATTAAATAGCCAGATTTTAATAAGTGATAGATAACATTTGAGTGCATAACTGCAAGCATGTACATTCTTCACAGGTTTATTAACCAATCTCGATTACTGGTCTCAAATTTACAATGCCATCCATAATAATGACAAGGTAATTAATTCCTGGCACACGTTGGGCATCATTATTGAACCTCTGCAGTAGATTTTTTTGTCTTGAATATATACCATTCATTAACAAAGTGATTTTGAACCACTGAACCACAAATAAAAGTGCATTGACTAACACGAGATTATCATATCACTGAACATAGTATTTGACATTGTTTAGCAGATAGTGGTCCACAGGTCCCTCATTCCCCGTTTAATATCACAAGAGAACATAATCAGCAGAAAGATTATTACGTTTGATACTTATTTTGAACCAGAACTCGCCAACAACTATCATTACCAACATTAAGATGACCCTATGAAACAAGGTAAATGGCGTATTAGAAAACTTACTATATAAAAAAGTTACTGTGGAAATTGGATAGTAATCAGAAACGGAGTCAAAAGTGCGACACTATTAAAGATGTCAAATCCATTTCATCACTGCACTAGAGTTAACCATCATAGAATTCAAGGACACTCATCGTCAAACTGGTGAGGAATCAATATGATTAATTTTTGTTGTCTGTATGCAGACACATTTGGACAATACAGTCAAATCAAAACTATTGCTACACAAACAGTTACTTTGTTTCTTTCATTTCATCATATACAACTCCTTTTTGTTATGGGAGTAACTACTTATCCCTGTTTGGATAAAGTCTTTCAATAAATAGTTATAAGAGAATCATACATGAATTAAATTTCTTCTACGTATGAGCTAATTTATAATAAAAATCATTTAACTTCTCTAAGTATATTTTCCTTTAGAAAAATGTTTAATTCAATCTTCCTTTCTATTTTCTTATCTTATTAGTGTTTACTGAAAGGTTTATCCAAACATGGCCTAAACCTGGTTGCATTTGAATAATAAATTATTCAAACCATCTACACTTGCATTCAGATTATATCATTTGCTACACTGTTTCAAATACATCTAGACATGTTAAAAAAATAAAAGAAAAAAGGCACATTTCAACGAAAATATTATTTCAAGATACATATTTTAAGACCATAACAATGAAATATAAAATTTTCCCATGTCAGAAGAAGAAGATCAACCAGGTAATATATGAATATCTGAAATTTAGGGTAAAAGTGAGAAGAAGAGGAAAAGGACAAAGAAAAGGAGCATACTTTGGCCACTGCCTAACACCAAGTTGAGTGAGCTTGTCTTCGGGAGGGTTCTTTTCAATCTTAATGCCCAATTTCTCGATCACGTTACTCATTCTCTCTCTCTCTTCTTAGGTTTTTGCTCAATCACTGCAAATAATTCAGTTGTTAGGTTTGGGTATGTTTTACAGGAGATGAAAGACAGTGTTTGGTTTGTTAGAAAAGAAGTATCCTCCTGTAAATTTAGACAAAAATAAATTAAAATTCGTAATTTTTTTTTTTTTAACATTCGAGTGGTGACTTAATTGCTCTTAATTCCATGACGATATCTTAAAAAAACTTTGAAAAAACAAAATGACTAATGTATTATTTAAAACAAAACAAATGTTAGATTTTTGTTTTTATAACATGTTTAGTAGGATCTACCTTTAATGACAAAGTTTTTATAATCTCAATCTAAAATTTAAGGTTATCTATTTTATATGTTCTTATGCTTTGATGCAAAAATAAAGAATAAATAAATATAAAAAAAGTGTTTAACTATTTGGTAAATAAGAATATAATAAAAATAATTAATATAATTTATTTATTTATCATTTTTTTCATTTTATTGTATTTTTTTCATAATAATTTAGTTTTAATTTTTTATCAAAATTATGAAAAATTAAATATCTCTAAATAAAATTTATTCAAGTTTGGCCCATGCAGGTTTCGAACCTGCGACCTTCGCGTTATTAGCACGACGCTCTAACCAACTGAGCTAATAGGCCACATGTTTTAAGTTTTCAACATGTTAGATAATATTAGCAAAGGTCCTGACTCATGTGTTGTATCATTGTTTATTGTATTTACATATGTTTATGAGATTAAATGGTTATGATGATGAATTAGGATTGAACTATCAGACTAGTTATTAGATTAATGCATAATTTGATTTTCAAAGTGTAAATAAAATTTTATTTTATATTAACTTCTATATGGGTGTCTAGAAGTGAAAGTTTGTCATTGTTTATCAAATGAAAAGAAACCAAGATTGATATTGGCTACAGTCTATTTGATGTTTTGTTGATCTGTTTAAATTTCTTTTATTTGAAAACCTTGCTAATTGATGGTTTGTTAGTGAGAAATTGATAAATATTATGGTTAGTAATCAGGTTATGTTTGGTGTTAATTTGAAATTAATATTTCATAATTTTAACATAAATTTTTTTAAAAGTATTTAAATAATCTAATTATTATAAATTCAATTTACAATTAAGGTTGATCCTCTAATTATAACACTGTTTTCATAAAATATTATTCTTTTTTCTATTTTCTAAACTCTAACATTTTCTTTCTATTTATCCTTGATTTTGAGTCGAGGGGTTCTAAAATTTGTTTAAAATAAATATTTAAATTTTATATTTAATACTTATATATAACAATTCATTATATCTCCAATTTATTAAATTAATTATATAATAAGATGGACCTTAATTATTATACATCGATCAGATTTAATTATAATATTATCATAATTTTATTAATTATTAATATTTTTAAATTCAAAAAGATAAACAAACCAATAAAAATATAATTTAAGTTTAAAAGTTCAACTGTCCAATCAAATTTAATAAAATAATATTTTTATAATATGATAAATTTATTAATATTAATATTTTAAAAAATAATAATAAAAATTATTATGATATTATAATGAAAATTATAAATATAAAATATATTAAAAAAATATAAGATAAATAATTATTAAAATATAATAATTATTAAAATAAAAAATATAATAATATAATAATTATTTAAAGTTCACAATAATTAATACGAGAAAAAAAACTATTCAACATTTTCCTTTTACAAAAAACTAAATATCAAAATGTATAAACAATATACTTATTTAAAAAAAAATTATCTCATCATTGAAAACTGTAATTAAGATTTAACATTCCCTACTTATTACCTAATTTGTGATAATAATCAATAGATTTGTTACAAATCTTCTTTTCTCTCTTCTTTTCTCTTATAGTTATAATACAGTTAAATGATTATTGATAATATATATATATATTGAGAATTTAAATATAAATTTAAAGTTATATAAATATGAAAAGTTAAATAATTTATAAATAAATAAAAACTTATAAACTAATGTTTTAAAAATTTTAATTAAAAATGATGTGATATTATTTTATATAATTAGTTTATAATTCATTTATAAAAATCTTCCTTATAATAATTTATTTTACTTTCATATAACCAACGTTGAAATCTCGTAATATAAAAATATAGTTTTTAATAAATTAAAAATTAATTTGAATATAGTTTAAGATTAATATGCTAATATTTTTTAAAAACTACTATCAGACAATATAAAAAAATTTAAAATATTTTTATATTATGTTAAATTTAGTAATACTGCTACATATGACAATATTTAATAAATTAACACTTTTTTTTTTCAATTAAGAGTTATATATATCATCAACACAAAATATTTTAACCTTAATTATATACAAAATATCTATAACAACATAAAAAAAGTAAGTAATAACTAAGATATATTAAATTTACAATTATTTTTCATTCTTAAGCGTATATTAATATTATTATTTCAAATTTACATAATAACGCAAATTGAACTAATATATAGAATTATATTATCATTTAACTTATTTATTTTTACAATTGTTACAAATAACATTTTATATTTAAAAAAAATTATTTATTTTCATCATTTATTTTATAACAATATAATAATCTAATATAATATTTCATTTTTATTCTTATTTTTAAAATACATAAATTAATAAAATAATACTAATTTATATTTTAAATAATTATTATTTTATAAAATCATCTAATTTTTGCCTTTATATATATATATATATATATATTTTTTTTTTTTCATCGTATTAAAATTTCTGCAAATTGATTTTAGAGACTTTTTCTTGAGTTGTGGGATTGCTGTAGTTCTGGTATTTCATAATTTAAAAAATATTTTAGTTAAAATATAACACAACCTTTTCAATGCGAATATTACTTTCTCTTTTTTAATATTTGTATCCTTCATAATTTTTTTAATAACATGGTCTTCAAAGTTCTACCTTTTTTTGAGGAAAAAAAAGAAAGAGAAATTGAATATAGATTAATGCACATATAAAAAAATAATAATAATAAAATAACAATTCTCTTGCTGTTTTCTATCTCACAGATTGAGATAGCAACTGAAAACAGATTTAGCAACGGCGAAGAATGAACGGCGACGACGACAAGGGTCTGCTGTGGAAGCTTCCGGTGGTCAAGTCTGACCAGTTCGGCAAGGTGGGCCCCGGCTTCGGCTTCGGCGCCGGCTGCGGTATCGGTTTCGGCGCCGGCCTTCTCGGAGGTTCTTTCCTCAACCCTACCTTTCACTTGCTTCAGTTTTGCATACTTGTTACGTCATTGTTCGACATTTCGATGGGGGAAAATCATTGTGTCACTAGACTCGTAGTTTTTTTAGTAGCTGAATCGTGAAAGTTTATTTGCAAAATTAAGTTAGGGCATCCAGCTTATCCGCAAGTATTTCTACAAGTAATAATATAAAAAAAAAAAAATCGGTATAAACTTTTCTATATATTAAAATTAGTCGACTAAGTTAATGTATAGAGTTCTGTATAATTTTTCTGTTTCTTAATTTTATTATGTGTATAAGTTAATTTTAGTTGAGATAAAAAAATATTTTATATTTTTCTTCCAAAAATGTTTAGGAAGAAATTTGTCCAAGTATGTACTTAATCACTCAGAAGAAAAGGACTGTTTGGATTGAGAAATTGTTTTCTATTTTCACTTATTGTATTTTATCTTTTGAGTTCTAGTTGCAAATTGTTTTCTATGAAAGAAAAAATAAATTCTTGATTTGAGTAAAAATAAAGTCTCGGAGTTAAGCCCTCAGCATGTAACTTTGTTGAATACTCATTGGGAGAAATTTGCCACTATACTTGGCTTAGTTAGCTTGAGCCTTGAGTAGTATTTTCATCCTAAGGAGGGATAGATGTGGTCTGTACTGAAAAAAGGTAAGATATGAAGCTTTTATAATTAAAAATAATAGCAGAAATACCTTGGGGTTGAGTGTGGTGGAAGGGCCAGTTCTTCACAAGTTGGTGAAGGTTTGAATATCTATTGGAGAAGTTTTTTTACATTTAGAGTCCGGCTATGCATTGGACAATATTGCCTCCAAAGAAAGATATACCAGTGGGGAACAGAAAAATGAAAATAGAATACATTGTGTACCTTTATATGTCATTTGAATTCTAGTTTGCAGTTAAATGAATGAAATCTCAAAATCTGTAGTGTTTAAGGTGCAGTATCTTTTGGTTGTTGACTAATTAATGACTTGAAGCCAATGCCGATGAACGCCTTTCCAGAGATAGAAATCTGTGCAATGCAGTGAGAGAAAAGGGAAGAACTAACAAATGAATTTTACTTTTTTCTTGGAAATGTTGGTTTCAAGTTCATGTATGGGCTGACTACTTATTGGAAATCATTGGTGGGACTGGGACTAATAAATTGTTGTTAGATATAAATGAATGGGAGGGGGTTCTACTCCAATTGCTCAGTTGCACATTATGATCGTTTTACGGTATTTTAGGCTTTTGCTCCCCCCTTGGGACAAAAGTTGACTGAATGTTAACCATTTAAGGCAGGTTGCTGCTTTCTACACCCCATAAAAATCTACTGCCAGTCCTTTTCAGTCCAGAATGGGTATTTTGGAATGTAAAAACTACACTATGGAATACCCATTATTGCAGAAGGAAAAGGGTGAGAAACGATTTTTATGGGGTATAGGAAGAAATGCCCTTTAAGGCAGTGCAAGTCATTGGTAAATTACAGTTTATAACAATATGAAATCCCTTTTTATTGTAATATCTGTCGAAGAGTTAAATTTCCCTGAGAGAGTTGTGCAAAATTAGGTAAATTATGGTGCTCGATCTGGTTTGATCATTATGGTATAATCCAGATACTTATAACCATGACCAGGAATCTCTTTAATTGGTTTTGTTTAAGAAAATACTTTGTTGATATCCTTAGTCTGCCTTATGCATTCTGACATATCTTTGTTAAATTTTGACAAATGGTTGTTTATTCCTCTGTGGAATTTGTGAAAAACTGACAATAGTATAATACTATAATAGTGAGAGGTTGTGTGCTTTTCATCTTCTTTGTTTCAACATTGCTGTAGATTATTTTCTGCATTGCTTTAAGCTTGTAGATGCCTCTTCTGATGCTGCTACTAATAATTAGGATCATCCCTTGCCCTATTGTAGTGAGGAGATGTAGTTTATGATGCTTGTTTGCTGGTTCCTTCATGTTTTAACATTTAAGTTTGAACATATTTCCTGCACGGTTTCATGCTTCATAGAATCTTACGCAAAATATTTGTTTGAGTCCAGGAGTGGGTTTTGGCCCGGGAATTCCCGGTTTACAAGTTGGCTTTGGATTTGGTGCTGGATGTGGTGTTGGTTTAGGGTTTGGCTATGGTGTGGGGAAAGGAATTGCACAAGATGAGAACAAGAGGTACTCTAATGTTGGAAATCCTTTCCATGGTTCTAGAAGCATCATTTCTGAGTAAGTAAATTGTCTAACTATCATTTCTTTTTTTTGGGTGTAGATATGATCATTGTCTGAAACCTTTTAACTAGTGAAAAATCTTTTCTCTTTGCTAATACTTTTACGTTTATTGCCAAAAAGAGATAAAATTTTCCTGTAATTGATATTTTTTTTTAAATAAAATTTTGCAAATTTGAATAGAAATGTAAAGAGGAGCAAATAATAAGTCACAAAAAAAATGTGAAAAGACATTGCCTTATAATACAAATACAGTTGTTATTTTTAAATTTCCTTAAATTTTATATAATTTTGTTCAGTCAAATTAGCTGCTCAATGAAAGTGATTAGATTCACATATTTATTAAATTTGGGCTATTGATGTAATAAGAAGATCGGGGTTTAGATGTGCCGATGAGAAATTCATGGACTTAGTGACTTGATCTGATTCGAAAAATAAAACATGATATAAAATTTTGTGATAGATAGGCAGTTATAATTCGAAAACTGTTAGCAACTTAGCGCATCCAAGCTTGTTAACTGCTCCAATAGAAACACCAGAACCCGAAATAAGACTTTAAGATTTTGCTGCCACTTTTAACAAAGAACTTGGCAGTATGAAAATCTTGCTGCGTTTCTGTCCAAGTAGTATGAATTCTTAAGGCTTGTCGCTTCACGTGATTTGACATTATGCTTCTTAAAAAATATCTTACATGATAGCACTCCTCCAATTTTATGAAGATGACATGGTCACACTGTGTGGTTATAATAGGCTCTATTCACTATTCTTCAGATATATACCATAACTGCGAAGATCTTATTGCATGAAAGATTTTTTTTTGCATATGATACTGTTCTGTGGCTACTAACGCTATTTGGATATTTCATGTTATTTTCAGGGATGATATTACTGCACTTGTGGACGACCTTGTCATCAATACTAAAAAGCTTATCAAGGCAACTTCAAAAGAAATTGAAAAGTGGAGAAGATAATGGAAGAGGCCATTTTAAGTACAATTGCATAAAATATGAAGAAAAACTCTCTACTAGTACATACCATTCTATATACTAAGCAAGGCAAACTCTGTATATTCAGACTCGTAGCAGTATATGAGATACTAAATTTCCATATTAATACTTAGTGGGGGGCTATTATTTGGCCTTAATTGAAATTGAATTCTGCCAGTGTTTAACTAAGGTACGAAATTGAATGCCAGAATATATCAAGAAGTAACAGGAGTATTAGTGTGGCCTTGTTAGCAAATTTTCATAGGTTTTGGTCAATTTCCAGCACTGGAGATTTACGAGAGTGTTATCAAAACAGGGTTATAGCTGGTCCGAACTGGATGTTGGAGGAAATGCTCTGGAAAGTGTGACAAGACCCTGTTTTTTGAGTAAATTGGTCTGTTGTGTATATAGTATGATTCGTTTAATAATTTTTTTAAGTATGAAATTTACGGGTAAGGAATTTTTAATATATTTTTGTTTATGCAGTTTATTTAATGATTTGCTAGTTTTACCAGTGACTCCGTAACCTAATGTCTTGATTTAAGTTGATAATGGAATCTCATACTATTGGATGAACCTTCCAATATCAAAGTCGGAGAAGGGTTTAACATTGTTTCAAATCTATCGTATTGATTGATTTATTTTTAGGGGTAGTTCGTGTTTTAGCAAACTCTAAAATACTTGCAAATATTTTAGTAAATAGCAAATCAACAATTGAACTCTTGCATAGAAGAACACTGCCCGTCTTGTGTGATATAGACTAGGAAGCGCTTACAATGGTACTACAACCATATTGAAATGGGGACTTGCAGTGGCAGCTGAACCAACAAAACTTGTGTCTTTCTAAATCTTCTTGTTCAATTTGGTGGTCCACACACATGACTTGATTAAATTCTTCTTTCATACCCAAAAAAAAAAAATATCTTTTACTCTTACTGTTTACTCATGTGAGTGTTACTTCAATTATGTGGTAACCCTTATTTCTGCGGAGTCTGAAGATAATTACAAAAAACCAAAAAGCCTTGTCTATGTAGGTGAAGGGAATGTAAATGGTTGATGGAAAAAAGTCCAAGAGGTTGGAGGATAAAACATGTTATCCAGAACCATGCAATCTTCCAGCTCAGCAGATACCGTCATCCTTCACACATCAGGGATTAACCAATCAAATCCTTGTATTGGATTGCAAATCTCATATGTAGACCAATCAAAGTTCATGTTGATGAATCTGACGTGGCACGTCTACGTCCACCAGTCTATGCATATAGTATCTGCATCTCCATCCTCTTACCCCTCCATCCTTCATCCACCTGCTTCTGAATCAGCACCAAATTTCATCTGAGTCTGTGAGGCTTCCAAAGCATGGCTTCCCTTGCAGCCTCCACTGCTGCTGCTTCCCTTGGCATGTCAGAAATGCTTGGAAACCCCATCAACCTCAGTGGTGCCACAAGGCCTGCTCCATCTGCCTCTAGCCCTGCCTCCTTCAAGACTGTGGCTCTTTTCTCCAAAAAGAAGGCAGCACCGCCTGCTCCAAAAAAAGCTGCTGCTGTCTCTCCTGCCAATGATGAGCTTGCCAAGTGGTATGGTAAGTCCTCGAGTTATCTGTGTTTCATCTCTTCAGTTATGTTGCTTATGTCCTCAAGTTGTGTAACTTGTGTTGTTTCAACCTTTGTTAATTGACAACGTAATTGAAGAAAGATAACTAATGGTGTGTTTGGTTTCACCTCCATATCATAGATCCTTCTTACTCTAGGTAGCTTTCATGTGTTGGACGTGGATTTGAACGCAGTTCCACACACGCACCAACTAGTTGCTAACAAACTTTTTTGTTCCATTTGTTGGCAGGTCCTGATAGAAGGATCTTCTTGCCAGAGGGTCTTTTGGACCGATCTGAGATCCCAGAGTACTTGACTGGAGAAGTCCCCGGAGAGTATGTGGCTTCTCCTTCCTTCCTTATAGGCCACTTTAATTGACATTAGCATACAATACAAGCCATCGAACAAACAATGTTTGTGAAACTTTTCGGTTTTAATTTGGTAATGTGTGTCCATGCAGCTATGGTTATGACCCATTTGGTCTTAGCAAGAAGCCAGAGGACTTTGCCAAGTATGCCTAACACTCATAATTTAGATGTCTATTTATGTGGTTACTTCACATTTCTTGTGTTGTAATGTTGGGTTGGTTGGTTGGTTGGTGTTCTAATGCAGATATCAGGCATTTGAGTTGATTCACGCTAGATGGGCAATGCTTGGTGCTGCTGGATTCATCATTCCTGAGGCCTTCAACAAATATGGAGCAAACTGTGGTCCTGAGGCTGTTTGGTTCAAGGTTTGCATGCTCTATAACAACTGTCACAATGTCAAGTTCAATAATACATTAATTTTTATGACACAACAAATGGATTTAAATAGATCTTACAAGTACTAATGCATAACTCTTTCAGTTTCTCTTCTCTGTGCAAAAAGACTAGTAAATCCCAGTTCAAACCAAAATTTGAAACTCTAGTTCAAAAATTGAATTCCGTTTAGTGTAAATGACAATTCTGGTGTAAATTCAACATAGACTTAAAAGAAGGTTTATTTCCCTTGTATTTTACCCATCTCATTCAATTTTTAGTGCTCATTTTTAACCATGTTTTAAATAAATCCTGATAATTGTGCCAATAATTTACTTTTTATTTTCACGTGAGTTAATCTCAACCTTACAATTTAGCTCATAGCAATCTTGTTGTGATTGCATATTGTATACACTAAGCCAAATCAATTTTCTTTATGGAATTGGTGCAGACAGGAGCTCTGCTTCTTGATGGGGGTACGTTGAACTACTTTGGGAAACCTATTCCCATCAATCTCATTGTGGCTGTCATTGCTGAGATAGTTCTTGTGGGAGGTGCAGAGTACTACAGAATTATTAATGGCCTGGTATGTAGATTTTTCAATCTGAATATTTACTGCAGTCGTTTCATTGCATTTTTTTCTTAATGTTTGTTGTAGCATAAAGATTATTACAAGAAGTTTCTAGTTATTCACTGAACCATATTATGACTGTTATTTTTCTGAAAACTATTTGAATTAGCCATGCACCCAAGCACTATAATCATAAAATTATTACAAAACTTATAGTGTGGGCTCGGGTATATGTTTGCAAACTTAACTTTCAATTGTATTGATTTTATCTTAAATTGAGTTTGAAGCAGAGTTATATGTAGAAACTTTATCTCAAAAGCAAGTTTGAAGTAAAGTTCAGGATAAAATTCTCATCCGAACAAAAAAAGCTACATTTTTTTGGCAGTTAGATGGATGCCTTTTAACAAATTTGACCATAGGAAACAGACTAAACATAACTTTTTTTCACAAAATCACAATTGACCAATTCAAATGTAAGTTTGTGGAGCATGAACATTCAAAAGTAAGCCCCAACAAACACGTACTTAATCATTTGATTTACTGATTGTGTGACCTTGTTTTGAGCAGAATTTTGAAGACAAACTTCATCCAGGTGGTCCATTTGATCCATTGGGGCTTGCAAACGATCCAGATCAGGCTGCTCTGCTAAAGGTGAAGGAAATTAAGAATGGTAGACTTGCTATGTTTGCCATGCTTGGTTTCTACTTCCAAGCCTATGTCACTGGAGAAGGTCCTGTTGAGAACCTTGCAAAGCATCTCAGTGACCCTTTTGGCAACAACTTGCTCACAGTCATTGCTGGCTCTGCTGAGAGAACTCCAACGCTCTAAATCATTCATCTTCATGTTTTTTTCTCCAATCTTAATGTACAATACATATCACTGAGATATTTTAAGGCATTTTGCTTCATTCCTTGGAGCTCAACTTACTCTTCATTTGCATAACCTGCCTTCAATCTTAACTTTACAAGGTTGAATTCCTTCCAATTTTTCTGTGTCTAATTAAATAAAATTATACCAGAAAACGCTAAATGGAAACTAATTATTAATATAAAACCTATAACTTACAATGCTTTTGTTATTTCAACTGAGGTATATCCTTTTGAGGTTCTCTGCTTGAATGCCAAGATAATTCATAGTTCCCCGGGATTTTTGAAGGATTGCTGTATAATTTGCTAATATTTTGGACTAAATATACAAACATATCAGTCAATGTTCACGATAAGTTAAATTCACAAATAAATCCTACAATGTTGTGCCAAGAAATAGTTGCAGAAACCTATGGATTGTCAACTAGTTTACCCTCAAGAATCTGATCTAAGTTAACCATAAGGAGGGGGAGAATCAAAATCATGGTTGAAGCACATTTAGTCCATGGATGACATGCAAAGTTCAAACTCATAAGTTTATTTATTAGTTTAGTAAGCCAAAATCAACATAAATTTACGTATTCTACAGACAGACAAACTCAATTTAGATTAACTATTTTTTTTTTATTGTCTTTTTGGGTTCAAATTGTTTATTCATTATTGAGTTTTTTTCTTCTTTTGATCAATGATTGTAAAACAAAATAAGGCCCTGCAGCCAGGCCGAAAGCCCACCCCAGAACAAAAGTACTGCATCTAAGAAACGAGCCCTGCCATTGGCACCCCAAGTTACTACTTAAACTCCCAATCAAAGTAAAAAGTCAAACTTTTGATATTTAGTTAAAAATACTTCCCACGTAAACATCTTTGTATTGAATAAAATGAACAAAACAGTAACATATTTTTGAAAAAAAACAGGAACAAATGTTCGTTGTATTAATTATTTAAATAAAACAATATAACAAAAATAGTTTTCTCACATGTTAAATTTCTTTTAAGAAAATCAATGTTTTCGATATGTAATTTTTTTTATATAAAAAATAACACTATAGAAACATTTTTTTTAAACCCTTCAATTCTTCTTTAGAAAAAAAAAATAGCACAACTGTGTTAATTTCTTTCAAAAAAATTAACATGACACGAAACTTATTTTCATTATGTAATAAAATATTCTTCGTCGTGTGTTTTTTTTTTTTTGAAAAAATAATGCAGTCAAAACTTTTTTCTGTTGCATTAATATTTAAAAAAAAAATAAAACAGTAAAAACTTTATCCTCTCCCATAGAATGTATACATGTTAGATTGGGTTTAGTCAAATCCATCATCTAACGTAATTACAAAAAGTCTTCAATTAAAGAGGTTTTTACATTTTTTTTATTAATCGTATTAATTTAAAATTATTTTTAAAATAGACTATTTTATTTAATAATTAAATATTTCAAACATATATATATATATATATATATATATTAATATAATAAAAAAATTAAATGATAGTTATATTATTATTTTTAATAATTTTAACTATGAGGTGGAATAGTACATATACCAAATTTGTATAACTAAATTTAGTTTGGTCGAAATTTTGATATAGTAAAAAAAATAACTCAATCTAGGTTACTCAATGCAATTAATAACCCTCTTCTCCATATATTTTCATAAAACAAGCAAAAGGAGGAAGAATTTAAATAATAATAATGGGGCGCCAATAGCAATACGTGCAAGAAAATCTGGGCTTCCAACTTGGGCCGTTAACAAATAAGGCCGGCCTGTAATAATAAAGTTGCTTTTTGAAACTGATTATAATCACAAAGAGTGTAAAAAGGATTGAGTTTGGTCTATTGCTGTTGGTGGAATTTTTTTTTCTATTTTACTACTGTGTTTTATAATTCGTTTTTGTAATTTTTTTTAAATTATATTATTAATAAAAAGGATAAAATTTTGAAATCTCTGTTTAATGTATATATAATACTTTTCGATTTTATTTCTAATATTTTTTCTCTTTACACTTTTTCAATTTTATATTTGAAAATTATTTTTTCAAAAATATTTTCTAACACTAGTTTATAGCTCAAAAATTTGCCGTGCTGGGTGCTTGGGCCTTTTCATTTTGGGCCCGTTTCTCTTTCGTCCTTCATATTTTGTTTTTATGGATTTTTATCACAATCTCTAAACTAATTCTCTTGAGACACTAACAGAGTAAACCATCATTTCCTTAAAATAAGTTCATTCAAAAAAACACACCATGTTCCTAGGTAAAGCTTTTTTTTGTTTTTTTTTTTTTAATTTCTAATTTCCATTAGTAAAAATACATTGGAATTAGTGAAAGAGACAAGAAAACACTTGATTTTAAAAGCTGTTTTTTTTTTCAGTTTATGTAAAAAAATTTAAAGCTGTTTTAATTTGATTACCTAGCATGGGCTTGCATAATAAATTAGTATAATAAAAACCACTTTTTTTTTACATGGTAGTACATATTAATTAGTTAAACCTTCTAAAGAAAGGGATAAAGGTAACCCTAATTAATATATATTTTTTTACATAAGTTGATACTTGGGGTCCATTGTCATCATTTTCAGCTTTATGCTAGGAATCTTGGTTTTTTTTTTTTTGTATTTTTCTTTTTCACCCTTTTCTTGTAGTGCAATGGATGAAAGACATAAGCTTTCTGCATATCCTATCAAAAAAAGATGCTCTTGATGATGATGTTGACCTAATAATGGCACCCCAAAAGACTCCATTTTTTTAAGTGGCATGCACAAACCAAAACGCACATGCAAACCCACTTCCACAATTCTCATACTAGACAAAGGAAAACTTCCAACAAAGTTTCTTCATTTAAGACAACTCTAGATCACCATGCAATTTGTCACTCTTCAAGAAAATAGAAGATAAAAATTATAATTTTGGTATCTTTTAATTTTTATCTGCATTTTTGCTTCATCTTTTTACCAATGTAGTTTTCCTATTTTAAAAAAAATTCAAACTTTTATCAAAAGCCTCAATTTTTATTACATTTTAAACTAGTAAAAGAAATAAAGAGAATGCAAAATTAAAATTTGATCAAAATTACGAATTTTTAAAAATACAGATAATGAAATTACAAAAGAGTACTTAAAGATAGTCAAAATTACAATTTAACCCAAAAAAGCATGTTCAATCTACCACAATAGAATTGAGATGTCACTATGATTTTTCACTTGGTTTCTTTAGTGATGCAAAGTCACCTTTGAAACATGCACATGGATAGAAAAAAAAAATGATAGAGAAGATGTGAACAATGTGAAAGCATGATAATTAATGTTCATGTTTGGTTCTTCCCTTCTATGTTGGTAGTTGCTCCATTACTACCCAACATGAATGAGAGAATCAGGTATAATAATTTTCAGCTACATGACCTCAAAATATTCATATTCAAGCTCTCAATGATTATTGTTTTCATCATTATTAGTGGCCTCCTAAGTTGGTTTAAAAGAAGATTATGGAACTTAATATTTTCTTTCTTTCTTTTCATCTTTCACAGAGAAAAATATTAGGGTTAATTGAGAAAATTGGTTTTATGTTTCTATTTCAATATTTGTTCATTAAACACTAAAAAAAATTCCTAATATTCTTCACAGCATGCCATGAAAAGTGTGTGAAAAAAGTGATACATGACGTTCATACAAGTAAAGGGATAATAATAAAAAATATAAATTATTTGGACTAAACTTTCTAGGGTTTTAAAAAGCAAAACTAAATTAATTTTTTTTATTGGAAATTTCTATATACGAAAGTAAGGTGTTGAAATTATAAAAAGAAAAGTGTTTAGAATAAAAAAAATAAGAAAAAAAATCCTCTTTCAGTAAGTAGAAAATTCTATTACTTTCATGAATTAAGATATTTTATTTTTAGATAGAGAATAAATTAATATTTTCAAAAGTATCACTTTTAAAATAAATATTTGTATACTTATATAATTATAACTACTTTATTTATTGTTTTTAATATTATTTTTCTCTTATATTCATGTTTTTTTTTTCTTTAAACAAACACATATTTTATTTTTATTAAAATTTTTTTTTTTTGTTCGAAGAGAGGAAGAGTGAGGTAGTGTAATAGGATAAGGGTTAATAATATGAGGTGGTGGCACGTGGAAGGTCACATCGAAATCTATGGTGTAGAGTGAAACTGAGTGATTCAAATTTAATTTTCATGAAATAAATAAATAAATAAATAATCATAAACATGTAAGTTAATTTAAGTGGATGTTTTCAAATTTACCTAAAATTTTGAATTATAATTTATATATTTTGATAGTTTCAATTAATATTAATTAATTTTAAATTAAATTGCCAAGTCTTGATCCAAAACCCAACACCACCCCACTAATACTCTAACTTGGACAGGGCATGTCTAGGATCTAGGATTCCATGCTACAGCAAATCCAAGGCCTCAAAAACATCATCATCATGCAATATTTTTCTATTATGCCAAAACCTAATTTTAGGGTAACTAATTAACTACTATTTATGAACCTTTAATTAGGTTTTCTCTTTAGTTAACCAAGGCACTCAAACATGGTTGCCCCTAAAATGTCCTACACATCTCACTAGACATTCACATTATGCTCCAATCTCCCAAAAGGCAAACCCTAGACACCTAATCTTTGTGAGGGAATCTATGCTCCTTCAACTGAAGGACAAAGTAGAGAGGTACAACACCATTTGTCAATATATTAATGGTAATCACATATTCATCTCTTTCTTTCACTGCAATATTTCCCTATTCATCTAAGTCTTCACCAAATGTTAGTTCCACCATCGACTTATTATGCTCTTCTTTTTCTTCCACATGATTAAAGGATCACCTTTTACTTACATTAATCATCACTTCATAACTCAAATTTATATTTTCTACACAATTAGTGTGAAAGCTTCATAACCCACATGACCAGATCACTAAACAATGCCACATTTTTTATTCACTTTTTCAGTGGTTTTTTTTAAAATATAAAAATACCCATTTCGTGAATTGTTTTTATTCATGTCTAAGATAAATAAATTGGGCACATCGTGGTCCAAATCTCTCTTGCATCTTTTTTACAACCTGCTTGTACCTTTCCATTTAAATATTCCAAACCAATTTGTCAGTTTTCTACAAACAAAACATTTCATGTGTTGTCTCATTTTCTAGTATTTTTCAAGAAAAAAAAATACAACTTTTATCCCTACAAAATATATAAAAGTTTCAAAATTTTTCCCTCTTTTAGTCTTTTGATTTAAATCTACAGCTTTTGGTTATTCAAGTACTATTTTTCTTTTTAAATTATTATTTAAGTCCATTTGAAGACAAAATAAATATATATTTAAAAATTATTCTAATAAAAAAAATAATAAATAATTGAATCAAGTTTATTATTTCTTACTAATCTTACATCAATGATAATTTATATATATCACTTAAAATATCTTTTAAGAACAAAATAAAAAAAATATCAAAACTATTAATAATTAAATCAATATAAAAATATATAATAACAAAAATACAGTATATGTAATTAAATAAAATAATGATATAAATTTATAAATTATTTATCTAACGAATATACCTATTTAATAATAATTATTATTATTATATTTTAAATATAATATTAAATTATTAAAAATATTCTTTATATATTATTATCATATAATATATTTATAAAATAATTAATTTAAAAGGTATATCCGTTACATAATAAATATATAAATTTGAGTTCAACTAAAAATTGTTTTTGTTTAAAAAAAACTACCATGTAATTTATTTCTTTTAGGAAAAATACTATTTTTTTTATCTGGTTTGGCAATATCTATAGTATGGTCAATTATTTTAGATGTGGCAATGAGGTATGGAACAAAACAAAAGGTCAAAGGATATTTTAACTCATATCAAGATTAAGACAAAATGGAAACAATTTTAAGATTTAAATGAAGGAATCTTTCATCCTAATGCTCCAATATTTTCAAGAACATGGTGATACAAAATTACCACTTAATCAAAATTTGTAATCTAGATTTTTTGTTTGTAACGTGAAAAATGAAGGACAGAGAAGAAAGTGTGTGGGAAGGGGTGTCAGCAACCTCTGAAACAGCACAAATGGAGAGACTCAAAAAAGCAGAAAAAAGTACTTTCAGAAAACGCACTTTTCAGATTTTCATGCCTTTAAAATATTAAACCTTTTTTTTTATTTTCCAGCTAGCAACGCCCATAATCAATAAACCAAATTCTACTATTTTTAGTTCAGTTTCCCCCAAACAAACCACCATTGACTCAGATTCACGTAATAATTTAAAATAATAATAAAATATAAGTTAGTTAAAAATTTATTTAACTTTTATTTTAATAATATAATAATAATAATAAACAATTTTTATGTTATATTATTTTATTATAAAATGTGTATCTGTATTTTTATTATATTTTTTTACTTTAATTTATTAAACTTTAATGTATATATTAATTTAAAATATAAATTTATTTCTAAAATTGTAAAATATTAAAAGAGATAAATTAAAACGCTTAATTGGGAAAGTATGAAACAAATTATATTTTTACTATTTAATTTATTATTTTATATTTAAGAAAAAGAAGTATATGTATGATTAAAAAAAAGAAGAAAAGAAAATACAATATAATAAAAAAATTGAATTCTTACAAATATTATTAACGAGAGATAATGTGATATTAATGAATCATTATTCAATTTTTACATTGATTGTTTTGAAAAATATTTATTGAATTTGATCTTCTAGTTTTTCTGCTAAATCAAACTTGTAATAGATTCCATTCCTTTTTTTTAAGTATTGTAAAAATATTTTAATTCATTAAAATATGAATATATATATATATATATATATATATATATATATATACTTATAAATTGATTTTTTTAATGGAACAAATTTATAGTCCCGAAATATTCTTTTCCTGAGAGGTATAAATATATGAAAAATATTTATTATGAAAATCATCTGGCCCTCAAGTCTGTAAAAAAAATAATATAAAAAATAATAAAATAAAATAAAATGTGTAAGTAAAAAGTATCTTTTAATATAAATGACGTATTTTATATGTAGAAATCTCAAAAATATTAAAATAGTTAATACAAGATAATTATGATAAAAATATATATTTATTTTTTCATCAACATATTAATAATATTAACTGTGGAATAAAAAAGTCGCGTAAATTATTTGAAGATTATTTGTGTTTTAAAGTTTGTTGTTGACTAACTGAATTTTGAACGAATAACATGGAAGGTGAGTTTGAGTTTACAGTGGAACCGGGAACAGAGGATTTTAACCATGTTTGAATTTGAAAGTGTTGATTAAACGAGGGAATATGTGCCCACGCCAAGAAGGTTGTCCACGCGCTCCAGCGCGCGTGGTGTTCATGTTCTGCTTGACCCACGTGACAGACGTAACCCGAATATCAGAGTGGGACCCACACCAATTAAATGTATCGCTTATAATTTCTTCTTCGATATTATTGTTGCTGCGTTGCACCGTCTCTTATATTTTTAAATTAATAAAATTAATTATGTAATTTTAAAAGTACTAATTTGATTTTTTTATATCTAAATTTAATATTCAACAATAATTTGTATTTTAATAAAATTAATAAAAAAATTCAAAGTTATTTTTTTCTTGAGTTTTGCATTATTTATATGTTGTAACATTATTTTATTTTTAGAAAACGTTTTTAGTAAATTTAAAATAAAAATTATATAAATTATTTTTTTGTTTCAAACACATCAAAATATAATAGAGTATAATAATATTATTATTTCGAAATTTAAATTTATCATAATTTTAATATTTAAAAACATTTTAATAAATTAAAAAATATAAATTATTTTTTATCTTAACTACTAAATAATATATGACAATATATTATTTATGTTTACTTATAATATTTAATAGTGTTTTTAATATTATAGATCAATATGATATTAAATTTTCATTTTTAAAATTTAAACATTAATAAAAAAATATATTTTTAAACACTAATATCAAAATCAAAATTTAAAAACATATTTAATCCAAATTTTTTTATCACCTTCGCTGACAAAAATAAAATAAATTTGATAACGTAAATTTTCAAATCATTCAACTTTTTTCAATAATCAAATTGCTCAAAATATATTTAAGATACTCTGAACTTAATTAAACTTGTATCTAAATATATTTCGATGAATTTATCTTCATTTTTAGAAAAATAATTTTTTTTTCTAAAGTATTAAAGGAGGCCACATGCAAAATGTAAATTAAACCGAACAAACACAAAATAAAGATTTTGGTGTTTACCGAATAATTTTTTTGGACAAAAGTTAAAATAATAAAATTATCAATTAAATATCATTTCTCTTTTTAGCATTAAATAAGGTTTCAACTGAGAAAACATGACTCAGAAAGTACCTGAAAAAAAAAATGATTCTTATATTGCAAGCTGTATATCACTTCACACCATAATGAGATGATAAAGTTAGAAGTAAAAATAAATAATGTGAGATAAATCATAATTACATGGTAGCAAAAATTTCAATGAAGCGAGTTAAATCATAATTAGAAAGTGAAAATATTAAATGAAGTGAGATAAATCATAATTGGATAATATAATACAAAATTACCAACTAGTAACGTGTTCCTAATATGTTTTTATTCAGACAGAGTTTGATAACTTGAAATAATTAACTCTGTTTTGTTTAGGAAGGTGGAAGAATCTTCATTGATTTTAGTTATGATAATAAGAATGATGATGGGATGCCACACATACCATGACACCATCTTACTTTCTCAGCACCCCAAAAAGAAAAAAAAAAAAAGTCTCTGTTTTATGTCACCTCCAAAAACAACACATACTTTGAACAATGCAACTTCAGAACCCTAACACACCTTATCAAAGTGCCACCATTCTAATGCTCAATACTGCATCTGAATCATAGGTAATATTTACATAAATGGATACTAAAGTAAAATAGTTTAAAGTCTCTTCTACATTTACGTTGAATAAAAAATTAGAATGAACATGGTTATCAACTTAAATAAATTTATTTAAATATAAACTAGTTTAATTTTATGAGATGTTACTATTTATTATTTTATATTCTCTCTTCAGTTTCTGACCTGTCCACTTCCCTGCACCTTTTGTCACTTCCACCACCACTTCTCACTTTGGCCTGTTAATAGAGGGAAAGGAAAAGCACACAAAACCAGACACAAACACTGCAGTTACAGAATCTAGTAAAACAGTTTCCAGAACAACAAACCTGAGTTGAAAAAAATAAAAATAAACAACAGAGTTTGGTTGAATCCATAACCATTTTCATCTCAGCATGGCTTGTTCAGTGCATCTCATTCTCGTCCTCTTCTCCTTCCTGGCTTTGCTCTTCAACCCAACGTATGTCTGTGGCAATGATGAGCTTAGAGCTCTGATGGACCTGAAATCCAGTTTGGATCCACAGGGGCAGTTTCTGTCATCATGGACCATGGATGGCAACCCCTGTGCTGGTTCCTTTGAGGGAGTGGCTTGCAATGAGAAGGGTCAGGTGGCAAATGTTTCTCTGCAGGGGAAGGGCCTATCTGGGAGGCTTTCACCCGCCATTGCTGGACTTCAGCATTTGACAGCACTCTACTTGCATTACAACTCTTTGTACGGGGGGATTCCAAGGGAAGTTGCAAACTTGACTGAGCTCAGTGATTTGTACCTGAATGTGAATCATTTGTCCGGTGAAATCCCACCTGAGATTGGCAAGATGGAGAATCTTCAAGGTAAAATGATTCTATTTTCGGTGTAAAAATTGGAACTTTCAGTGTTTCCCACCTTGATTGGGCTTCTTGTGGTCCTTTGTTAAAGGTTTTTCTTTTTGGGTCTTTTAAATGTTGTGTGGTTGTGGGTTTTACTGTAAGATTGGAGCTTGGTTTTGTTAATTTGCTGTGACATTGAGGTTCTTTTTCAGTGATTGACATTTCTATCCTTTTTTCCTCCATCCAATGGTTGGTTCTCTTGCACTCTGGCATTCCAAAATAGTTAATTCACGTGTAGGAAAATAGAATGATAGCTTTGAATGCTTTTGCACTATATGGTTATGTCATGGGCATGTTTTTAGATAAATCTCCTTTAGAAGGCGCCTATTGTAACTATAAAGATTATTTTGAACAACCTGGTGTTAACTGGTTTAATTGCAAGGGGTAGGTGTGAACTACAAAATTAAAGGGTAACGGCATTATTAACTTCTAGTCCCAGTTTCTGAGGTCCATTTAATATTTTTTTCTGGAAATCCCTTAACCCTTTTTTCTGGATAAATGAAGGATTTATTTAATGCTACAATACATTCAAAATTCTAGCATTTCAAATAATGTTTGATTGGTGGTTTAATTTTGGGAGTGCACTTATTTGACCTTTTACTTGTTTCGCAGTTTTGCAGCTTTGTTATAATCAGTTAACAGGAAGCATACCTACACAACTTGGTGATTTGAAAAAGCTAAGTGTTCTTGCTCTTCAGTCAAACCAGTTGGCTGGAGCTATCCCTGCTAGTCTAGGTGATTTGGGGATGTTGATGAGGCTAGATTTGGGTTCTAATAGTCTCTTTGGTTCCATTCCCACTAAACTAGCCACTCTTCCTTCACTGCAAGTTCTGGATGTACACAACAATACTCTCTCTGGGAATGTACCCACCGGTATAATGATGCTATTTTATTGCTTCTGTCAATTTCTTTACTGATATTTTTTGTCCTCAGAACTGATCTAACTAAATAATTTTATATTGCTTTCCTTGTTTTATTGAAGCCTTGAAGAGACTAGAGGATGGATTTGTGTATGAACACAATGTGGGGTTATGTGGAGTTGGGTTTCCATCCTTGAAAGCTTGCTCTGCTTCGGATAATGTCAATCTCACTCGACCAGAACCTTATGGAGCTGGAGTTGACAGTCTCTCTAGGGATATCCCAGAAACTGCTAACGTAAAGTTGCCTTGCAATACAACTCATTGCCAAAATCCATCAAAATCCAAAAAAGCCACATCTATCACAGTTGGCGTAGTTCTAGTGACAATTGCTATATCAGCAATTGCCATTTTAACCTTCACTATGTATCGCCGGCGGAAACAAAAGCTTGGAAGTGCGTTTGATATCTCTGAAGGCCGTCTAAGTACAGATCAAGCCAAGAGTATATACAGGAAAAATGGATCTCCTTTGGTTAGCCTTGAGTACTCTAATGGGTGGGACCCTTTGGCTGATAGCAGGAATTTCAACGGGGATAAGCAAGATGTGTTCCAGAGTTTCAGGTTCAACTTGGAAGAAGTGGAGTCAGCTACTCAGTATTTCTCAGAGTTGAATTTGTTGGGAAAGAGCAACTTCAGTGCAACATATAAAGGGGTTTTAAGAGATGGATCTGCTGTTGCTGTCAAGAGCATCAGTAAAACTAGTTGCAAATCGGATGAAGCTGAATTTTTGAAGGGATTGAACATTTTAACCTCGCTGAGAAATGAGCATTTAGTGAGGTTGAGAGGTTTTTGTTGTTCAAGGGGACGAGGGGAATGCTTTCTGGTTTATGATTTTGTTCCTAATGGAAACTTGACACGCTACCTTGATGTGAAGGAAGGTGATGGAGAAGTTCTTGAATGGTCAACTAGAGTTTCTATTGTGAAAGGGATTGCTAAAGGTTACTCTCCTATCACACCTTTTACTTAAATGATTTACTTTCCTACATTTTGATAATTCAGCAATCGGCATCTTTTAAATATTCCAATATATAAAGTATACACGAATCAACACCATTCTATTACCAAGGAAAAGTTGTGGTTGGTGAATAACTTAGAGCATCTCTTTTCTTGCTACTACTCATAGATGCTTCAAGAGATGCCAACACCATAATATTATATTACATTACATATTGTATTGTATAAACAAACACATGCTTGGTTTCCTTTTATTAATATTGGCTCAGTTACAAAGCTCTAGCCTAATTTTAGATTAAATTTCCTCCAACATTGTTGTGATCTACTTGCATTCATTTTGATGAAGTGATCATTTAATTACTGAAAATAGTCAGGAAGTGACACATTTTCATGGTTTCGAATCCTCATGTGTATACTGAACAGAAGCCTCGTTTTGTTAACCAGGTATAGCATATTTACATGCTCACAAAGCAAACAAACCAGCTCTTGTTCACCAAAATATCTCAGCTGAGAAAGTGCTCATTGATCAGCGGTACAACCCGATGCTTTCAGATTCTGGCCTGTACAAGCTTCTCACCAACGACATTGTCTTCTCTGCACTAAAGGGTAGCGCAGCAAAGGGTTACTTGGCTCCAGAATACACCACAACCGGCCGGTTCACGGAGAAAAGTGATGTTTACGCGTTTGGAGTGCTTCTTTTCCAGATCCTCACAGGAAAGCAGGAGATCACAAGCTCAATGCACCTTGCTGCAGAGTCCTTCGCATTCCATGAATTTATTGACCCAAACTTGCGTGGCAAGTTCTTCGAATACGAGGCAGCTAAACTAGCAAGAATGGCTTTACTTTGCTCCCATGAATCTCAATTTGAGAGACCAAGCATGGAAACCATTGTGCAAGAACTGGGGAATTGTAGTAGCTGTCTTTGATTTGCAATTTACTTGAATTACTTTAACACCACACCAGTTTTCTAGTGTTTTGCCCACTGGCTCATGGACATGGTGATGGTGACCCCTTAAGGCATGACATGTTCCTATGTCCTTAACTAAGGGCTAGCTTTTATGTGAATGCCTTGGACTTTGGTTGTAGTCTAGGTAAGGGATTTTTATCTTTATTTCTATTCATTTCAGCCATTTATTTTCTCTAATAATCTGTCATTGTGGTTTTTCCTTTTCTTTTGGGTTGTGGGGTTAATGCCCTCTTGTTTTAAATCACCCCTTTCTAACCAGCCATGGACAAAAAGTAAAAGCATTAATATAAATGAACGTCATGAATGCAATGCATCAAATTCCCTAGTGCTACAATACTTTATTGCTGCTATCAGCTCTTTGTAAACCCTCCATTCCCTTTTTAGATTATGGAATGCTGATTCAATATTATTACTTTGTGTCTTCTTTTAGTCTTGCTTTTGATTGCTTCTAGGGCCTAGCCATTGCCTAACACAAGTGTGATATAAAGAGACTATTAAATGTGGTGTAAGTTAAACTAGACCTGTTCTTAAAACAAGTAAATCTATTCAATTATTCAAGTCTAGAAAGGTCTTCTAAAGCATTTTATATTCACTAGATTTGCTGATGTTAGTTAAGAGCATACCAGCAAACATTGAGGGCCATTCATAGCTGTGGGATCCAACTCACAAAACATGCTGTGCAGGCTTATAATTACAAGTTTCTTTTTGGTACATATGTAACTCTAACAATTGATTTTGGAGACCCCATGCCGGTAAAAACATGTCTTGGTGAATTGGTGAATTGATGATTTACTGGAATAAAGCTCTGTCATGTGCATTAGTATTTGAACAGTTTTTGCTTTCTTTTTTAACTTTTCTTGTTTTGGATAAAATTTCTGAGCTATCATTGATGGAGTCTCTTTAACAGGGTATATGTTCAAACCACCACTTGTTTTCTAAGGAGCTTTTTTAAGAGTTAAAAAAAATGAAATGAGTTTTTTAAAGCAAATTTTATCATAATATTAATTCATGGAGGCAGAACAGAAGACCCTATAAGGTGAGCCTTGAGTTGTTGGGCTAATATGCTTGTAATTAAAGCATCTCTTTGAATGGTTTTATTTAGCAGTTCTTCATTGGGCCCATGATCCATCTCTTATTCTCCAACTAGCCCACAATGTTCCCATAATTATCCAATAATTGGTTTTGATGTAAGACATTTGTTTCTTTAATCATACACACATGCCATTGTCACTATTCATTCACAGATTTTAATTATTAATCTTAATTAGAAGATCTGGTTAAATATTTTTTATAAACTATCTTCTTTTAATTATTATTATTTATTCTATATGACTTGAATCCGACGTCTTATTCAATGAATTCGATCCCAAATCTAATCTGACTATAAATAGGATGTAAAGCGGTTTAGCATTTATCTAAATTTCAAATAAATTTTAAGATTAAATGTTTTAAACTAATAAAAATGACTAATAGTACTATTATTTTATTTAAATTCTATTTTTAAATATTGAGATGAATATTATTTACCAAATATTGTAATTAACGTCCTTTATTTTTTTTAATTGATAATGAAATTGGATTAACTTTAGATACTCTCTACCAGTTATAATCCGTGTATTATCAATTGACTTTAACTTAATATTATATCATCTGTAAAAAATGAGGAAACATGTTTTATTTTGTCCTATTTTTTATATGTATTTTTTTAAAAATATTTTTTTGATTATATAAATAATTTTTAAATTTTTATTCATTAACTAATATTTTTATTAAATAAATTAAAAAATTATTATATTTATATATTAAACGAATTAAATATGATCAATAATTTAAATTTAATTGATTATTTTTTATAATTTAAAATATAATATAATATTTATATATTTTAATGTCATGAAAAAAATTAATTATAATTATTTTATTTTTTTATTTTTTTATAATACATAAATATTTTTTAAAACGAGACTGTATATTAGACGAAATAGATCTGATGAAGTAAAATTACTTATCTATTATTAGGACGATATCGTTTTATATTAGGAAGTTTTTTTAATTTTTTTATTATAATATCCATCTTCTTTTAAAATTCCAATTGCCTATATTAATTTTTTAAATATAATTTATATTTTTTTAGTCACTTTATCTAATATAATTAGTTTTAAGTTAAAATTTGACATATTATATTTGAAATTATGAAAGAAAATTTTTTATCAAATACTTTTTTTTTGTTTGCTTAAAAAAAAATTAGTTTATAAATAAATCAATAGATAATGTTTTGGTGGTACATAAATATAGATTCAGAAGTACAAAAACAAAAAAAACCACGTTATGCTCTTTATGCACCAAAAAATTCTACAAACATGTGTGTACATGCTCACCTTATTCACTAAAAATATTGTACCAATCTCATTTTCTCTAAAAGTACAAAAACAATCTCAAGTTTAATCAAAAGGATAATTTATATAGACTTAAAAAGCACTTCATTACGATGATTTGATATTATTGAATGACTTGTAACAACTAGTGTTACAATAATAGGTACATTTAAAGACAAAATATTATACTATATAAACAGTCGTTAACCATCATGGTATATATAACCTGTGGCATGCAGTAGTATGGACTTGCAAGTTGCACCAAGTTGTAATAACATATGGAAGAGACAAGACCTTGCAGGATCACATGTTATCGATTCACTAAATTGTTTGAGAATAATTATTACATTCTGGCCTCATGGCTGATACCATAACACCCCTATCCATGCATGCAACATGCATTATATGAAGGTTGTGGATGTAATTGCAGAGACAAAAACCACATGTTATAGAGCAGGTAGCAACCCCCATAAGCTTGCTTTAATTATAACTAGGGCAGCGCAAAACATTGAGCTTAAGATATGCAGTACTTAATTATTCTATGTACAGCCTGTTATCTGTACCTTGATGTTAGAGTTTGTCTTTGCTGTTTTTCTTCCTCACTTAGCTATGACACAAATGACCCTTAATATTGGTAAGAAATTAACAAATATTTGATAATTGTAAGAGGCTTTATATATATTTGAAACAGGACTAACTCCTAGGTATCTTCTTAATGGAAAACTTTCATCCATAAAGTTTCTAAAAGGCATAAAAGTTAAGACCATACACCATAGTACACCAATGAATGAAAGTAGCATTGTATCATCGATGTTGCTGTAATTGTATAGACAAAATCACAACCCCCACGTTAGGGAGGGTAGCAACCCTTTAAGGTGTGGCTTTTATTATAGTTAGAGGCTAGAATAGCGCAAAACAGTGACCTTAAGGTACTCTAATTGTTGGGTGCACAGCCTGTTATCTGTACCTGCTGCTTGGTGCTGTCTTGGCTTCTTTCACATGGATGATGATCTGTGCCTTTAACTTTCACCAATGGAAAAGTGGAATTCAATTAATTAATGCACAGTTTTTTGTCATTCATATGAAGTTTGAATAATGGGGTGGCAAAGAAGTTCAATTCTGAATTTGAGTGAACAAAACCTTTGGTTTTTATTCAGCAGATAAAAATGCTGATCTAGCAGAAGCTTTACGGAATCCAAAGATTGTGATAAGAAGTAGAGAAAAGCCAATTAGATGAGTTTATTACGTTGTTTACGCTTTTAATTATTAGCCATGAGTGCAGATTGAAGGGAAGCCAAAAATTGTCTACCTTAGGCACATTCAGGAACCTTCTTTTCTCTCTTTCACATCATTCAAATTTCAATATACATAAAGAAAGAAAAGATGGTCTAACTGCTGGTGTGTGTGAAGTAATTTAAATCATGTTTGGTGGAGTCACTTGTTATATAGATTTTTCCAAGTCAAAATATGAATTCTAAAAGCAAAGTAAAAATTGTTTAAATGTTTTAATTTTGTGTAGTTTAAAAGTTTGAGAACAAAGATGGGAGAGACAGGGTTTGGAACTTTTTCACCCAAATTTATTTTTGGTTAACTTTTTCTAAAAATATAATTGCTTATATTTTTGAGAGATTTTCATAAAATATATTTTATCCAAATTCTTTTAAAGGAAGTTTTTTTTTTTAATCGAGTCAAATTCACTAGAAACCTTTTTATCTTTAAAATTATATTTATTGGTATTTTACATCAGACCAATAATTAATTTTGCTTTCTAAGATTTACAAGTATTTTTATGACTTTGTCCTATCATGTGCTACACAGAGGACAGGAACAATATATTTTGAGAAAGAGAAATGATTGAGTTTTGATCTCTCTTCATCAGAAGGTAGTTATAGTTATGCAAGACAACAAATTTTTTTGCAAACCAAATTTTCTAATAAGAATAATATATCTATAATTTTCTATATACATTTGAAGTAGGACCAAGACCAACTCCTCTAGGTCCCTTTTAATTGCAAAATTTAACTACTCCATTTTCTCTAGAAAGTAATGGAAAAGTAGCATGGTGGTTTGAATGGCCTGGTTAACCACTTAACCACATGATTAAGCTTGAATCACTTTTCCTTGTGGAACTCTGATCTTGTACACATGTTCTTCACCAGTGCATTTATCTATCTTAACAATCCAACGACTACTTTTGGTCTTACTCACTGCAGATCCATGTTTTGGACTTGAAGCACTTGCTCCAAATCTTGTCACCAGAAGCCCTTTTCCTATTGGCAACAACTGAGTTTTTGATCCACAAGACCACCAAGACCCTCTACAGCTAAGTGCATTGCAGCCAACAACCACTGTACCATTTTGCATGCCACCATCTTGGATTGCTTTAACAATCTCTCCATGGCTCACAAGGTTGCAATCAATGAGCACAAAATCTGCTTGGCTTAACAACAGTAGTTCTTGTTGAGCCTCTCCAACCACAAACTGGACTTGACTAGCATTCACTCCAAGAACCTCTTTGGAGGCATTTAATTCATCATGGCTTGAGACAATGCATACAACATGGCCACCAGTTTGATGTGCAGCAGTGACTAATGCTAGTGTGGTGGAGTCTGCGGCACCAGCACATGCCACAACCATCAGTTGTGCATTGTTGCCTGCAGCTAGTGCTGATATGAACTCTGCAACAGCTGGCTCTTTGGCCTTTTGACCCTGTTGAAAAAAATGACCAAAATCTGATCAGAAAAATTGAAGTTTCATCTCAATCCTTCACAATAAAGAAGATAAAACTTGAATTTAATTAAACCAGAAACATCTATCAGATTGTATCTAACATGGAAAACATTTTGGTTAATGAATTAAGCCATGAAGAGAACACGAACCATTTTCAACGTGTTGAGATAGGCCTTTGTGGCATTTTCTGCAGACCAGCAAGCCATGGGTTGATGCAAAAATGTTATGACTCTTTTTTGGGGTTCTCCAAGGCTTTTCTTGGAAGGAATGAAAGAGGGTATTCAAAGCTTTGATGAAAATGTTGTGTGCCTTGGATTTGGTCTAGATGTTATATGTATATATATAGGAGCAAACATGGGATCTCACTGGAAAATGTGGTGGGTCATAGTAAAAAAAAAACATGTAATATTTCAAAATATGTATGAAGAGTAAGATTCTTTTATTTGTTAGTTTTCATTACAGAAGTGACTTAACTGAAAAGAAAAAATACAAAATTTCTTTAAAAAACTGCTAAAGAAAATTGAAACGCAAGCACATGTTATGATTATTTTTTCATGTGTGAATATGTGTTATACAGATACAGAGTATGCATATATACTGATAGATTTCATCAATCTTTTTGTTGATCAAATCGAATATAAGGGAGCTTCCTGGATATATAGACATGACACAAAATCACGAAGAACCAGCATTCAATGATTTTAAACTATTTATAAAAAGAATCTAAAAACTTTAAAATTCGATTAACTTTATGTCAGAAAAACAAGACAATATCGTTTTGGAGTTTACCCAAATTTAGGAAATATGTGAGTACATTTCCGAAATTTGGATTTTCTACGTGGGCAATTGGGTAATTTTCATTTATGTTGAAGTTAATTTAATATTTTTATTTAGTTATAAGCATATAAAAATAAATTCAATTTTTTTATGTGAAGTTGTATTATTTTTTTGGGTCATCTTATGTTAACATTATTTATACAAACAAAATATTATTAATCACAAAAAAATTAATTTAATATTATTCAAAAATATTTTTAAAGAAATTTGTAGGGATAATTTATTCATAAATTGTACTAAATATATGTTGTTATATTAAGGTAAATTTTTATTTTTGTCCCTAGAGCACTACACTCCACACTCGTCAGTTTTACATAATTTAGGATTTGAGTAATTTATATATATCATTTTTTATTTATTTATGAGATATCTTTTAAAAACAAAATTATGATATATATTTCAAAATAGGTAATATCTTGTCACTAAAATTATTTTTAATAATATTATTATAATAAACATCAAAACGGAACAATATATAAATAAATAAAAAATTTATATTTTATTAAAATTGAAATTATAGGTTCTTTTACTACTGGAAAGTTTAAATGCTATTATAAAGTTGAGAATACAAAAACTCTAGAAAAATATACATGAGGAAAAAAAATGAAAAATATGAGCTAACGAGTTACAATTATTTATAAACTGAACATAGAAAAACAGTGTGAAAATTTTATTGAAATAATGTCAGTTTTATTTATTAGTAATATAGTTAGAAATATATTTAATTAGTGAAAACTTTTAACATTATCATAAAAAATATATTTAACATTTAACATTCTATTTAAAAAAATGCATAATTAATTTTTTAAATTAAACGTAAAATCTGTGAAAAAGAATTTGAGAACGTCACATGCCATAATTTTAGAAACAATATTCTAATTCTTTATTTTGTTACTTATCTTAAATTTATGGATCTGTCGCTAAATAATGATAAAGAAAATATTAAAATTGTTTTTATTTAAATATTTTTTTAAAATTGAAATATAATATTAATTTTACAAAATTATATATTTTTTATAAATTTAAGAATAAATTAGCTAGATAGATAAAATATAATTTTTTTGTAATTTTGTTGAAATTATTTAAATTATATATATATATATATAATTATTTAACGAAAGTTCTTATATATTTATATTTAAATAATTATTATTTAAATATTAAAAATAATTTTAAAATATATGTTATTTTTAATGATATAAAAATTAGTTATATAAATAAATATAACTTTGTATAAACTTTTCCATACAATAAATAAGATTCAAAACTTTCTTATGTATAAATTTTATCCATACAAACGTAATGCATAGAAAACAAGTTACGAGCTTTAAAATTAAGATGTGACTTTTCTTTAATATGATCCAATTAAGCCGTGGATGAAATGGATTTTATTTATCACATTAATCTGTCGTTATTTTTATTTTATTTTTAATTAGGAAATTCTATTGTTGGACCAAAGCAAGAGAAGCTTCCTAATTTCTAATTTTTAAATACATACTTTTTCAGATACATAAATTTTATGATATTTTGATTTATACATAAAATACTTGAGATTCTGAAATTTGATTAACTAGCATTTAAGTATTACTTATTTATGTTTTTTCTTTTTTAACTTTCAAGAGTTATTTCAAATTTGTTTGTGTTAAATACTTTTTTTTTATTGTTATTATTAAATATCAATGTATTATTAATTGAGTAATGCTTTGTTGTGTTTAAAATACTATTTACTTTAAAATTTTAGGTTAGGATGAATATGGATAAAATTATGATAAATTAAAATTTTAAAATGATAATAATTCCAATATTGAAATGGATTTTTAATGATCTTATCATTATATATATATATATATATATATATATATATATATATAATCTTATCTTCAATCTAAAAAAAATATTTAAATAAAATAAGTTGTTATTATTTTAAGAATATTTTGTAATATTAATTGTCTAAAAATTAATCTAAATTTTAGCTTGTAATTATAATAACAATTTAAATTATAATTTTTTTATACTATTAGCTTATAAATTATAATAATCACTTAATTAATAGAAAAGATAAATGATAAATTATTTTTTATATATCATAGTCAATAATTTATATGATCTCGATTATTTAAGAATGATTATCATATAAAAAAATTTCTAACAGTGAATAAATAAGTTTATTTTATTATAATGAAAAAATGATAAATAGAATAATTATTAATAAACTTTTTAGAGATGTATTAATATGAAGAGATTTATTATTAAAAAAAATTATTAAATAATTTAAGTATGAGATAAGGTTCACGTTAAGTAAAAATAAAAAAAATTGAACCAACGTATTAAAAAAGAGAAACGGTTTAATATAATATCATATTGTTATATGATTGGCTGGTGTAATATTTTTTATGAATAATATATAATTCTTGTCTAAGTTATCTAAAATTAAAATTTAAGAAATACACGATAAACATATTCCTATTTGGCCGCTTTGACCCAAAAATGTGAGGTTCCTGTCGTAACAAAACAAGAATCTAATTATAAACACTTTGTTGAAACGAAAGGATCTGCATGACTGTACTAGTCTCAAAATATTCTCCAATTGTAGCTGTAATGTCGTAGCATGGAAGGACAATGTTTATTTTATTTTTGCTCTGTCTATTTAAACATATGATACGAAGCTAACTAAATGTTTATTCCAAAACCATTTATTATTTAGAATAGAAAATTATTTTATCTATATTATTAAACATTTCCACAACCAAGAACATGAAATTTAATCAACAAATCATCGATTAATTTTTGAAGACAAAGTAATGAGTGGGCATGTGAATTGAACAATCATATTTATTTAGTTTGCACGCACACCAATAGCATGCACAGTAGTTTTACTGTGCGGATTATGCCTACCCTATGCACATGTAAAACACAACTTAAACTTTTTTTATGGATATATTATAATACTGTTTTTGGTGGAATTTCGATCGATTTCGATTCTAAGGGTGTTTTGGTCCTAATCAAAATTCTACCACGTAAGTTCTTTTTACTTAGGCTAGCAATTTGATTTTCAATCGAAAACGCGTATGAGAATTGAAAACTACAGGATATCGAAAATGTGGTTTTTGGTATTTTATGTCTAAAATGCTTGACTCAAACAAAACGAGTAAAGTATCGAATCGAGCAAAGAGAATATTAAATTGCAAGAAAGTGCGAAAACCCGAATTTGCAAGAAATTAAGTTTGCGAGATAAATAAAGGACAGGAAATCGAAATGTGCGGGAAATGTAAATTGCTTAAAACACCATTAAAATTACTTACGAGAAAAGTAAATAGCGAGGAAATCGAAATGTGCGGAAAATGTAAATTGCTAAAACCCATTAAAATTGCACGAGAAAGTAAATAACAGGAAATCGAAATGTGCGGAAAATGTAAATTGCTAAAACCCATTAAAATTGCACGAGAAAGTAAATAACGGGAAATCGAAATGTGCGGAAAATGTAAATTGCTAAAACCCATTAAAATTGCACGAGAAAGTAAATAACAGGAAATCGAAATGTGCGGAAAATGTAAATTGCTAAAACCCATTAAGATTGCATAATCAAGTAAATAATAGGAAATCGAAATGACATTGAATGTAATCTACAAGAATATGAAATTGCTTGAATTGAAATGGCTCGAAAGTAAATTACCAAGGAAAATATAGAAAGCGATAAATGTACTCGGTGAGCAAGGAAATCCAGTTGCCAGAAACTTCATGGTGTTCGTCGTTTCTCCGGTAGACTTTTCACTACTGATTACGTTCTCCGCCAATTTCCCCCGTTCCTTCCTTCTTTGCTCTATTTATAGGGCATCTTTCAAGCCTTCCAAGAGCGGTTAACACGGCTGTTACCACGTTCTACGTGCGTATGGCGATTTTTCTTCTATTGTTTCCCCACGTTCCCATGATTTTTTGGCTCTTCCATAACTTAGAAGCTGCTTTCCATGCGTGCGTTTTGACTATTTTCCTTCAAGGTTTAGCAGAGGTTATGATATCTACGAAAACGAGCCTTCCCTTTGATTTAATCGAGAACTTTGCATCCTTGGTATCGATTTATTTTAACCTTAACTCCATGTTAAGCTTTCGACTATTACACCTTCTCTTCGATTTTACCTTTCGATTTTATGTGTCACGTTCTTTATAATCGGACATCGGGAAAGTTCCCTTTCGATTCATTTCTCGATCGGGCTTCTCGATTCCACACTAACAAAATGCCCCCTTGGAAGAATATGAATAGTTTATTTATATTCTTTCAACATTTCCCGCCTAAGTGTTCGGAGGCCCATAGAACTTTAGGGTTTAGGGTTTACGGGGTTCTAGGGTTAAAAGGGTTTTAGGTTTCCCTTTC